ATGCTTTTATTAGCTTCACTTATAATGAACAATTTAATCAAATCTTGGAAGTCAATTTTAATCTACTTCTAATTGCCATATCGAAATGAAACTTTGCACGTACGTATGTAGGCATGTAGTAGGAGTCTGTACTCAGTTTAGTAAACCCTTGAGTATCGGCCCGTATAAATCGTTTTAACAAGTCCCATACATTTCAATTCGTCAAGTGTTTTTTAGTGTTATCAAATATTATATTATAAATATAATTATTTTCTATTGTTTGAGTAATAAATGACTGTCAATTTATGGGTTATTTCTTATTACTTTTTTTTTTAATTGTTTATTAAACAGGAATTTAATAAAGTTTCCTTTGGTAAATAGTAGGTACATATTAGCAGTCAGTCGTCAATAAATTTTGACAGTCTAATCAGGACATTTTATATGACGGACTAAACAGTGACGTGATTTGAAATATGTAGAAATCGTTCTATTGTACTCTTCGTTCAACAGGTATTTTTGATCGAAGATTGTACTTAAGACAAAGCTGGCAAATTATTATACATACATATTTACTGTTATTGTATATTATATTTATTAAAAAAAATGTTTACTCCTGTCCGAGAGTCATTATTTTTGTTATTACGAAACATGTGAGAGCTACAAATAACTGAATCAAGAAACACCTGCTCTATACACGTGGTCTCTACAATACTGCGCAAGCTTTTAAATGATTTATCAAGTAAATAATATATTATAGGTACTGCTTAACATTTTGAAAACCTATTTTACTACTTTAAATTTAATATTAATTACTATTTTTTAATAAAAACTCACTCATTATCACTTGATGTAAAATAAAAAATATGATAAAAATATTGTATGTATTTTATGAAGTATATGTATACTTCATGATACATTTTAAGTATTGGTACATTATGTACCTACTCGTACTTAACATGCATTAAATTAAATTTATCATTTTTAGGCATATTTCAACCTTTTCAGATTACATATAGCTCAAATAATAATAATCAACAATAACAAAGATCAACTTTATACACCTAGATATTAAATGAAACGCTTAAAGCTAACGCATCTGGCAACATGTTGCACATAATTGACATATTTTATTCAAGGCTGAATGCAATTAGTGCATGGCAACGCTCATCCTTTTAAATATTCAACACAGTATAAAAATGTTTTGTTTCGCGTTATTGTTCCACTAGATTTGAATTATGTAATCAACAGGTCCAAGTTCGGCGGGAAATGCTTTGTTAAAACGTGGGTTCAACTTTACTATTCAGCGTCTACAAGGCGACAGAGCGGCCGCCCATTAAAGTATGAATACCTCGCCTGAACTAGAATTTGGTTATACATTATTCATTTTAACGTCAGTTGAGATAGTCCGTGGAACGTTTTGTTCTCAGAACTTACATACGGTACATTATATTACGGTTTACATAGAGTTTTTGGATAAGTCTAAAAATGTAAATAAAAAGTTACATATTCAGATACTATAAGTCCCTACAACTTTAAACTGAATAATAGGGCATAGGTATATTATTGAAGAATCCAATAGAAGCTTGATATAGTTTATTGTTTGGTGTTTTCCACGGGGACATTGTTTGCTAAGCCAATTGAAATGATTGAACAATAAGACTTCATAAATTGCTTGTTATGAAGAAAAATACAATAACATTCCACGAATGAACATATTTTTAAGACTAAAAAATGCCATAATTGCATTTTAATATAAACAAAAACAATTTGACAATATTAATAAAGAAAAGTACTTAAATAAAAACCAATGATATTTAAGTAAAGTTTACATATCATTGGTTAATTAATTACAAAACTTTGTTGATTTTTAACGTTTTATCAGTCCATTGTATCAAATGCTTCGCTGAGGCAAAAACATTTAGCGCATGTGTGTTAGTAATCAATAATAGCCAAATTGTAAGGAACACGCAACGGTCAGTAACCTTTTTGGAATCCTGGTTTGTCGCTTACCAAACTGTTATCTTCACTATCATAGCCCATATTTCATAATATCTCGCAACGTTTAGGAATTTTTTGTCTTTATATAAGAAGGTTTAGAGGAATTCAGTATATTTGAATCAACTTTATTATTTTTAGGACTTTATTTATTAGTTTAAGACTATGAGACAATATACTCAGAAATATTTTTATTTCATAATACATAATTATGTCAACAATGTTAGTATGAAAAATAATTGCTTATTCTTTCAAATAACGATGTATAAACTTAGTAATTTGTTTAATATCTAATAACATTAACATGATTGATACATTGGGTTTGAAATTGGATAAGTATATGTACGTATTTGTGGTTCAGACTTGGTAACACTACGGATACTGTTGTCTTGATTGCAGTTTCGTAACAAGTTAAATTAATACTGAAAATCACACTGCAATGTTCTTTATATATTGCAATCCTCAGCGTCATATTTATATTGACGGACGACAAAAAAATGTTAATGAAAAATAGTAGTGTAATTTTGCTGTTTATGCTACTACTAGCAGAACCCGCGGCTTCGCTCACGCTAAAACTACAAAAAAAACACTAAAAAGATAGGCTTCATACATACTTTCAAAGTTTGTTTGTATAGTAAGTATATGCACGTAACTGCATAAGGCTGTATATAGTGTATTATACTGTATAGGTACCTACTGTATAGTGGCTATGGACTAAAAAAAAATAAAAACGAGAATGAGGCCGGTAGCAAAAGCTAGCTATAATCGGACTTCTATTATAAATAAGAAAGTCTGTATATGTGTGTATGTTTGTTGCTCTTTTATGTTAAAATACACACCTGGAGTAACGCATAGGCTACTGTTCAGTATTTACGGACGCACCCCGGTAAAATCGAGGGTAAGTCGCTATTAATATTATATTATGTGTTTTAATAAATTGGTTATTGAACACAAATCAAAATATTCTTCTTATTAGTATTTTGATAAGATACCACATAACACGCTCTCAACTCTCTCTCTCTCTCAGTTCAACATAATCTCGACAGGGACAAATACTGTAGTAGTAGAGTTTAGATAAACCAACATTTACCAACTCATGTTGGTAAATCCTAAGATATACTAGTAAAACCTAAGATTTGCGAATATACGGGCTATCGGCCTCGCTTCGCTCGGGTTCGTCCCTAGCTTGCTTCCCAATACAAACTTTCATCCCAATTTTCTTCCCCTTAAGGGATGATATTATGATGATAAAAGTATCCTATGTCCTTCCCATGGTCTCAAATTATCTTCTTACCAAATCTCATCTAAATCGGTTCAGTAGATCCAGAGATTACCCCCTACAACCTCACAAACTCATAAACTTTACATCTTTATAATATTAGTATAGATAGGTGCTATAGGAGAAAAGTCTCGGTCGCGGCCTTCAGTGCTGCAAAAGGCCAACGTTCCGTTGTTTACGTTAAAATAGCAAGCAGACCTGACGTCCTCGCCCACATACAGCATAGGTGTTAAAGTGTAAACTAAAAGTTATAAAAAAACAAACTTTAAAATGTTAACTTATTGTGTTTTTAGAATTATCTATCTATACATCTCTACATATAATAAAATCGTAACTAAGCCGAATCTGTACATTGAATATTTTTTGGAAAATCTTATTGAAATAGACATTATTATCGATATAGAGGCCGAATCTATAGTTTTTAGAATTTTTGTCTGTCTGTCTGTCTGTTACCAACCAGAAAAACCACTGGAGGGATTTTGATGAAATTTGGTATGGTGATAGCTCAGTCAACATATGTTGGACACTTTTTAGTTTTTACCACGGGAAAATATCTCATTTCTGAGAAAAAATACAAAAACTGCAATGTAAGAGTTATACTAATATGTAAAACCTAAGAATTTGTTTTTTGGTCATCTGAACGCGGGCGGTCATCTGAATGCTAGTTTTCTATAAAATCACAATAGACATGATTAGCTCTTAGTGATACATAACGGATCATTTTCGTTTGTTAATGGAAATCTTTACTCCTATTGTTAGTCTTTATTTTCATATAAAAAAGTAGTACCCCTACAACGTTTTTAAATTAAATTTTTTTTTGGTAAGATTAGAAATTTTAAATGCATAATTTTAAATCTTTAAAATTAATTTCTACTGAATAGTGTAGTGTAGTAGTAAAGAATATTACCTACTTCGACATAATAAACAGAGGGCAAACGTAAATTTTCTCTCCGAAGTCTGACCGCAGTATTGATCGCGGGCAGTTGCTAGCTACATAATAATTTGTTTCCGGGGAGCAAGACCTCTGTTGGCGACCATGTAATATGGTTTTCTTTCTTTTTATGTAAATTTATATAGTGTTATTCATTACTATTAAAAAAAACTCATTTAAAAATTGTACTGAATATTATAAACATGAAATAAGTGTTTGTGGTGGTTTTATTTCACTCGGTAATAAGATACTTCAGTCCGAAAGTCGAAAAAGTAATTTAGCGACGTTACATTTTAATATGGAAGAAATAATTAATTTTTTATCGGCAATGTGACTTCCTTTGCTGTAAATTAAATAAAATTCTGAGTCGAATCTGTACATTAAATATTTTTGGAAAATCTTTTTGAAATAGACATTATTATCGATACAGAGGCCGAATCTATAGTTTTTAGAATTTTTGTCTGTCTATCTGTCTGTCTGTTTGTCCGTTACCGCATCACGGCAAAACCACTGGAGGGATTTTGATGAAATTTGGTATGATAGTAGCTGGTTATACGGTTCAACATATAGGATACTTTTTACTGCGGTAAAATATCTCATCTCTAAGAAATCTATACTAAACGTTAAAACGTAAGTAGGGACGAACCCGAGCGGAGCGAGGGTGAGTCGCTAGTATACAATAAAGGGAAATAGAGAGTAGTGTAATAGAGTTGTTGTACCAAGGTAGTGTTTACCAAGTTAATTCACGTAATTCAAATTATACAAAAATACATATAAGAGGTGTAGATATTCTATAATAATATGACAAGGACTTACCGATTGCGAGCAGCGCGACGAGGACCGTAAAGCCGGTGAACGTCGCCATAACGCACATTAACTTAACACTTCACTGATAGTGATCACTTCACTCAGAAAAAAACAATTATTATTTATCAAAATAAAAACGTATACACTGCAATAGCCGCGATGCGGCCGGGCCTTGCCCGAATCTGAAACAAGAAACAAAATAAAAAGTGAAAAATTTATATTACATTCTGTTGACGCTTTATCATTTAATTAAATTAAATAAATATTTTAAATCTAAATAACATTGTCATTTTAGTAAATTATTCTATAATCCAGTCAAAATTATTATTTACGTTGACAAAAATGTGATATGGTAGTGCCCCTCCGAGACTCGAGTCGGCAGTATCCCTAATTCTATTTATTAATTTAGGGTGTAGCCCTTGCTTTCTCTCCTCTCACTTAAAATAAAAGTACTTCTGTCCTTTTCTTTTAATTTTAGTTATCTAATATCGACAAGGCATTAATTTTTCGTAGAAAAAATTAATTATTACGATCATACACGTGTACCTATACGATATTGTTTTAGTATTTGATAGAGCACGCAATCGTGACTTTGTCCCATAGCCAGCTAGCTTATAATGGGGTTCCGGATGCTCCATACATGTGAGTGTCTCTATTCACGAATTAAGACGATGACCTCACCATGGTATGAATTCATAGCACGATAAACGTTTTGATAATTACTTCCTATGTACCTATTATTTTACTTTATTATTTTTACAGTTATTCAAACATATTAAATATTTTAAATCAAATTAATCATCAATAATATTAATGTTTAAAATAAGATTTATAGCTAAGGCCTAAGACTATATTTATATTACCTATATTTACTTGAATACTTGCACCGTTGTATTTGTTGTTTACGTGATATTGAACTTATTAAAAATCTCTTTATTTTAATATATTATCTTACCTATATACATACATCCTAATATGTTGTTCTATCACTTAACCAATAATATAATTGTGGTTGCCCTCAGCTTCGAATTCTATAGTAAACAACAAATGGAGCACGTGAGTGACGGAAAAGCTATTTTGGTCGCCATTATCCAGAAATGGCTACGCTGGTTTATGTTTCGATTTCACAAGAGTGAACGTTTTTATTGGGCCAAAGGCACTGGGCGCATATTAAATACCACCTCAGTAAAATATTAAAGCTATGTAGTAATACTAAAGCCAACGTTTCTGTCATCATGAGTTGTATAAACGCTTTTTCTCCTCCATCAAATAATATGTATAAAATCTATATATACATAAAATGCTTTGTCCTGACTGACTGATCGATCAACGCCCAGACATTGAAGGACATATTCCTTACACAATGTATGTATCATTAAGAAAGGATTTTTTTAATTCATCCCCTAAGTGGGTTAAATAGGAGATAAAAGATTGTATGAAACTGTAATTCTTAACGCGAAATGCACGGAAAGTGGTATTTAGCTTTTAGATGAAAAATAGGAAATATATGTGTAATATTATTTTCGAAATTCATGCCTTATAAGGGTAAATGGAGATGATAAAATTTATATGGCCAAACAATTATTTATGATCAGTACTCTTTGAAACTTGGTATTAATGTTCTTAAATACCATTAAACACATAATTACGTATTTTATTTAGCATTTTTTTGAAATTCATTCCATAAGGCTGTCAAATAGGGGATGAAAGTTTGTATGTATTGTACTCAGTAATTGATGCACGGAAAATGGAATTTACCTTTTAAATAAAAATTAAAACAATAAAAATATCTTTTTTTTTTCGAATTACACCCCTTAAAAGGGTAAAAGGGGGCGGTGCTGTTTATATGAGTAAAAAATTGTATATGATCAGAATTATTTGAAACTTGGTTTTAATGCTCTTCAATATAATTAAATAAACATGTATTGTTATTATTTTTTTCAATTCAGCCCCTAAGTGGGTAAATTAGGCGGTGAAATTTGAATTGTTGAATATATTTAAGCAGAGTAACATGGCTCATGTTCTCTGTAAGTGCATGCTTCATATGTGGGATATAAAGTAGAGAACGGAAATTATTCCGAATCCAAAGAAAAATTATGTATAACTTCTCAGCTGGCCACAGCAGTGACAACTATAATAGACCTAGAGCGCGAGAGAGAGAACCTAGCTAGAGAGTATACTGCTATCTATATCCTCCTTCTTAAGGTTGGCACATCTGCAATAAATCTTTCGTAGTATGATCTTTCGAATTCGACTGCTCATGGTGACCATTATCCCTCCCCGATCTCTTGCCCATCGTGTAGAAAACAACTCGTTGATACTCGAACGGACGAATTAAATATAACGTGTTATTTAATATTTTTGAAACGTGCGATGGCCACCACACGGAAACGTAGAATGAAGTATGATACCTTAAGCCAGAGTGAGGTAACTTGGTAGAGGGTAGTCAAAAATTATTTTGACTGCTCTCTAAATATCCGTGGATGTCTGGGGGTAGCTACGAACTGTAAATTAAATCGCAAAGAATGAAGCTGCGAAATATAATTTCATAGGTTCATTTATTTGTAAACTTGCGAGCTTTAAACAGAAATGAGTCAAAGATTAATATTTCTTTCTTACTATGTTTATTTTACACTTGGCAAAAAGTAACATGGACTTTTTGTTGAAAGACTTTCTGTATGATAAATAATATTCTACAGGTTAAAACTAACAACAATACTATCTTATGATAGGAATAAAAAATTATAATTGCTTTGGCAGCTGTCGTGTTTGATTCAGAAGTACGTAGCATTAACCATAATAATTATGATGACTGAGTTAGTCATGCAATGTATTAATAATGTCTTGTTCCATATAAAATGGTGTACTTATTATATTTATACCTATCACAAAATTAAAATAAGTATGAAGTATCTAATGCAAACTACACAAAACACTATATCGTTACCGTCTAGCACAAAAAAGAAAAATCATATATTTGTACTACAGGTATGTATACTTTAATTAAATAGGAGAAATTTTTCTCTAACTCCCAAATGAAGTGTCTAAAAGTATAATAATGATCACACTAATATTATTGCGCAAGTTTAATCTTCACATTAGGCAATGGTAGCCCAGTGGTAACGCGCTTGCTTGGGAAACCGGGTGAAGTGAGTTCAAATCCCGGATCTCGCACCTCTGATATTTTCATGTACGAATCATTTCCAACATGATTATGACTTGTCTTAACAGTGAGAAAAACTTGCATGTCTGAAAGAACCTAGCGAGTTTTCAAAAGACATGTGAAGTCTGCCAACCCGCATTTGGTCAGCGTGGTGGACTTATGGCCTTGTTCCCCTCATACTAAAGGGAGGCCCGTGCCCAGCAGTGAGACGTTAAAAAAGAGCTGAATACAATCTTCAAATTTTAACAGCTCAACGGATTCAACTGAATTTCCAAATAGAGGTATGTATAATGTACAGTATATTTTGAATTAGTTTAGTCTACTTTTTATCGACGAACCTACCACGTGTGTGGAGGTTTGCGAGAGAAAACTAGTAAAGTAGCGGAATATGTAGTAACATATGTACGTATCTATATCTACTTTGCAACACGAGACAGACAAGACAAAACAAAAAACTGTCCTCAAATTAATTTTCATACACATTTACATATACTTTTAATTACTATCTGCAATTATTTTGAGAAAATCGTGCAGTAAGTCTAATATCAAGTTCCTCAAGAAAATTTTATTTATAATACCTGAATTTATTTATAATATCGTGAATTTTCCATAGCAAGGTTTGCTAGAAGTTACAACACGTTGGTTCTTCGTAACTACAGATGTTAATAAAAATGTAGTTTTAAACGAGAAAACTATAAATTATATTAGATAATGGCGGATTACTCTGACTACTCTTAAACTTAATGTAAAAATTAAAATAATTTAAAATATATGCACTCAATAAGTTAATATTTTTAAAAATAAGAATTTATTATTCAAACATTAGAGATATTTTAAAGTGGGGGCTTCTAGCAAACGTGAGAAGTTTGTTACTTGCGTTTCTGTGTGGGGGTAAGTCCTCATGAGATGTAATGAGGTTAGGGTTCTATTTTGAACCTTAACTCAACCCCAAAAGGCGTAATAATGTTGAAATAATGTTGGTTCAGAATATACGATCCCAGACGGAACGACTGAGTCGATACTCTATGTACTATTATACATACTGCTCTTTCAGAGTTCAAGACATATCGATCTTTAGTAAATGCGAGACAGGAAAAAGGTATAAGTCCCAATTTAAATAGTCATTGAAACTTTAATTAAATCACAACCTTTTATATTAGGTACCTCTTTATGTAGAGGCCAACTCATTTCAGTTGTTTTAACAGTATTTCATAATTTGTTAAGGGTTATTTTACTTTTAGATACTTAATTCAACGACGTGATAAGTATTGAGTGTTTCATTACCAGAAAGATAGACTTACTTAAATAGGATCATGTTACATCCGCATTATGCGTCTTGCGTTTATGCTTGCAATAAAATATTTTCAATGTAAGAATGAATTTAATTATAAGATTTTGATACATTTATTCATATATATGTATATAAATGGAGAAAAAATCAAAATGTAGAGCAGGAACTGTTCCAAATTCTTTAAAATCAATCTAAATAATATCTTTTAACTTATAAAGTTACTTGAACAACTAAATGGAAAGAATACACAAGTTTCCTTGAGATTAACTTGGACTTTAATAATTTTACAAAAAAACACCAAAAATGCGTATTCTACCTGACATCTCTTAGAACAAAACAATCTCGTTTAAACCACTTTTCGGTCTGCACCTGCCATTATGAAACGAGAACGAGATTCAATGGAACCGGCCATATGCTTTCCTACAAATCTATTCAAGCCAGTCTTTTGAATAGGCACATTATTCTTGAAATTCATGTTTTTTTTTACTTACAAATATAATTAAATATTTCTTTTATCTTATCTCTCATACAAAACTTCATAAATATAGATTTTTATCGATATATCTATATTTTAGTAGGTATAATACATAATATAAATACACACGTATTTATATTACAAAAAAATTAATAATGAATGAGTTTTTATTACTTCCTATTTTTGCCAAATTCGAACATTATAACGTCGCGACTCGTGGTTAATCATCGCAGAATTTACGGAATTGGGTCTATTGTATCTATTTATGGAGCGGCTGGCCCATCAAAACACACGAGTAAAACGTCTAAGTCCTTAGGCGTGGTCAATTAATTTAACTATGTATTGATGTTCATTAAAATATCATAATTTTACATTTTAGTTCTGTTAGAGTCACAACCTTAGATATTGTGATTCACTATTAGTCATCATTTCTCACGGTTATACCTAAAGATTTTGCGCAAAACAATTGTAAGTATTAAAACTACTTATATGTAAAATGTTAACAAATTCTTTAGGATTATCCTTATTAACTAAATAATCGTTAGAACTCTCTCTAGAAGTTCTAACTCCCGTTAGAAGTCTCTATTACATATTATATCAAGTACTAGCGTTTTCCTGCGGCTCCGCCCGCATAGTACATTTATCACCAACATATCATATACTAAAAAAATCTCCAAAACATGTTGCATCTTATGGTATAAGTATTATTCCGATCGGTTCAGTAGTTATCGCAGTATGGCCGGACAAAAAAATCGGCTCTCCATTTATTAGTATAGATTGTTATACCCTTTAGTTTTCTTAATGTAAACATAGAATTTGAATATATTTAATTGACAAAAATATATCAATAAAATTTTCTATTTAGGTAATAAATTTATAATCAACAAGTCAATGTCATGCGGATGCAAAAGCAGCCTCATATAAATTGCACTCACTTTATTCGCTAAGGACATTATCTATTTTATCGGAGTACTGATTGCATTAATCGTTTCCTAATTTACCTACTTCTAATCGTATTTACAACTAATGTAGACTAGTAAATAGCAATATATTCTTAAAAACATGTAATTTATTTATAAGTTACATGGCATGTTGTTACGAATTTTAGAATGTTTCGGCTTTTAGAAAGAAAAATGAATTAAATCGGGCGAGCTCTACCTACACAGGACAACATCGTTATCGATCGTGGTAGAGCGTTCCCCAGCCAGCGGTAGCGAAATAGCTTTTGCATAACATAAAGGTACATCGAAATCGGGTTTTTAATATAGAGTGCTTATTACCTGAGAAACACGAGCGGTGGCTCAGTGAGTTCCCACAACACAGTTCACCACAACACACGCGAGAGGACGAGCGGCAATACCGACCCGCCCGAGCTAAAGATGCCGAATGAACAAGTACTACTTTATAGTAGCTACCGCATGAACGGCCGATGACATCTAACGAGAGACAGAGACGGATATATCGCTCTGTATCATACACGATAGACTCGAATAGGGGACGACGTTCCTTGCCGAAATATACCGAATTTAGTCGATTTATAAGGAGCAAGCACGTGAATTGCGCACGCAGGATTCACGGCGTCCTGCGTACCGGTTGTGAATCGAAAAATAGATTAAGCGTACTATACACTCTATAGGTACGTATATTCAAGATGGCGATAAGGAAACGCATTGACATTCACAGTTGAGATCGTTATTCGTTACCGATTTCCTATACAATAAACGGTTCCAGGAATAAATATACAACGTGACAGTTGTATTATATAAAACATACTGAGCAAACTGTTTTTTTTTACTATATTATATAAAACTCTATAGGAATATTAAACATCTACACTACCTCTATGTAACTAACTACATTATGGTGTTTTAAAATAAATAAAAATCATAAAAATTCAAATTATTTTATTTTAAAATAGCAGATATAATTGGTATATGAAAACACTTTTACAATCTTAATTAAAATCCATGATATAATGTATAGTTATACAAATAAAATATAATTATACAAGTTTATATATGAAACGGCAGTGAATTTAGTGTAGAAAAATAAATATATTTCTAATTCAGTTATAAAGTTAACGTGGCGTTAATCGAATAATAAACTAATTTTATTTTTATTATTTTTTAAAGCAAACGATGGAGTCGCACTGAAAGTATTGCGAAATAATTATTAGTACATACTATTATTTTATTCTATATAGGAACCGTGGTGTTAAATGAATAATTGCGGTTTTCACAGCTATTCCCAACTTAGGGACGCGAATATCCACAGAATTTGGTATTTTAACACTTGAGCAGTAAAAATGATGTTCTTAAATATAGAAAGAAGCTTTTCCTCGCCGATGATGAAATGAAATGAACTCCCTGCCGAGGTTTTCCCAGAGAGCTACAGTATGGGGTCCTTCAAAAGGGGAGTAAATAGGTTTTTAAAGGGTCGGCAACGCGCATGTGATGCCCCTGGTGTTGCAGGCGTCCATAGGCTGCGGTAATCTCTTACCATCAGGCGAGCCGCATGCCTGATTGCCACCGACGTGGTATAAAAAAAAACTTTACCATCAGGACTTACCTACATAAAATTTCGCTGAACGCCACGTTAATAAGATTACGAGGAACATGAAGTATGGCACACGCGTTATAATTTCCCAAAAAATTTATAAAAAAAAAACTATAAATATATATTTTCATACTAATAAGATATATATTTATAAATAAAAGAATACCAAATAGTACCAACACACCGATAGCTAGTTAGCTGCTCTACTTTTTATTATCAACACTACTGGCAAAGTACGAGCACTCTACAAAATATCTCGATACTGCACTTTCTTCAACAATTTAACTAATATTACATTACACATACATTTATTAAGTTTAAATTTTTTCCCATTAAATACACCCATTTTTTTAGAAACACCTTAGAAATGTCAATGAGGTTAAAGTTTATTATCAATAAGATGAAATCTAGATTTTAGTTATTCAATACATATATTGAAATATCTTCAACGAATAAACGAATTCAAGTCTAGCGACATAAAGTAGTAACGACTATACAAATAAATGATGTGAAAAGGGCTATATGGAAAACGTAAAAATTTAATTATAGCTACATGTAAATCTCATGTGGCCTGAAAATAATATCGTTGGTATCATCATCATCATATGACCATATTATTATATACCTGATCATAAAATCAACTTAAATAAGCACCATCACAATATATGTAAGTACATACATATATTGATGCTGGGCAAAAATGAAATTATAAATTAGCAATATATTTATTAGTTTGAAATAAAATATAATTCGTTAGTATAATTAGTACCTAATAAAACGGACGAGTATTGTCTCATAAAAATAAATCATATTACAACAACACGAACAAATTGGTGTTCAAAAGATGAAGTTATTGAAGTTGATAAAAAAAAATAAGATAATTTCAAATGTATAAAAAAGATATGATAAAAAATAATAGCGGCTATCAAAATTAAAATTTAAGAGGCAAGAAAGTTTTTCTTGTTATAATAAAAATATATGAGAAGCCGACATTAAGATTTGAGTGAAATACTTTAAACTACATGAGGGTCAGGCAATTTCTCCCAAGTCGGCTCCATGCCCCAGATCTCCCGCGCGTACTCGGAGATGGTGCGGTCGGAGGAGAATTTTCCCGAAGACGCGATGTTTTCTATAACCATTTCCGCCCATTTCGTCGAGTTCTGATTACAAAAACAAAAAAAAATATTACTTTAAAATAATAATTGTAGTTTTTTTTTATAAAAAGCAGTCATGAGAACAGCCGAGAGAAGTGTAAACTTAAAACTATAAACAAACAGTTGTTGATTTTGGATATTCAAATTAATTGTTTGATCTTAAATTGAAATTTGTAAATTAAAACTGTTTACATTTATCTGGTTTTGACATCTATTGGCACTTTGAGTGTTAGCGTTAACACGTTACGTGACCATGTGGATGACGACTTATATGGATTTACTCCCCATCCCAACCTTTTTTTTTAACGTTGGGAAATTCATTTACGCACGAGGTGTGGGACTCACCGGCAAAGCCAGTACTAAAACCCAACAAAGCCTTCCCCCGTCTTAATGGGGCGTCGCAGGATCGCTTACGCATTCAACTACGAAGCCCCGGCGGCAGGTCTGCCGAAGCGGACCACAACAACCACGGGGTTGCTCCAAGGTCCATTCTGCTATCAGAGAAGTACCAGGAGCAACCCGCATGGTACACCACCCTCCGAAGAGGGCCACCTCCCACCGCCCACCGAAGTGGGCCACCTCCTTGTGCGTTTCTTGGCTTCGCGCCCGGCTGTATTGCCGGGCACTACTGAGCCCCCCCACCACGACAAGGTGAACGCACGTTGGGGGGGACTCCCCATCCCAACCTACCTATAAAAGTTTTAACTTCAAAAATAAATTAAAAACAAAAAAGCGTGGGTATTTTAAGAATATAAAAATATTATATTTGGGTTGTCCATTATAGAATCAAAATAATTAGTTATTGTACAAAACAGTGTGATGATATAATAAATACGTGAACAGTAAGTCATTGCATTTTATAATTATTTAAATATGTTTCAAGTACAAATTATTAAATGATTTAAGAAAATAATTACAGTATATATTATATAATATTATTTGTAAATTAAACCAAGTTCATCCGTACATATCTTGAACTTGATCAGAGTACCTAGTTCTAACAGACAGCTGGTTGATTACAAAATTGCTGGCGTGTTAAATTGATTATCCGCGCGATGTCCGTTGAGAATACGCTAAGGATATATACTGCGCTTGTCTGTAATAATAACCTTCAATCTGATCTGTGTACCATTTGAAAAGTTAAGACACATATATTATTTTCTTAAATACCACTATTTAAGAATACTAGTAAACGTACATAAATGAAACGTATGGCTATTTTTATACTACTGTCCTCGAAATATATAAGAAATTTAATATGTTATATATAGGCAAATTACGCTTTAATAGAAATGTTAAAAAACGAATGAATGAATGAAGGTTTTTGTAATGTTTATACTAGTAAGATCCCACAACATACATATATATATACTATATACTCGTACATCGTTAACATATAGGCATTTTCCATGGTTTTTTTTAATGTATAGGTAATATTAATGAAGGATTTTTTAAAGATTTAATACATAAATATCATAATGCGTCATGCCGATAGCTTATTTACACAATGCGTGTATAAATAATAGCTCATAGCCTTCCCAGAGAATTTCCATTAGTGAAAACCGTATGAAAATTGTACAGTAACTTCTGAGATTAGCTCGGACAAACTCAGCGCGACGGCTTCAATTTATAAAATGTAGTGACGGTTGAAGGAATCCAAAGAGGTTGAACTCCCCGATTTGTGCTTGTATATAATAAGCATAGATCATCATTATTGGTTATAGATGAAATAGTGATACACAAGCGGGCGGAAACGTAAGGAGTAGCTTTATATTAAATGGTCACCCAATGTTGGGTCAGCTTAGGAGCGAACCGCATTATATTCTACACGTTAGTTTTATGTAAATAGGTGTGTTGGCGCATCGCCAGTGTCAAGTACACGCTGGTCAGACATTTGACTAAATCTGAGTGTTGAAGCAAAATCACAATTGTAAACTAAATTTATATATAAAAATATGTATTTACAATTCTAATTAGTATTAACTGCACTACTTAAACCCACTTTATAACATTATTTCTTACTTCCATTTGATGGCTGGAAGAAATCTCATTAGAGATAAGTCGACCTTCGCCCACATTGATATCTATACGGTATTTGTCACGCTACTGATTTTCAAAGACAATAAATAATATATATCATATTATAGGAAAGCATCCTAAAATTGATATCTATGTTATTATATTCAATATTAATAATATTAATGTTTATGTAAGCTCAAAGCACCGGCGCTCACCGAGCAGCCATCAACCAATCTTTTGGCACCAGTTAAGAAATTATACTATAATATTCCCTGCTCAAATGAATTTTCTCACCGAGATTAACTACTGTGACCGTGATCCGTCTTGAGGACATTATCATTGCTATTATACTACCTCGATGGTCTAGCATCTAGCAGCATGTACGTCTGCACATCCGGAAGTCCTACGTTCGAGACCTGGTTCATGGCACACTTAGTTATTGAGTCTGTCTGTTTAGGAAATCTCAATAACAGCCTAAAGCTACAGTTGGGAAGTTCTCGCACTGGTTTTGCCGAAATGTCGTTCCAGCGGAGTATAAGAGTAAAAATAATAGAGAGTGCACGTTTTCTGCGAGGACACGAGCTGCTTCATAATATCTCCTGCACAGATGGCTGGTCTCAGTGAGATTGGCCGCCGTAGCTGAAATCGGTTAGGACATCATCATGATTGCTGTTACCTGATACACTTGCGACACTTTATCCTGCGCCTCTATATAAGCATCAAAGTCAGCCAAGTGCAGGAAGCGGTCGTGGTGGAGGAGCACGTCTGCGACATGCGCGAAGCGGCCCGGTTCGTCTGGAGAGAAGAAACCGCTGCGAATCTGTTCTATGCACTGCCTCAGTTCCGGGTTGCGCTCGTAGAACTCGTATGCGTTGTATCTGGATAGATTCAAGTACTCATTGATGTTACGTTTTTAATATTTATTAGAGTTTAATAATAACGATAGCCTATGAGTTACTCCAGGTCATAGTCTACCTATCAATTTAATTTTATGATGACAATCCAAAAATTGTTTATGTTGATTATAATTAATAAATTAAATTCATAGGTCTGAGAGTACGGACAGACTTGACCGAATTCTATTTTATTTGGCGGATATATGAAAAATACGATTTAATCTATTTTCTAATCCATACATATAATAAAATAGTAACCTAGCGAAATCTGTACATGAAATATTTTTTAAAACAATGACTGTAACGAAGCAAAAAGATGTAGAGGGTAAGTCGCTAGTTTTAATATAAGAAGATTAAGATCTGATAGTATGCATTTCCATAAATAAGAGCGTTTATTATTATATAGCTATTCATATTTAAAGATAATATGAGACCTCATAGTGATATCTAATATTTATAAACATCTAGCTATTTAATAGAATATTCCTTAATTAACAATAATTGAAGTGATAAATATAATCGGTGAATACTAGAATAGCGATAAGAAATTATTGTACGCGAGGAGTTATCGGGCAGATGTAGATCAGTCATTGGCGTATTATAAACATAGGTATATTAGTAAATCTACGTTTTATGTACTTAAGGAATAAGTAAAACTAATTATTATAGTACTGTACGAAAAAATAAGTATTTAATAGCACATTCCTGTTAAAAGAGAAATCTTGCGCAATTTATTCCATCAAGCTTCTGTATAATGTCTTCTATACAGTAGACATTATTCTAAAATTCAAAGATATCTATACTAATATTATAGAGAAGATTTGATTGTTTGTTTGTACTGAATAGGCTCCGAAACTACTGAACCAATTTAGATGAAATTTGGTTACAAGATAGTTTAGAGACCCTGGGAAGGATATAGGATAGTTTTTATCGCGGAAATCATCTCTTAAGGGGATGAAAATGGGGATGAAAGTTTGTATTGGGAATCAACCTAGGGATGAACCCGAGCGAAGCGAGGGTCAGTCGCTAGTAAGAATATAATTCTACACAATTTCACATCAATTTTAATTATTTAATATTAATTCTCAAGAATATTGGTTTCTTGAATATTGCTTGGACAAACAGATATTTTAAAAAATACGATTTGAGTGTCACGCTCGTAATAAAATGGATTTATATGACAATGCAATACATATGTTTATGGAGTAAAATTACTAATAAACGACTATTAAGTAATAACATACCCGCGTTTCTGCAAAGCCTCGACATCATCAACCCTCATACCGAAGATGAACATGTTATTTTCGCCGGCTTCCTCTGCCATTTCTACATTGGCGCCGTCCATAGTACCAATGGTCAGGGCGCCGTTAAGCATGAACTTCATGTTACCAGTTCCAGAAGCTTCTGTGCCGGCGGTCGATATCTGCTCGCTGAGGTCTGCCGCGGGCATGATACGTTCTGCCAAAGTGACTCGGTAATTTTCCAAGAATATCAATTTTAATTTGTCACCCACATCGGGATCGTTGTTGACCTAAAGAAAAGGATAAATGTTTAATATCATTCAAATTATTTCATACATACTAACGGCACATAAGTCTACGTAAGTTTTCTGAATATTAAGAGATTATTTTAAAACTAATAAAATATTTAAAGGCTATGTACAAATTATACGTTTAAAAACGTCTTAGTAAGTGCTGTCAATACATATGTATATAACGATTAGCATTTGATTCATAATGATTAACTTACAGTGTTGCCTACAGCACACGCCAAAGCAATGATTTGCTTGGCGATGTAATAGCCGGGGGCAGCCTTCCCTCCGATCATCACTGTCCTCGGAGTAAAGGCAGCCGAGGGGTCTCGTTTGATCCTGTTATACAGCGTGATCACGTGCAGAATGTTCAACAGTTGACGCTTATACTCGTGAATACGTTTCACTTGCACGTCGAACATCGATGCCGCGTTTATCTTCACTCCGGTATCCCTCTCGATCAGAGCGGCAAGTTTCAACTTGTTCTCTTGCTTCACTTTCATTACAGCTCGCTGGAATGCAGGGTCTTTCGACCAACGCTTCAACCCTTGTAATTTCTCCAAGTGAACCGTCCAATCCTCGCCAATTTTATCGCAAATGAGATCAGAAAGACCGGGGTTGCATAGTAGTAACCAACGGCGGGGAGTAATACCATTAGTCTTGTTCTGGAACTTCTCTGGCCACATTTCATAGAAATCACGGAATATGGTAGCTTTCAGAATATCCGAGTGAATAGCTGCGACACCGTTGACAGCGTGAGAGCCGACCACGCAAAGATGAGCCATGTTAACTCTCTTTTCCCCTTCCTCCTCTATCAAGGACATGCGACGCATACGGTCGAAGTCACCGGGCCAGCGCTTCTCAACCTCTTTAAGGTGAAGGAAGTTTATGTGGTAGATCAGCTGCATATGTCTTGGCAGGACATTTTCTAACATAGAGCATGGCCACCTCTCCAAGGCTTCCGGGAGAACGGTATGGTTTGTGTAGGCGCAGCATTTAACAACGAGTTCCCAGGCTTCTTCGTATGGCACATTTTCAATATCGATCAGGACCCGCAAAAGTTCGGGGATTGCGAGAGCCGGATGGGTATCGTTTAACTGAATCGCTACTTTGTCGGGAAGACACTCGAATGTGGTCCTAACAGCTTCACGAGATCCAAATTGAGATGCCTTGAATCGCCTTATGATATCTTGCAATGTGGCAGCGCACATAAAGTATTCTTGACGGAGTCTCAACTCTTTGCCTTCAAAGAAATTATCGTTGGGGTAAAGTACTCTCGAAATGTTTTCTGCGACGTTGCGGTCGAGGACGGCCTGGATGTAATCACCGGAGTTGACTAAAGGAAAATGTTTTTATTTTTTATTATTGTGCTTATGAATAATTAAGCATCCATTACACAAAAAGTTACTTACAGAATTTTAAATTGAAGTCTACTGGACTCTTAGCGGACCATAGACGTAGTGTGTTAACCACATTATTGTTGTAGCCGGGAATTGGATTATCATACGGCATAGCGAACACGACCTGATTAAGGTTTTATACACATTAGACATATTGTATCAATATGTACTGCTTATATATTTGGCAAGCTAAAAATTTAGTTCCTTCATTTAAAACTTACAATTTTAATATTTAATTTGTATAATCTTATACATATAATAAAATTGTAACTAAGCCGAATCTGTACATTAAATATTTTTTGGAAAATCTTATTGAAATAGACATTATTATCGATACAGAGGCCGAATCTATAGTTTTTAGAATTTTTGTCTGTCTGTCTGTTACCGCATCACTGGAAAACCACTGGAGGGATTTTGATGAAATTTGGTATGATGGTAGCTGGTTATCCGGGTCAACATATAGGATACTTTTTACCGCAGGAAAATGTCTCATTTCTGCAAAACTGCAATGTAAGAGTATACTACTATATAAAACCTAAGAATTTGGTTTTTGGTCATCTGAACGCGGGCGAAGCCGCGGGCAATGCTAGTTATAAATAGAACAGTTTTTATCGAAAACTTATTATTTATTTAGTAATTAATTGAAATGATTTTAAATTTTGATTTTTGGATCTTAAACTATAATATTTAAATTATCCTCAGAATACAGTTCTATTTTCTAACCTGTGTATCAATCCACTTCTTGCCCTGTGGGGTGTCTACTACACGTCCATAGAAATTAACGGGAAGCATAAATTCTGGGCGTGCCTTTTCCCATGGATTGCCATACCTTAACCAATCATCAGGTTCTTCTTGCTGTTCACCATTCTCTATCTTTTGTGCAAAGATACCATACTCATATCTTATACCTAACAATAAAGTTGAAATATATATCAAATGTATTAAATACAGTCAAATAGAATAAATAAAATAGAATTTAAAATTTTGTGTCATTGTATATTATAAAAATCAAATAGTTAATTTTATTTTAATAACACCTATTTATCTTTAAAATTACGAATGTGGTAATGTCCATTAAATAATGCATTTCTCATTACAAGTAGTTTACATAATTATTGTCCAATTTGTTGTAATTAAAATAATTACCTTTACAGGTGACAATTTGTTTTGATTTTTTTTTTGAAGTTGTTTAAAATATTTACTTGGCACTCAAACACATTAATATGCAACTTCTAACCCATTTATCTAATATAGTCTAGTCAACAAGTTGCAAAATGTGTTTATTCTTACTACTGTGAATTAAAATATGTGTGATTGTTTGTTGGATTCATTACTACCAAGATTTCAAACCCGCACAGAAACAATTGCAAAACTTATCAATTAAAGATAAAAAAGCAGTCTCATGATTTTGCAAATTACTCTTAAACTTACTGATGCTAAAAAAAAAATATATTCAACCCCTTTTTTGCATTTTTTAATTTTTGTGTTGCTTAAATAATTCATAACTGATAGATAATAAAAATTATAACCACTTGTTGACTAGAAAAATGTTGTTTGAAAAAGTGTTATATCAGTAGAGATCAATGAACTTGAATGAGTCACCTTGCCAAAAAAAATTATGAGTACTTTGACTTTATAGGATGACAATGTTTATAAATTTAAGATATATATTATATGTACATACTCTTTGCTACTTTACCATTTGTTTGTACCTATATAATTGGCTATCAGCCAGCAGTGCTGTCTCCACTTGTTTCAATTACACAGTACAATAATTATGTTCAATATTAAAATAATGCCTGTCTTAAAGACACAATATGAAGTCGCATAGAAACTTTAGAAATGACTGCTTTTTTAACACAGGATCATATAAAATCAAGTTAGAAGTGTCAAGATGATAAACAAATTAATAGTTTTCTAAGATTTTCAATACCATATCCATAAGCTGCAAGGCCAAGTGTCGCCATGGAATCTAGAAAGCATGCAGCAAGTCTTCCAAGGCCTCCATTGCCAAGACCAGCATCTTCTTCAAGTTCTTCAAGTTCCTCAATATCGAGCCCTAGCTGATAAAGTGCTTCATCTACTGTACCCTGGATACCGAGGTTTATCATAGTATTTTGCAGAGATCTGCCCATGTAATATTCCAATGAAAGGTAATAAACACGCTGAAATCAATGATATTGTTTTAAAAATTATTTTACCCTATTTGTTATTATTAATTAGTTCAAAAACAATAGTTATGGCAGAAATCTCTATATATAATTTATATTATAGTTGTCAGATATACCAATATAACCAAATGAATGATAGTTTATTAGTAGAAATCATTTTCATAACAGAGGAAAATAATAATAATTTTTCCTTAATGAAAAATATGTCTTAGAATGATGTTAATATTTATATAATTTGGTCAGAATCACATTTAAAAAAAATATGTATAAATTCATATATTACTTATTTACTATCTCAAATTTATTAAATTTTACAGATGTATTAAGTACATGTTATATTAATAGTAAAAAATATTATTTTTGTATATAGAAAATTTAAAACATATCCACAGCTAAATGCAATAACTTTAAAATGATAAACCTTGGGTAACATTAAATTTAAAGTAATATGATATTAACAAATGTAATACAAATAACTAAAATAAATACCTTAGGGTCCTTTTCATAGTAATACTGTTGAGTACGTATCCACCGTGATACCAGGTGGTCCCGTACTGTATGGGCCAGGGCAAAATAATAGTCTCTCGGGGTCGCAACATTTCTGTCTTTTACCAATGTATAATGTACGTGCCTGTTAAATGCCTTTTTCACTTCAGTTACATTTTCCACGGCAACAATACCCCGGACGGATATTTGCTTACGCTTTTCTGAATCCGTTTGTACGCTCATTTTCAGCAATTTACCTCAGCGCACAAAACTGTCTTGTACAGCTGCCAAACCCTGACTAAATATTCCCGCGATATCGGTCACCTTGAGAAGGTCAAACATATAAGTTTGACCGCTAGGTGGTTTCAGCTGACAACTGCTGATTAATATTGTTATTTTAAATAATGTTAGAGTGATTTTTTTTATATTAGATAAAGTATGAAAGGAACTTAAGAAATTATAAATTCTTAGCGGTTGAATTCATAAAAAGAGCTTCAAAAACCATTTACTATAATGCTAAATTTAATTTATATAAATATTCCTCCCCGTAAACGTCAATGTCAAATAATTAATTATAGAAATATGCCAATTGTCACTTGTCAAGTGTCATAGATAAAAATAGTGAAATCATTGTGTTGTTGTCCTTGGTCTACGTTCACTATAAGTTATAGTCTATAACCATGGACCAATAATAAAACCTATAACTTTCTGTAAAAGACCAATTAGTATTGTTGACGTGCCAAATCATGTTTTTACCGGTCGGTTCTAAATGTGAACTACAGAATCCCGTCCAACCCATGCACTACGATAAAAAAATCTGCGTTATTGAATATATGAATGTCCGAGATGTGTTCATTAACTTTTAGGAATTTAATATTTAAAAACTTAATCTGTACCATATTATGCACTGATAATAAAAATAATCATGGTTTGTAGGAATATGTATTTATACAAATTATTGAACATTTTATCAGCGCTAGACAAATATAACTAGTTCCGGTGTAAAAATCAGTTAAGGTCTAAATCTAGGTGCTTCTAATTGATATATTGACCTGAAACTTTGCTGATTCTATTTCCGTTGATAATGCAGTGGTTCGGTATCGTCGACGTAATCTGATGGTATAAGGCCAGAAGGTTAGGTAGAAGTTGGAACTCTTCAACAGCTGCTTCAAAAAAATCAAAGCACACCGACTTCAAAAATATTTGATTAGCTTTCTTTATTATCTAATATAGTAAAAAAAACTACCAATCAGTTATTTTTTACTTTGTAGTGTTTTTTTGAAGTCCGTTTTTATTTATTTTTTAACTAAGTCAATACTTCAAGTACCTGTCAATATCTTAAAACGTTTTTTTTTTGTAATTTTTGAATAATTTTTTTGGGTCAATTTTTAAAAATTACGATTAATTGACAGCGAAACCTTAACCGTGTAATAGGTATGTGTAGGAGCTTCCCATCATAATTCGGTACAAATTTACCTTGATGTTATTGATTTAAAATAATCCAAAAAAATACTTTTTAATATATAAATCTAAATTATAATTAAAATGAAAATGTCTTACAGTATACCCGTTAGTCTCCAGATTGGCCAACTTAACCCTGCCAATGTTAAGTGTAATTAGTTATAACTCGCGTCATCTAAAAAGAACGCTGGAAGAAAGTGGAGAGGGTAGGTATGTTTGCGCATGGGTATACTCGCGCACAAAAGTACTAAGCCTATTATTTTATTTTTCATAATGTAGCAATATACTCTATGTTCATAGCATTTCGCTCGCGGCTTCATATATTAGTTATTGGTAGGGACATTGAAAAATATATTAGATAGAATATCATTAAATAGAATTCTATTCATTATTAAAATATGTTTGATTCAGTGCAGAATGTTTAATCTACTTACAAAAAATTAAATTAATACGTTTAATACATTTTTTTTAATTATTAACTGCATTATTATTAGACTATCTTTGTAATACAATATACGTCAAAAACAATTTTTCTCTTTTCTATATATAAAACCATTTCGTAATTAAAAACTTTTGTGTGCGCGATGGTATTTCGAACTGACTAACCAATAGCGCGCCGGCAAGCATGCGGCGCGTGCCCCGCTGCCCCGAGCCGCCCCGCGCCCCGCTTCTTACCACCAATTTGACCGATAAATCGCTTCTGCGCAGCTTGAAAGCCAGCGTTCTTTTTAGATGACGCGAGTTATAACGTAAAACGTTTTTGAATGATAATATTACGACAAACATTATAACACACTAAATGTATTTAAAATTAATATTTCAATAAAACCAATAGTGTCAGTAAAATATATTTTATTATATGTATGAAAAGATTGTAGAATATTAACACTGACAATACACATCACAATTAATAGTGATATCACTGATGAAATTTACAGAGGGACAGTTTCATACCACGTAATACACTGCAAGTGTAACGACGTCTACGTTAATGCTCATCGACAAATAAGAAAGTGCAGCTGTTTAAATTATGTACTTTGTTGTGTTCTAAGGCATAGAATGCTGTAGTTTATAAATATACTTCTTCATATACGTATTTATATTTTACAAAGATCAAATGTTTGTTTGTTTTTGTTGTCATAGTTGCCGATCCAATCAAAAGAACTGTAGGTATGCATTTTAAAACCTATTTATTAAGGAAGGTGATTTTTGATCAGTGCATAATCGTACAGATATACTACAATGAATTAATCAAGTGGAGCCATAGGTAAAAGCTAATAAACAATTCTTGAAAGAATATTTATTACTTTATTAGCCAAACAAATCTTGATAAAAAAAATTAAAAAAAACGGAAACAAAAATTTACTTTCTATAAAATTCTCTACCCGCCTTGTTTTAGCAAAATCATAACTATAATCAGCTTTATATTATAATGTAAGTATCGATCAATTGCATTCCTATTTCCTTCGTCATTTAAGATAGCATATTTTTTTACAAAAAGAACTGTCTCTCTACATAATATATTATGTACATAAACATATACTCGGTGGTGATACTAGGCTATTTTTAACCATTTCTCTTTCTTATTTTGATAATTTTATTTATGAGAACATAAAGTTTTTATGTATTTGCTTACCAGTTGTTTTTATTTGTTTTCCCAAAAAAAAATCTAGATCTCGTGGGGATAAATTTCAGATATAAATTATCATAAAGACTGTATTATAGTATTAATACAATAAGCATAATTTAAAAACCAATATATTTATTTCATACTGAGAACATTTTTTTAAATACCCATATTCGAATAACATGAAATTCTGATATATTTGTTTCGCGAGTTAAATATAAACACTAATAACAACATAATAAATAAATGTACACTTAAACATAACTTTATAATATTTAAAATTACTTGTTTTGTACTTAGTAAATATTGATTTTTAAGAGCCCTCGCAGACTGCGGACTTGAACTTCATTTAGTCAGGTTCATAATCAGTATGATGTAGTGCAACAGATTTTCTATAACGTACTTCTACGCGTAAACCAATATAAAGTCTGCAGTGTGCGTGGGCCCTAAGTAATAAATTGTATATTACAAAGATTAGAGTAAATGCAAACATAATACAATAGATTATTTTGCAAATCCTTATCACGTTTAACTAAAATATGATATACATTAAAATGATTTTCGATAAATGCATAAACATTAAACTTACAAAATAATTTCCATAAATTGTCATAATTATTTAAACCAGTCCATCAATATGTTATTATGTATAAATAAGTCAACAAGTTTAATAAAAACAAAGTTCTTTAAGTTATCAAATAAAGTCAAAACACTGGACCATAAACTGTACCTAAGTCATAAGTACTTATCAAATAAATAATTTCTAAATGTGCATACATAATATGAAGGTATCTTTAAATCAATTAGTTTTTTTATTACTCTACATAAATACATTTTTTTTAAATGACTGGACGGAGCTTAACACCAATTGTGAATATAATTCATACATGATTAAATTATTTTATAAAAAAACTAATATATTAACATAAAAACAATAATAAAACAATATTTGACATTTTGTAATAAAACAATTCATTTAATATGTTTATATATTAGGCTAAAGCATAAAATAGAAGAATGAATAGATTGACACACAAATGGTATTTATATGCTAAGATTATGGTTGTCACTGTCCATAAACCTCACTCTGCATTTCCGTTGACCGTTATACAATAGTAGTCTTTGCTCTGCACGGTGAGTATTATGAAGAAATTTGGCATGACATATTATATGGTTCTATATTCTCTATTTTATTCTTTTTTTATAACATATCTCAAACAACAAGACTTATTAGACCGATTTTTAAAGCTATGGCACTGACAAACACTAAAATATTAAAGATTGCAGTGCTATAAGTGTTTTATTTGTATGTATTTGCATGCTTGTTTATTTCGGCTTTTAATTTTTGTATAATAATAACCTTTTAAAAAAAGTATTATCATGTTTCTATCTCTTCACAATTATGTCATACAATGTGAGAGAATATCATATAATGAGATTCAATGTACTCGTCTAAAATTACCAAAATTGCTTTAACTATTAACAAGCATTATTTTTTTATTAAAAAGCTTTCAACAATCGTGCGTACAAGCATGCATAAGAGTATAATGAAAGAATTTGACTTTAAATGTATATAATATGTCGTTGTCAATTTTTTACGTTTGCATAAACTTACTATGGTGTGCATTTAACATTGTCTTGCGGAGAAGAGCTGCTGGGACATAAGTATATCTGTTCAGGATAAAGATCGCCACGGACCCGCAGCGCGCGCACGCCCGCCGGCGCCGCGCGGAACTCCATTTCCCCGATAAGCAAATCGTCTGCGAACACCGACCACTCGGTAGCCCCCCGGACTATTCGGAATGTCGTCTGTGGAAGTATAAGTTTATCATATTTTTATTAATATTGTATGTATGTATGTATGTATGTATTCAGCCCTTTTTAACGTCCCACTGCTGGGCACGGGCCTCCCTTCAATACGAGGGGGATCAGGCCATAGTCCACCACGCTGGCCAAGTGCGGATTGGCGGACTTCACATGTCTTTCGAAAACTTGCTAAGTTCTCTCAGACATGCAGGTTTCCTCACGATGTTTTTCCTTCACCGTAAGGCAAGTGGTAATCATGTTAGAAATGATTCGCACATGAAAAAATCAGTGGTGCGAGACCCGGGATTTGAACCCGCTTCACTCGGTTTCCCAAGCAAGCACGTTACCACTGGGCTACCACTGCCTTTATTAATATTACAACGTTTTATTTTAGTTTAATCGCGCTTATATTTGGAATTTTTAGTTCGATTTGAAAAATTAATTTTTCATTTTATATTCTATTAATCTTATAATATATATTAAATATGAGCAATTCTTGTATATTTAATTTTTATATACATTTGTTTCATATATCTCGGAAACGGCTCCAACGATTTGGATCAAATTTTGTATTTAGTTTTTAAGTTTAAACAGTGTGGGTGACTTTTCTGAACACGAGTTTACAAAAAAAGTGACAGGAACAGAGTGCACGTTGTATCTCTGTGTACACGCGCTGCACTATGCATGCGTATTTACTACGCAATTGGCTGGTGGAATATGAAAAATGAGATTGGCCGAAATCGGTCAGGAGGACATCAGTACGACTACCAGGGCTGTCAGATCGTATAATTGGATACGAAAATTATAAAAAATGGTTATTTTATGTATATTTCATTTTAGTTTTTACGTATTTTTATTGATTTTTTTATTCATGACAGACTATTTCTCAACAGTTTTGTTAATTTGTATGATGAAATTTGATTTGGTATAATTTGAGTGAGCCAGTGGTATAAAATAAGTAGTCTCTACTGGCAGCCCTAGCGACTACACTACCTTAGTGCCAGGCACGAGCTTGGCCGAGCGCTGCCGGCGCTCCGCGCCCCAGGCGCCGAGCCACGCGTTGAGCACGACGAGCTGGCGCGCGAGCTGCGCGTCGGCGTGCGCGCGCACGTTCACGTGCACCAGCACGTTGGACCGCGGCCACTCTTGTGGCTTGTCCAGCAGGTCCAACGCGAAAGAATGGAGGAGGGGACGTAGTCTGGAATGATATTAGTTAATGTTCAAATTAAAGATATTATAAATTTAATGTAAGCAGTGGCATAACTAGTGTAGGGCCGTAGAAGTGGTCGATCTCGAGTGTCACCCGATTAATTATTATAGATGGCGTCTATCGGTCTGCTAGTCTTTTCATCTCTTGCGGGTGCAATTTGTTTGGAAATGACATCTGTGAAAAACTTGCGATTGTATTATTGTGCTTTCGCTCTAATTGGTGACGCCCGATTATACAAAGGATTCATTCGAGTTTCGATAAAAGATTACGACCTCTTTTTTTGCCGCTCCCGGTGTCACCTATGCTAGTACGCATGCAAGTTATATTAAAATAAAAATGTTACTATTTTAAAATACCTGCACACGCCTAATTAATAAAAAAATATTAAATGGGTATTTAAATGTCGCAAATAAGGAATTTCTAATAAGACTATCATGCCTAAAATGATAGTAAATGACTTAAATGATAGTGATAGATTTATTAGATATGATTTATATCATTAATAAATTGCTAAAAACCTAGTAGTGATTTTCAAAAATTAGTAACAACAGAAAAATTTGGGTAGGATGTAATATGACCAATACAGACAAATAAAACAAAGTATTTGGAAAGTGAGTAAAAGAAATTTAGTGTTATGTGTAACACGGAAAACGGCGACGCAAACGGAGCTGCAGTGACGAAGGATCACTTTGCTAAGTAATTGTGGTCATTAAATTTTTTCCGGTAGCTGTTTTTAGCACTAAGAGAGTTTAGTAATAGACAATAGTACTAAATACTTTATCGTCGTCTCTGGAAACTTTGAGCTATAACTATATAAACAATATATTGTTTGAATATTAATCTGCGTATAAACACATTATGTAGTATTACGTTGGTAGTGACTTCATTCAAATTAGTCCCTCAAGAATGCCAGTAGGGAATAATATGCTTACCGCCAATAAGTTACGGAGTTTCAATAAAAGCGTGATTTTATAAATTAAAAAGAAAATATGCTCAGGTGGTGATGGGCATGTGGAAATAATGACCAGAAGTCCAAAAAATATATTGAAAAGCGTATAATAAAACAGAATGTTTGAATAAATAGATTTACATTCGTTTACTAACCTTCCATAAATAACAATTTGATGACCATCAGGAATCCCGATAGGTAAAGCGGCCATAACGTTTGGCCGCCAACTTGGTTCATTCTCTGCTACTCCAGATAAACATGACCTCATGGGAACCTGCCAAACAAACAAAAATGAATATTACCTACTATGTATTTTTATTTTTTTATTATCATTTCTTAACCTATTGCCGTCTAGAATGAACATAGGCTTCCCCATATTAATTTGTTAGGCAATAATCAAAATTTTAATTTAATTAAAGAATATATCATAAATAATTTAAAATTTTGTGAATTCTGTTTTCACCTAGTATATAATGAACGTATCTATCTCCTTAATAACCTATGAAATTGGCTTAATAAATTGGGGTTGAGGTGTCTTGGCATAAAGTACGGGTGGTCACCATTGGAGGAGAGGGGGGATAAAAAATGGGTAACGTAGTATGGGTACGTTCCCTTAACATAAAGAAATATTTATCGATAAAAAATTATGTAAAGATATTAAGGTGAGTATAAATAAAAAATCTATAAAAAGTTGCTTAAATACAATTACGTACAAAAACAGAACAAAGGCAAAAAGTATGAAATAACGACATGATAATATAATTAATATTTCCATTTGATGAATTCCCACGTGCATAATTATTTATAACTACTTTTAATGTGTTCGTATTGTCCTCTGCCAAGGCGACGCGCGCGACCCGTTTTCTATTAAAATATTTTATCCCCGCAGTCAGTTACGCTTACTACGTATTGTAATGAAAACTATAAAATAAATGGTTAACTGCTGTTGACAAAAGTAATTAGATTTAACGATTTGAGTCCTTTGTTTATAATCAACTAGTGATCTGCTCTCACTTCGCACACAGTTACTTTGCCTTATCAATGATATTACTTAGGTGGTACAGTTGAAAGTATTTTACATCAAAATTTTCTTATTATATGCAGGGACTAACGCAAGAATAGCAAGTTGTTTATTGATTCCCCATACAAACTTTCATCCACATTTTCACCCCTTTAAGGGAAGATTTCCTTGATAAAAAGTAGCCTTTGTCCTTCCCAGGGTCTCAAACTATCTTTTTATCAAATTTCACCTAAGTTCAGTAAATCAGAAGTTAGAAGTTCAAGTTCAGTAGATTCAGAGATTACTCCCTACGTCACAAATTCACAAATTTTACCTCTTTATAGTATTAGTATAGATAAAGAAATGATATAAATATTAAATACCTGTTTACATATATGTTTTTTTTAATGTTTTATCGGACTACTATTATCATTGTAAAATTATGGCTGCGTGTCTGTACGAGTGTGCGTGTGTGTATATTTAGATTATGACCTATAGTAAAACAGTCTAGTAGTAGGTATCTAGGGAAGAACCCGGGCGAAGCGAGCGGTATACGTACTTCAATAGTAGGTGGCGCTAAGGTGGGGTAGATGTCAGTCTTTTGTATCTTCAACGCAGCGTCCCTGACGCCCGTCACTTGGATCCATTGCGCATCGAGCACGCTCGGGTTGCGATGCGCGTAACTACAGTAATGCTCGCCGTCTACTGCCCATAATGTCTCTTTCTCATCTACTAAAATCTCGATCAGAAATAGACGATCGGCTTTGAACGGAAACAACCTGAAAGGAAAGTAGTGAATATTTTTTGAACAAATTTTATTTTTGTAGCTTTTCACGCTTATGAAAAGACTTTAGAATATTAACAGCGTGTTTAAGGAGATGCATAATTCTGCGCTGTGTTAAGCAGATATTAACATTTTTTACTGTATTTCCCTTACATCAAAGGGGTTAGAAGTTGCGTCCAAAATTTTATCCTAATTCTTGCAAGCGTTAAGGTATTAAAAGCTACTAAGCCAGTAATTTGTGTACATAGTTATAATATTAGGAAACAGGATAGGATCGAAACAACGTACCTATAGACTATTGATTATTACTAATGCAATGACTGTAAACCTATATTATTATTGTTTATCGGTTAGTATAATATTGTAATATGAGTGAGTATATTTATTACGTTATAGTAAACTGAAGAATATATGTTTAATTTTTATTATTTAATAAAGACAAAAAAATAAAACATCATAAATATTGACGATTCCCGTTTCTTTTATCTAGACTAGATCGTATTTTTATATTATTTCAAAATGTAGTATATTTACAGCTTCATGTAAATGTCACGTAGACTACAACAGTTATATATAAGAGTAAAAATAAAAAAATATACCTAAAGGCTGTTGTTTCTTCGGAACCCCATTTGTCGTGTCGTTTAGTATTCCTTACAACGTAGCACTGCGGAAGGCGCACGTTGAAATGAATGGCAATGTCTGCTCGTCCAGATTCTGAATCTCCACATCCGATATTAATTGCAAACCTAAAGGGAAAAGATAAAAGGTTATTAATAGAATTAATACTACTAAATATATACTTAAAGTTTTTTTATAATTTATATCCAATTTATAAAAAAAAACCATTATATTTCTTTTTCCTATATTTCTGAAATTAGCAGTTCTGACTTATATAAGAACTTTTATATACTTAACTCGACAGTTGAATCCACGAACATACGTCATACAATTGGATAAAGTATAGTAATCATGGATTCAGCTATCGTATATATTACATAAAAGTTCTTACAGAATAGCCTTGCTGCTCCGACATACTTTTTTATGATCGAGGTTTAGTATGAGCAATACAAATAACAAGCGCAATATGGGGAAGCTATTTTAAAATATCAAACAAACACTTCAATTTCATTAAATTACCATGGTAAATCATCGGTAGGCGTTCCTGTGCATATTATATGAGATCCTATGGAGAGGGGTTCTGTTAAATTTTGAGTAAATTTAACATCTCGCGCTTCTGCCAACTGAGTCTGGAAACAGCGTAAAATATTCAAGTTTATAATATGACAGGATACGTACTTACCTATAGGGGCTCATATTATCTAATAATATTTTTATAAACTGAAATGTTAGAAAAATCGTTACATTATCTTGAATAATCGAGACATCATAACCGAGATTTGTATCTTAAGCTTGGATGTGTCAGTCCTAAAGTCACATCTATCGTCAGCTGGCACTGAGCAAACTTAGATAATTTACATGTATACCTACTTTATGTAAATATAGACAAATAAATTATAAGTTATTATTTATGCACAAAAACACAAAATATGAGCGGCGACTAGTTATATTATATTATTACTAAATACTTTATATCTATTTGACCATGCAGTGCACGCAAAACTAAGACGACAAACATTGATTCATAAGCATGAGGTCATCAAGCGAAGTCATGGGTTGCCTTTAATTGGTGCCAGGGTTAAGTAGTTACAATGCAAATTAAATTTTAATATGACAATTAGAATGTTTTAATTGTCATACTTTAACAAAGTAGGCTTAAATATTTAATGTTTAAATAAAATAAATACTACTTGGAAAAGATTGCAATAGACAATATATGTGAGTGGTGAATAAAGTCGACTAATATAAAATTTATTTCTTAGATATTTTTATTACATTAATTTATTCAGAGTAAGAAGTTTATGTGATCTGACGGGCTTTGTTATAACTTATAACTATAGTTAATTTAGTAGTAGGTACAGTAGGGAGTAAACTGTACATAAAGTATGTTACAGGCGAATTTAATTTTTATCATAGTAAGTATGTATATTGCATATCTTTTCTGTAGTTATACTTGAGTAATTATATTTAGCCCCTGGGTTAGTCCCTTTGCGTGCTCAGTTTCGACTTACGATCGATACAAGATTTACTGGGTTAAAATACCACCCCAGTTGAATCTAGTATCGATCGTATTTATTTTATGGTTTAATACCAATGATACTTCATAACCAACATATCTAAGAAAATTTCATCAAAAATATTTATTCTCATGATACTTACGACCGCACAAGTAAACAATAATACCTAATTCTAAATATTTGGGAGGTACACGAATAAAATGTCGTCAAAGAATCTATTTATATTTCTGATCAGATCAGACCTAGGTATACAAAGATTTATTAGGCCTATAAATAATTTATGATATAATAAACCGCATCAAACTCTGTAATGACATCATTGATTTTTTAATACTTATTTGTAACCTTCAGAGACAAAATTATATATTAAAGGTACCAGACATTCACTGTTAAAATAAATTTTAATGTATTTGTAATTTTTACAAAATATATACAAAAGTAATGTGCTAGCATGCAAGTTTTAATCAATAAATTGCTTTTTATTTACGTTTTGGTGTTAAACATTTAACATTTACTTGTTTGTCGTTACCGAAGTTATTGGTATTGCCTCTTCATTATCACAACTTTCTGGTGGTCGAGCGCGGCAAAACAAGCGACGACAAAATGCGCCACAACCGCATCTGCCTTCACAAACCATTACTATAAATTATCGACTTGCGAACAACACCTTCGCTCACCGCTCACAGATGAACAGCAACTCACAACTCAAATCAGTAACACTGCAATCTGCATTCTCACAAAAATATCGCGCGACTCGCGTCCTAGTTACGTCCGCATCGCGGTGTACCCGACTATAATGTGGGAAATACTCGCTATGATTCATAGCTTGTTTGCATTTCAATCCAATTCAGTTATATGTTATGACTATTATTATTTGCCTTTAGCCATTTTTTATCGTTTACGTTAATGATATTTGCTATCCCGAATTAATAATTGTTGTGATGCCATAATCCATTTAGTATTTTTACATAGGTTGATCAGGTTCAGTTAAGTTTCATTTTGGTACCTGAAAAAATGGGGGTAATTATGCAGTGTTTTTGTTCGCAAGTGCATTTCCGAGCATTTCGGCGCTGAGGTTGATGGGATTTATAAAAAAAAATTGAAATATTATGTATAACTAGCCCCTTTACTACTATTATACTAAGCCCCTAGAGACTTACCCTCGCTTCGCTTGGGTTCGTCTTTAGGTACGTTTTCATTTTTTTTTAACGGGACCCTAATTTTTATTCTAAAATAAAAGTAGCCTAAGTTACTCCTTATAACATCAGCTATCTGCCATTTCGGAAATAAGCCAGAACAAACAGACAGACAGACAAAAATGTGTTTTCTTATAAGTAGGTACCGTATATAATTTTATATGCATTTAGTAAAAAGCTGTTATCAACCGACTTCAAAAAGGAGGAGGTTCTCAATTCGACTGTATGTTTTTTTTTATATTTGTTACCTCAGAACTCCGTCATTTATTAACCGATTTGGACAATTTTTGTTTTGTTTGAAAGGGTATACTTCCAGGTTGGTCCTAAGGGTGGAAAAACAACTAATGATGAATTTAACCTACTTCTAATTGTCATATTGACTTGAAACTTTACAAGTATTTCTATTTCCGTTGATAGTATAGTGATTTGGTGTTGTTGACCTGATCTGATGGCAAGGCCAGAAGGTGGATAGGTGGAACTCTTCAACGATAGTTTTCATTTACTATACAAGCACACCGACTTCGAAAATATTTGATTAGGTATGTATAGTAAATGAAAACTACCAATCAGTTATTTTTTACTTTTTAGTGCTTTTGTTTGAAGTCGGTTTTTATTTTTTTGTTAAAAAGTTTTTATTTTGTAATTACAAACAGACACTTCAATTTTATTTATCTGTATATGTGATTATTCTGCCATCTAGTTTAAAATATTGGTAGCATATTGTATCAATATTTTGTGAATTTATAAGATATCTAACTGTAACATTAGTAAGTAAAATAAAACAATAAAATCTGATTTTGAGTTTTAGTTAATTTAAGATGTATTTCAGTAGATCTTTCTAATATGACGATTTAATGTAAAATGGATGAATGTTAATCACAATAGGTTTTGTAATGTTGCTAAAGTCTGAATTTTAATTTCACGGAAATATGACAGCTATCATTATTTGACAATTCCGATATTATAAACCTTTTCTGCTTTGTACTTTTTTTAATATAAAAAAAAATGAAACAGAATAAGATAAAGTAAACTATATGTATGACATTGTAAATAGTCTTTGTTTTGTGCATTCAATGCACACTAAGTATAATGTAAACGTTTAATGGTTAAATGAAAAAAACCATGTATCATGTAATTATTATTACTTATATCATCCTTGTCGTCATCACCATCCACTCGGATTATAAAAGAATCACACACACTATCCATCAGATCATTAAGAGGGCACATTTTGTCCTCTTCTTTAATAATATGGTTTATGCATTCTTGCCTAAAATAATAATAAAAAATCGTGAACGATCGTTGTGGGCCTGTCTTTTTGGGACTTTCCAATTCTTTTTCCAATTGCAAAGATTTTACAAAGTAAGGGTTTTCCTAAAAAAGGCTTGCAACCTATGTATTATTGGACAGGGATTCTTGTAATAGAAAAATAATTTCCTTGATATAATTATTATAATATAATTATTGTAACTTCAATAATATGATAATAAAAAAAATACCATTTTAGAGTTATCAATATTTTTTTAAGTCTTAGTATTTCTAATTCAAACCTCAAATTCAAGAAAGGTTTACTTTTTTTATTTTGCTAAAATGCTTTCCGTTTTTAGTGACAATGTTTCAAAGCTGACAACAATTCTAAAATGTCAGAATTAGTGATGTGCCAACTCGAAAAAAATATAACTCGATTTAATTCGAGTTTAAATTCACGTAACTCGATTTGAACTCGAGTTAACTGGATGAAAAATGAAGTGAATGATTTGTTTTGTTTGTACCAATTTAATGACTCGGCTTCGCAACAACATTAAAAAATGGTACAGATTTTAAATAAATATTTATTGGGACAATTATAATTATTTATATTTTTTATATTTATTTATTTATAATATTACTAGCAAAACCCACGGCTTCGCTCGCGCCAAAACTACAAAAAAACACTCTAAAAAGGTAGGTTTCATACATAAATTTCGAAGAATGCTAAAACATATATTTATTTAATTGTATTGAAGAGCGTTAATACCAAGTTTCAAGTAATTCTGGTCATAAATATTTGTTTGGGTAGTATTAAAAAGTAGTCTATACCATTCTACAGCCCTCCAACTATCTTCACCCAAAAAATTACCCCAGTCCGTTACTCCGTTTCGACGTGAAAGAAGGATAAACAAACAAACATACTTTCACATTTATAATATTAGTATGGATATTATAACGCTGTCATTCAGTTGATACGCTATGACGGGAGTACGGACGACAGCGATTAAGTTAAATACTGTGGCATCTTATTCGGTTGTAATCGGATTTTGCAACATAAATGTATAGTTTGAAGTCCTGAAGACTGTACAAAGCATGAACACAACGAATGAATCGCCGCGCTTGCGTAAGGTCAATCGCGTACTCGCTTGATTCGTTCATTTACCACGGAATTCCAATTCGAGTCAGAGAGAATTCAACTCGAGTTAATTCGAGTTACGCCCAACTCGAGTTAACTCGAGTTAGTAAATCGAGTTCACACATCTTTAGTCAGAATTCTCAAGGTGTAAAAGTAACGAAAAATAGCGTACCTACCCGTATGCATTCGTTACTATAGCATCAGTACTCGTTACTTTTGAATCGTTACTCGTTACTTTTGATACCGGTTCGTTATTTTTTGGTCAGATCTAGGAACAAGATAATGGTACATAAGAATAATAAGGCTCAAGTTTAGAGAAGTTGCTTGTGAAGTCTTCTCGTTTGGCTTTTTTGAATTTAGAACCCCTACCTGAGTACTAAGGGAGCTAAAATTTAGCTGACCATTTAAATAATAGCCAAATTTTTGTATATTTATATATTATAAATAAAAATCTCACAAGATAAAGACTGATGTCTTTAGTCTTATAAATTTGTAACCAATAATTTATAAGTAGTATGAGAAATAATACTTATTTAGTGAAACTTGTGACGCTCAAGTACTGAAAGACAAGTATAGTAACAAGGTTGTATAAACCTTGTCCTATCAAACTTGTTAAAATGCAAGGTCATAATCTCCTAATAATGTAGGAATTTTCAGATCATCCTCTATTATCTTACTACATAATATGTAGTATCAACATTTATAAGGAACAACCAGAACAGCTTTCTAAATGTTCTTAGTATTTATTAAGAGGCATGCCTTTTCTCTTCAAGGAGTTTTTCTGTAATATCTATAACAAATATATACCTACTATTAATGTATCAAATATATAGTATATTTTAATAACTAAGTTTTTATTTCAATGGAATTGTACTAATTTAAATTTCTATGAAATTAATTCAATTTCTAAGAAATCTATTGTTAACTGTAATGCGGTGTGCCAGTGGTCTTTGAGGGATTAAATTATATTAATTACATTATATTTTCTTCATGGTAAATCAAGTAGGTACATATACACATTATATATAATAAAAGTGTAACTGATCGCACTGTCTGTACATGGAAGATATTTCAAAAACTATTATTGGGGGTCTTTATTACGCAATAGAATCCAAAACAATGATTTTTAGAATTTTTGCCTGTTTGTGCACACTAATCTCAGAAACAGTTAAACCAATTTGGGTGCATTTTTCACTTGTAACTTCACTTAACATTTACAATTTGTTTTATTTCAATGGGTTCATAAATATAAAAGTTATGTCAATTTATAGAATCAATCATAGGGATGAACCCAAGCAAAAGCAAGAGAGGGTGACTCGCTAGTACATAATATATAGGTCATGTATATACCTGATGTTAATATAACAATATAATATATATATATATATATACAAACAATAATCTAAATATATAATTAAACTTTATATAAATTAACTTAATATATTTAATATTATCTAATGTAAAAGTACAATGTTTTCAATAAAATAAATGCATTAGTTTGTCATGTATAAATAAATATAATAATGGATAGTTCAATTCAAGTTCAATATTAACACAATATGAATGTTCAGAAAATATTATGAGACTGAGTGGATAATTAACCCTTTATATCACTGTGGGGAACATACCAAATTATTCCTTATAAAATCTAAAGCAAATGGCTTTTTCAGTTATAAACACTTTGGAACATACCACACTTTAATAATTAGTACAGTTCATATTCCAGAGATGGTTTGGTATTAATTATTATATATAATATATACTATATTTTATATTTTTCTTTATGGTTATAAATATAATAATGGCAACACTAAATATAGATTACTAATTAATATTTTTTAAATTGTAATAATTATAAAAATAATAGCAAAAATTAAATAAATAATTTTCCATATTCAATTATAATTAAAATTATAAAAATGTTTAAAGTTAAAAAATATTGTAATATAATTGGTGCAATTTTCATTTTGTTAATTGTGGGTAGGCTGTCTGTAACAACTATATCTTTAAGACATGTAACACCTCAGTCTCTCCCGTGACCATGGATGCTGTAAAGCATTCGAAACGTCGGGAACCAAAAATCAAAATAAATCCGCAAAATAATCCGAAAAGATAGTTTTATTTAATAATGTCAAACATTCGCGTAAATCTAAGAAAGTATTAAGTTTGTTTTAAAATATTGAAAATCGACGAAAAATATATATACTGTAAAAAGTGTGTGTTTGTGGTATAAATCAGTTAGGTAAGTGTATGTTTATTGATATTCATTGTAGTTATTGAATAATTTTCCATTCTGAGCACTTTTTCATTCTTTTGACAGGATGACTTCCAGAGGTCTAAGAGAAGAGAAAATGGAGCAGTTCCTCTTTGCTTATGCAAAGAGTGAAGATAGATTCGACGATAAGGACGACAGCATCGCAGATCCTGATTTTGTTCTGGATTTGGAAGTACCAATGGAAGTCAATGATTTTGAAGAGGTTGATGGAATGGAAATTGACACCATTATTAAAAGTATTGAGAATTCCAGTAGTACTTCCCAACTACCAGCTCCTTCTGAAACCTTACCTCAGCCAGGACCATCCTTTAATCCTAGACCATCAGGACGTAATCAAGTCATGTAGAAATTGAATCTATGTTGGAAAAAAAAGAATCTGGAGCTAATTGAGCAGAAACTCTGCTTTACAGGTGACGAAGATTTGCCAACAGAATTTCTAGAACTTTATAGTCCAGTACAGTTCTTATTTAAAATATTTTCCAAGGAACTTTTTGAAGAAATTGCAAGCCAAACTAGTCTCTACATTGTGCAGAAAGATACTACCATACCATTTCGCGTCACAAGGACTGATATCCAGCAATTTATTGGTCTGGTTTTCATTCATGTCATTAGTACATCTTCCAAGAGTAACGAATCATTGAAGTGGTGGGTAAGGAACACCTATATGAAAGACACAATGCCTGTAAACAAAATCGAAAACATCATACGATTTATTTACTTCAACGACAACTCGGAAAGGTTCCACGATCATGTGAACCACGACTGTCTCTATAAGATCAGGCCAGTTGTAACAACTATGAAGCAAAAGATAATAGGTTCGGATATTTTACCATTTTCTGTACCTTACCATGACCAATGCCTGGTTCCTATACCAAAGGGTTCATAAGACCAAGAATACGAATGCACTACTGCTGGTATCTGCTGACTTTCGTAAAGAAATTCGTGCGATGCTTTAATAGATGGGGATAAAGTATAAACACTCAGATACAACGTCGAAGTATTGAATCATATATTCAGGACAAAAAGGGTTCAGGTCAATTTGTGCGGACCAAGTCAGTCACTGGCCAGTATGGGTCGAAAAAGGATCCGTTACAAGCTCCCTAAATACTCTGGCAGTTCACAAACCATTTTTGAAAAGTGTGGAGTGGCATTATGCAATAACAAACAAAATAACTATTTCAAAGCATTCTATACTTCGTAGAGGAACATATTGCTGCAGTGTACCAGTTATGGTACACTCCCCTTTTTTTGATTATGTGGAGTAACTAATTCAATTTTTTGAAAATTAAAAAATACGTGTTTTTTTATTTCCCAATTGCTACACTAAGGGCTACTTTTTATTAAATAATATGTTATTGAGTTATAAAGGGTTAAAGCTAAAAAATCTACCTAGATAACATAAAATTACCTAAACAATTTACAAATTTGCATAATTTATAACATAAGGACGTGTTTTTGTTAATGATATTATTTTTGATAAAAATAAATGGTCTATATTTAATTATACATTACTTAATCAAAATCAATAATGATTCCAATAAATATTATCACTATATTATATGATTAATCTAACCTCAAAATCCAGAGCATCTTCAGCAAAGTCGAATTCTATAAAGTCCCTAGGTATATCACCTTCTTCTACACCAGCCATACCTAAGCAATTTACACATTTCATCACAGCAGGCATATATACTTGTAAGAAAACATATGTTTTTAATATAAAGGAATGACGAATTGCTTCTCTATAAACTTATTTTAAGATTAGCTTTAAAACATTTTCATTGAACAACAACAACTATAACAAGTTTATTAAAAAATAAAAATAACAATAACAATTTTTTTTTCTTTCTCTATTGGCTTAAGAGTTAAGAGTGGCGACTTGCGATAACAGATGCAATCAGTGTTGCCAAGTGCCAACACTCTTAATCTTTAAAGAAAACGCGTTATATGATTTCAAAAAAGCGCTAGATTTGGACATTTTTCGAAAAAAAGACCTAAATTATAAAAACAATTATAAAATTTGGTAATTATAATTATTATTAATTAAATAGTTACATAAAAAGACAAATTATCTAAAAAATTTTTAATAGCTAACAAATTATACAAGAAGAACAAGTTTCTAACGATGAAGATTATCATCGTCAGAAACTTGTTCTTCTTATACAATTTGGTGGTACCTATAAAAAAAATAGGTATATAGTTTTGATCATGACTTACATTTTGTATTTTTTTAATATGTAATGTAATAAGAATTTAACATAATAAATCTAAGCTGAACATTATAATATACCAGAGGTATAAAATATGAAAAAAAAATTGAACCCATAAAATTGTTTTGTTTTGTTTAAAAATCAAAATTCAAAATACATAAATAATGAGAACTATATTATAATTTCATTTTATTATTTACTATAAATTTAACTTTTTTTTTAATAAATGGGCTAAACACAAGGGCTAACATTTGGTGTTAACTGGGCGGTGAATTTGAGGAGGGATTATATCATATTGCCACCTTGATTTCTTGTAATATATTTTTATAATTTTTAAATAAATTTTAAATTAAATTTTTAATTAAATATGAAAATTTGAATGTGAAAATTAAGTTCGAATATTATAAATAAAATATGATAAATATGTTGGGACATTAACACACAGCACCATCTAGTTCCATGGTAAGCTACTAGGCCTGTGTTACGGATACCAGATAGTTGATACACTACATATATATAATTTTAAATACATACATATTATAAATATAAACACCCATGACTGGATTACAAACATTCGTGCTCATCACACAAATGAATGCCCCCAGCGGGACTCGAACCCGCAACCGCTGGCACAGCAAGCAGGGTTACTACAAACTGAGCCAAACGTGTCGTCATCATGTATCATGTAGGGAATATTTCAATTTGGGACAATTAAAAAGAATATGAACAGTTGAACTCTCATCTAAGCCTCATAGATAGAGCTATTTCTAATTTTTAATTTAGCTAAATGTACCGGAGTGCACGCATCACCTAGACGGAGCCTATATATAGTTGAAGTGGTTTTACGGTCCACCCGGTAAAATCGAAAGAACCTCGGGAAGACCGGACCCTCCGGTTAGATGGAAGCATAATGCTTACCTTTAAATGTTTTAGAAGCGTTCCAAAACTTATTTCAGGAAGATTAAAGGCTTTTTTAGACAAAGAACGCAAGTCGTGTGAGTAATTATAATAATGATTTAAAATATCACTTACCATTATATTATATATTTTCTCAGAAATGAGACGTTTTGCCGCGGTAAAAAGTATCTTATATGTTGACCCGGATAACCAGCTATCACCATACCAAATTTCATGAAAATCCCTCGAGTGGTTTTTCTGTGATGCGGTAACAGACAGACAGACAAACATTCTAAAAACTATAGATTCGGCCTCTTTATCGATAATAATGTCTAATTCAACAAGATTTTCCAAAAAATATTTCATGTTCAGATTCGGCTTGATTACAATAATTTTATTATATGTATAGATTAATACGAATTTCCGCCTGCTTCCTTTGTGATAATTTTTTTTTTCAGTTTCTTTGAAATAAGTTCCTAGTTGTTATGCATGGTTGGAGAGCTAAGAAAACAGTTATGTTTTTAAAATAATATGTAAGCCAAGTTTCATAGCGTTTTTTTGTTTTTAAGGCATTTCAGTGGAATAAATCTCAATAAAATATTGAAATAATATAGTTTTTCGAATTTTTAAATTTGGACCTATAATTGTTGTTTTAATATTGATAAATAACCAGTGTTTAACCGTTTTTATAAATCAGAAGAAAAAATGAGAGATATTTTTTATAAATTTTTGATGTTACATTTTTGACTTATTTTGAAAAAAGCTAAAAAAAAATCATGATAACTCTAAAATGGTTCACTTTTGCATAATGCATATGGGGGTTAAAATTATCGCAAATAGTCGTCCCTATCGCCTCCTAACAGGAATACGTCGAATTACCAATAACCCTGTATAGTATAGTTCATAAAACTTCTAAAGTTTGCGTGTATCGCTCATTTAGCATAAAATAAACTAATTTCGTCGTGTAACACATGAAATGGTTCTAGTGATTAATTATCATTTTTGTGATTGTAATTGTAACGTATTTACTTGAATTATCGTTAAATAAAAAATACTATGTTTTACATAATTTTATTGAATATACATAAACGATAAAAATACTCTGTAGGTATATTTGTATTTACTTATGTATAAATATATTATTTTGACAATTTTAATGTTCGATACTTTAATTAAGCGTTTTCAGAAATCCAGCTCGTGTAAGATGACACTCGAACGCTCACTCCAGGATAGAACGGATCTGCGCAGCGGTATCCCCAGGATGTGATTCCCACTAGAGCATCTGTTTGGTGCACGAGAGGACCACCAGAGTCACCTTGGCAAGTGTCTTTGCCGCCAACATTGAGAATACCAGCGCAAAGCATCTCGGGAGTAACATCGGGCCAATCTTCAAAGTTAGGTTGAGTCTTCAGGTAGGCGTAACGCTCAGTGCAGAGTTGATGGTTAATGATGTTAAGGCCAACGCGCAGAAGCACTTCAGAGGACATGCCTCCAGACTAAAAATAAAATTGTTATTAATTCTTGCATTCGTTATAGTCAATAACTAAAAAATAAATAAAAAGCATCAATAAGAAATATTTAAATACCGAAGTAGCTCCCCATCCTGCGGCGTACACTAAAGTGCCATCAGCTAGATGGTAATTAGGTCCTGCAATGCGTGCGAGGCCAATGTTCGCAGACAAAACTGCATTACTTGTCAGTTTAACGATTGCGATGTCGTTCGTAAGTTCCCTGTTATTGTAGTTCCTATGTAAGACCAGGCGAGAGACAGAGTGTGTAGCCCCACCGGTAGAAGCGAAGGACGATCCGAGCCGAACACGCCATTGAAAAGCAGAATCACCTCTGTAAAGATATTACTTAGTTATTGTTATTTGTAAAATATTTATTTTTTGTTAAAACGAACAATGAAAAAGCTAAATTACGATTTTTTAGCAAAAAATAAAAACTCTCTTGTAATAGTTACTTATTTGTTATAAGCAATAATATATATATAACCGTACAAAGCTTATCTATACATATAATAAAACTGTACATAGAGAAATAATTGCTAAAAACCGAGTCAGGGGGATGTGAGAAATAAAACAAACCTAATTTTTTTTCAATTTTTTTGTTTTTCTGTCTGTTTGTCTGTTTGTACGGGCTAATCTCCGAGACCGTTGGACTGACTTATATGAAAATTTTTATGGTAGTACCTTGTATCCCCGGTCAATATTTTAGATACTTTTCATCCCGGAAAATTAAAGAGTTCCTGTGGGATAGTTAAAATACCATAGTAACTTATACAGCTTAGTACACAAAAACTACTGTTTGGATTTTAATGAAGCTTTACAATAATATAGTTCATACATCAAAATAACAAATAGGCTAATTTTTATCCCAAAAAATATACGGTTCCCGTGGGATAGATTTATTTTTGGTTGTCTAGAGCTAGTATAATAATAATAGACTACTGTCTACTTGGTCAAAGATATAATAATAATTACCTTTACCTTTTGTAGTTAAAGGCAAGGAATTTTGACGAGTCCAATTATAAAGACTTAGATAGTGAAAATAAAAAAAAAGTACAAAAATAAAAAAACTCGATTGTGTAAAAGGCGAACTGAAAAAATGAGAACAAGTTGACGAAGGAACATAGTATGACGCAGCCGGAGACATGCATATGTACATACATGTTTTATAACAGTTGCGTGTGTGTATGTCTCCGACTGCATATTAAAAAATAGGCTAATCTCCGAAACGGCTCGACCGATTTTGTTTCTTTCACTGGCAGATAGCTGATATTATAAAGAGTAACTTAGGCGATTTTAATTTTAGATAAAAAATTAGGATTCCTCTTAGAAAAAACGCGGGTCGCACCCGAGCGAAGTGAAGGTAACTTACTACTTTAGAGGATATAGACAATAGAAATAATATACTATTGAGGATTCTTCTGAAGAATTACAGAAAAATCCTTACAGAAATACAATTTTCTTGAACATTGTTTTGTGTGATTAACCTATCTCTTAAGGCTTAGCCAGTGTTAGCCATATAAATTTCTAAGGACGAAACCAGTTATTGTGTTTTCCCGTGGGAAAGAAATCTTTCCCTGAAGTAAAAGGTATCCTAAATGTTGACCCGGGTAATAATTTATCTCTTCACCAAACTTCGTTGGAATCGGTTCATTACGTTTTGCGTGAAACGCGCACACACAAACAGACAAACAGACATACAGATAAAAAAAATTAATAACTATTGTTTTGGGGTCTATGTTATGTAGGTAATACGTTACAGTCATTATTTTTTTTTAATATTTCATGTACAGATTTCGCTAAGTTACTGCTTTATTATAGTACAGATTAATAAAATTAATTTACTATACAAAAACAAATCTATCTCACGGGAGCCGTACATTTTTCCGGGGTAATATATAGCCATGGACGAATTAGAGATTGGACCTGACATAAAATACAAATGTATGAAAACTAGTTCATGTACATAGCCTAAAGCCTTCCTCGATCAAAAAAATTTTTTCAATTCCAACCACTACTTTCTGAGATTAGCGCGTTCAACCAAAGAAACAAACTCTTCAGATGTATAATATTAGTATAGATATCGAAATTAGGGATGCACCGATACGTTGTTCTACCGATACGATACCGATATTTACAAAAAAGTATTGCCGATACCGAAAAAGTATAAAATATAAAAAAAAAACTGGGTGTTTAGGACAGAAAACACAGAAACAAACGGTATTACTAACAGTAATATTTATTTAGAATGTTAACGAAATTGGAAATTGTAATTTAACAAAATATCAATTATGTATTGAAAGTTGAAAATTGTAATAACAAAATATCCATTTAATAATAAAGTATAGATTAGGAATTAATATTCAAAATTCACATTTATTAGATTTTTATCCAGAAAACAACACACCCTTAAATTATTAAAAATGTATCGGTGTATCGGTAAATTAATATCGCTGATACCGGTATATCGGAAAACCGTCGATATTGCCGATATATCGGTATCGGTATCGAATGCGTTCTTACTCAATATCAATACGATTAATTTCGCAAAATCAAAAAAAAAGCTTTTTTATACGTGGTAGTGTCTCTACTATTTTACTACTTATTGGTATAGATTTACTCACATATAACAGTGTGCAGCAGACAGTACAGCGTTTGTTGTTATGAGAGAACCACCACAAAATTGTCGGAAGTTAGTGCCCCAAAAGCTATATAACATATTGGCCGCAAAAGGGTATACTCTGATGTCAACAGGTTCTCCACCCACGATACGGGTGCCATGCTTGGGCGCCGCTGTAAAATTAAATAAAAGATGATAAAACCATTGCTATATTACCATACACCGAAAAATAATGTTAACCCTATGGCTCTCGAGTTCTAAATAATTGTAGTGCACAAAGCAAATAAATTAATAACTTACCCCAGGCGACGTTAATAAGGGCTAATAATATAAGGGCACGGTTCATGATTACACAGGTTACGTCGCTGAACTAAGGATTTTGTTGAATTTATTTGCCTATATACACTCGTATATCTTTTTATCAATGAGTATCTAATTAAGCCTACAGTCAAATATGTCGTAGGTACTAGCTTACCTACTCTATAAAGATATTAAGATCATAATCAATTATTTATCATAAAAATCCCTATAAGCTACTTATAATAATTTAAATAGGTGTACCTTAATCTTCCGAATTATGATTAATGACGTTATTATTATAAATATTACATTTTTTTTATACTTTAATAATTACTAATATTATTTAGTATTGCTATAATTATATTATGTATAATTAATTTTAAATTAAAATTAATATTAGTAATTAATAAACTTAAAAAAAGTAATATTTATAATAATAAAAGCTAAAATTAAATAAATAATATTGCTATTGTTAATTATAATACTTAAAAAAAAATTTTTAGAATTAAAATCAAGGTACTTTGGTGCCATTTTTAATTTTTGAAATCATTTTTGTAAAATAGTGGGTAGGCACTGTCTGTAACAAGCTTCGAGCAAGGTAACAAGTATAGGTATAACGCTTTTGAGACGTCTCTATTCTTAGTCTCTCCCATAAAGTAACTTAAACATACTGAGGTCTCTTTCGTGACCATGATTACTGTAAAGCAGCGGTCGGCAACCTTTCAGCAGGCAAGGCCACAAGGTGGCAAAATCTAGTAAAGGCGGGCCGCACTTGTGATATTATAAAAGAAAAAAACATTTTATTTGTGTTTTATAAAACGAAAAAAATTACAAAAAAATTAAACATACACCATAAAGTACCTATATAACTACAAACTTCAGTGTGACGATGGAGGCTGTATTTGAGCGGCTATTTGTTGTATGTTAGCTTTTATGTTAGTAGTTGCAATTCGTAAAATGGCTTTTAAATGTGAGACAAAAAACATATTTATTTTAACATTAAAAATGTTTTTTTTGTCGCTACAGTATAGGCCCGATTTTCAGCGAAAGTGGTTACGTGGTTGATTGGGATGTTAAAAGATGCGTTTGAATGAGGGCTACCAAAATGCAAAAAAAAAATTGAAAACACTCAAAGGCTTTTTTTTAAATCGAAAAAATGTGAAAAATGCGGTCGCTGTTCGCTCGGTTTCGGTCAGAAAAAAAATCACATCTTGAAATGAAATAAGATATCGAAAAAATAAAAAAAAACCCTAGAGATATGACTTCGGACTACATTTAAAAAAATATTGGAAGTTCATATCACTGATGAGTAATTCACAAGTTGTACCTTTGTGACCCTGAGTTTACGCGAGATATTGCGTGAGCGCGATAATGACGGTGAATAAATGTTTTGGAGCATGATTTTGTTTTTGAACCGAAGTGATTCTTTGTGAATAAATAAATATGAATTTAAACTAATAACTAATTAAAATTTATACATATAATAAAACAGTAACTAAGCGAAATTTATACGTGAAATACTTTTTCAAAACAATGACTGTAACGTATTGTGTCCTACAGATCCCAAAACAATGATTATGAAAAATTTTGTCTGTTAGTTTAACTCTTAGTTTGGTTAACTGCCAGTTAGTTTAACTGTTAATTTGATAAGCTGCTAGTTAGTTTAACTGTTAGTTTGATTACCTGCTAGTTAGTTTAACAGGCGTGTCTTCTTCGAATCTCTTCTTCGCCTGTCTTTTGTGTTTCTTTTATTGTCTATATCTATATATATATATATATATATATATATTAGTTACTAGCGGCTCACCCTCGCTTCGCTCGGGTTTCTAGACAAACAAAACAAATCTATCCCACAGGAACCGTATATTTTTTCGGGATAAATAATAAAAGTAGCCTATTTGTTATTCTGATGTATGAACTAATACAGTTTCATTAAAATCCAATCAGTAGTTTTTGTGTGCTAAGCTGTATAAGTTACAGTAGATTTTTAACTATCCCACGGGAACTCTTTAATTTTACGGGATGAAAAGTATCTAAAATGTTGACCTAGGATATAAGGTACCACCATGCAATATTTCATTTAAATCGGCCAACAGTTTCGGAGATTAGCCCGTACAAATAGACAGAGAAACAAAAAAAATGAAAAAATCTGTATTTGTTCTATTTCTCTTCTTACATCCCCCTGACTCGGTTTTTAGCATATTTTTTCGATGTACAGACATTCGACCTCTACAGTTATATGTATAGATAATATCTTTATGCATCGAAATACTTTTTTGTAGTGTGAACGCGGGCAAATTCGGTTGTTCTACTAGTAATCAATATGTTTTAACATAGTTTCATTCATTTCATTTGGCAGATTCATTTTCGATGTACTCTAAGATCGTGGCAGACACGAGATCTGTGGATTTTTTCGATAAGTAAGTATTGAAAAAGTTTGTTCTTATAAATAAGTACTACCAATAATAATTGTAATTAACTGATGAGCAAACCTTTTCAAATCTCCGAAACCAGATGGCATTAGCGTGTTCACCGTAATGCACGGTTGCTTAAATTTCCCGCCTACTTATTAATTACTTTATAATTATAATATTTATTTATTTTGGTTGGTACCTATAAGTTTTATTTATAAAACAAAAAATAAATACGCGAAATAATCCGAAAAGACAGATTTATTTAAAATGTCGAATATTAGCGTAAATCTAAGAAAGTATTAATCCCTCCACGACCGCGGACACGCCGGCGTGTCAGTTAACAATAAATTTCTTAGAATTTTAATTAATTTCTTAGAAATTTACCCGGAGGTGTTAATTCTATTGATAAGTGAAAGACTCTGGTAAATAATGCCCACAATGAAGTGGTGCTTTCATTTTTGTAGGCGAGTTCTCAACCGTTTAAAACAGGTTGTTTTAAATCTATATTATATCCTCTTCTCACTCCTTGCTTTTCTCGTTAGTAATTTCCTTGGTGTTAAGGTTTTCCCACACTGCGATCACTAAAAAAACTGTATTCTCATTTCTCTATTCTTTAAATTGTTTACGTCAATAGAAGTAGTTGCATAATTTAACAAAAAATGATAAAAATGCCTGCACTACGAAATTGTCTTTTGTATGGTGTTTTTGCCGTTTGAATATCATTACGTATCAAACCATCCGATAATATTGTTTCAAAGCTAAACTGGCAATGTTAAATAAATAGAGTAAACATACTCAAATACGAATTTATCAAAGTTGTAGCACGCAGAATATGACAATGATTTTAAAAATAAGTAAAGGCAACAGCTATTTTTTTCAGTTTATAAAGGCACGATTTGGCATTTTAACCCGACTGCGGCAAAGCGTATGGAAAGGGTTATGTGTTTGAGCTATATGTATGAATGTTTGATTCTATGTTCCAACGTTATTACTAAACGGCTTATATAACCGATTTTAAGTATTAAAACGTCGTTAGATTCTTACTGATAACGCGAATGTTATAGGCTATTTAGATATTATTAAGATTCTAAATGACCCATATCAAGCACCGATTTGTATGTCTTGAAAATTATTTTTTTTATTTTAGCCAAATTGGTAAATAAAACTCAAATTGCCTAACCGACTGAAACTAAAAAGCTGTTATAAAAATATATTTCTAAAAACAAAAATCCCGACTGAATAAAAATAGAACTAAAATGATGGAAACAAGTTGACGAAGAAACATATTATTATGCCATCGGAGACGTACATACATACATGTTTTTCCTAGCTGCGTGATGTACATAAGTGTGTCCGCTTTACCCTCAAAGTTTTTACCCTGACGAGGATCAGTACAACAAAAATAACTAGGTAATGAAATTCGCAACTTTAGTTGCATATATGAATCTATGTACCTTTCGCAGAGTACTGCGCCTATACCTTTCGGGATACTAGGTTATAAAATAACACGATTCTTTGGTATACACTTTATTAAACTGGAATGTCCTAAATAAACATACAAAATATAAACATACTTTTACGTTACGCTATAACTTATACAGTTCGAATATTTTTGATTTATATAATGCAATTTTCGAATCTATGGCGGTAAACAATAATACTTTGGTCGTAAAAAAGTTTACTAATTCGTAAACCGTGCGTTCATGACGAAAGCTTTACAACTAGCAGGTGGGGAGAAAACATTTTATATTATTATTACAAGTAACACCGATTACAAGTTTGAATTAAATTGAGGTCTAAAATTTAAAGTTTAACGATGTATCATATTTTTAATTATGCATATTCGCGGAATAAATTAAATACACAATAAATCGGGTGAGGCGTGGGACTGTGTCGGAGCACACCGCCGTTGGTATCTTTGAAGATAACAACGGAAAGAATATCGTATATTATATCATTGTTCAGACACGGTTACTATGGCAACCAATTGTAACTTATTTCGTTACGGTCCACTTTTCTGACCCGTATGTTTCGGTGTGATTTATAAGACGTTTCACGTCAAAAAAAAAAAAATGTTGATGTCACATTACAATAATTATAAAATCATTTACAGATAAAAGGTAATACGCATAAACATTTTTTATGGTTAATCATTTGTAGAACTGTTCATTACAAATCCTTTTGTGATAAGCGTGATGATGATTAAGTATTATCTTAATCTTGTATCAGGATCAAATTGATAGGTGACTTATATTAATATAACTAGCTACTGCCTGTGATTTCGCTGTCTAATATATTTGTATTTAGCCCCAACTTCTAAATTTGATATTCGCTTACTTTTGGACATTTGGGTTCAAACGATTGAAATTAAACAAATAAATTCTAAATTTGTTCTATTATGGGGGCATCCATTAATTACGTGATGGTGGTGTCGGCAAATATAGCGTATTTTTTCCCCAAGAAACATTCAATAAATATATTATATAATAATATTCTTTTATGAATTTTAATAGTCTCTATTTAAGTATTTTATTGTTTGATTTTCTCATTGTGGTTCTATGCTACGTCATTAAAAATCTTAAATACTAGTCTTAAATAAAGAAAAATATAAGAAAATTGTTTTATTTAAATAAATCTAATGTAATCGAAGCACAGATTAACTCATTAACATTGGAAATACGCAGTTTAAAAAATCACGTGAGATTAGGGAAGGGGCTGGAGGAGGGATTGAGAATCTCACTAAATCTTACCAAGAGGGGCTGGAGGGGGGAAGGGGGGGGGTTTGTTCGCTCAATTGTCTCACATAATTAATGGATGCTCCCTTAACTGTACACCAAAAATATCTTTGTGATACGTCCAAGTAGATACACCAAGTTTCAAAATTGCAGAAGATTGGGATTTGTCTCTCAATCAAGAACACTCTCCAAATTGAATAAAAAAATCACAACTTTGAACCAATTGTAATTTTTTACATACGATATCCGTCTTTACAATATGCATAAAATGACAATCCAAAAAGCTGTTTTGTAATGTATTACATAAATTAATGATGTTGGATTATTTCTTTTCAGTCTTATCAACATTTGATTATTTGTTGTGGCCATTTTGATTATTATAACACTTAATACATCACATTGATACCATATACTTATGTAGGCATTGTTCAGTGACGTTCACATTCGAAAGCAAATTACTACAACATTTTTCAATACAATTATAAGATTTTTTTTTAAATACATTAATTTAAATCAACGGTACAACTAATCGATGAGATTTCTAATAAAATTACAAAAAAGCGTCCTAAGTAGTCATAGATTGTGAATTGACAGTTCAAATTCAATAGTATTATTATAATAATAATTTTGTTTAATTGACAAAGTCTTATATACGTAATATAAACAAACTTAAAACACTACGTTAAAGTGTAGAATATTAATAGGTTAAATGGCTTAAACTAATAAAGCTTTCATTTTACGTTTACATAATTTAACTATGAGATTCGATTATATATACATACATTAAATTAAATAATTAAAAAAAACCAAACAAACTTCCAATAATGAGGAGATCGTAGATATTTATCTAGCTTTATCCAAAATCACTATATTGGTTTCAAGCATACGCGGTTCCAACGCGCTATGACTTAACAACCTTAAGGCCAAAGGAATTAGTACAAGATCCGTAGTAAGGTCGTCCTTCACCTACCTGCATATCGGAAATAAATAAAAGTATTTTGTGTTAGGTTACTAGTGACTCCTTCGTTTCTAGCTACCCTTCGCATTTATAGGACATTTTACGTATTTATTTAATTTTAACCTAACTCTAACCCAATTTACTAATATCCAGTACCCCAGTAGTTTATTTTTGCAAAATGTTTATAAATTATTGTATTATAACCTTTCCACATAATCCATTTTTCTATTAATGAAAACTGTGAAAATCCATAGAGGTAGAGGTGATAATATAATATTAAACAAAAGTTTAAAAGAAAAAAAAAAAACATTTTTTTTCAATAACAGTAGCTTTGACCATATTTGTAATTCATTTGCGATATATTTGTTATTAATATTTATTCTACGCTTAATATTAAATATGTTCTTTAAACAGATGGGCGATGGACGACTTAACGTCGGATTTTACACTAAATGCTATTAGTAGAAGCGACTTGAGCTTTTACATTACTGTAAGTTTCGACAATGAAGAAGCGGGTAACATTTATTAAAAGTCCGTGGATATAGTTAAAAAGTTGTCTTGTGGTGTCTATTGTACATATGTAAAAGCTTAGTACTGAACTTGGTTTGAGGCAGAAAATATATTGAGTGCATGTGTTTGTGCTAATATGTAGATGTAGATTGTATATCATCTTACGGTAATATTTGGCAGGGTCAAGTCTGTATTCCGTATCGACTAAACTTACATAATAACTACTTAAGATAAGTAATCCTTTGTCAGTAGCAACACACTACGTATTATGTGAAAGGTCGATTAATGGTTAGATATTTCATTACATTGTTCATAATCGTATCGCTTATTTTTTACGTTGAATTGTTCTATTGGCTATATAAGATCACTTAATAGTTTTAGCATTTAGGCGCAGTAAAATCTTAATTAAAACGTAACTTACAAAAAGCACAGTAAAAAAGGTCAATAGCATAACTAGTACTTAACACTGTAATGAATAAATAATCTTACAAACACGTTATATCAGACTATAATAAGTGCAACAATTACATCAGAATCGAAACAGCAACATGTCCATTAGAATATAATATAATGTGGAAACAGCGTTATGTATTTGTAACAAAATTACTTATACACATATTCAAGCCAAAACAACAGCTTCGCATGAAGCTCGAAAGGCACAATTCATAAGATACAGCTTTGAGTTTACTATGTTTATACAGTTTATTATCTCACGTAGTTACTCTTTGGAAATTATGTTATAATAAATACTATTCAAGTACACAAAAGTACCCGCTAAGAAGTGTCGACATCCTTCATGGCGACTGCAATTACCTGGAAGAAAAACGCAATATATTCATTTTGACACACGAACTGAAAAATACTAAGAATGAAAAGAAAAATGGCACTTCATTTCTTGGAGTCAAAGGCCGCGCGCACTTTGGATACGTTTTCGTGCGACCACGTACGAACACGCACGAATGATCCCGAAGTTTCAAATACTATGGAGGCGCGCATAGTGGGTCGTACGTATACGTGCGACGTGCGTGTAGTTCCAACATCAAAAATCAATCCGAACTTGTTGGGATTTTTAAACAATTTCGTGCGTTGAAAATTAAAAATGGATGGAATCTACCTATTTGACGAAAAAAACGTATTCAATGTGCGCACTTAATTCGTACGACCACGATCATTCGTTTAAGTACGATACAAATTCGTGTCCAAAGTGCGAGCGGCCTAAACGGTATAGGTGTATTTTAGACATCATCAGATGGAGGACCAACGTGACACGTACTCTTCCCAATTTTGAGCTGCTACTGAGAATTTATTTACAAAACCTCTCAATAATACATAGCTCGGGATTCGATTCTCAGTATATACAAGCAAACATGCTAACCATTAGAAAAGGTCAACTAGCCTAGATTACAATTATTATTAAGTAGAATGCAGTAATTCGATTTTAAATCAGCTCCTTTTAAAAATAACTCAGCTAGAAAGTTGTAATCCATCATTTAATTCATATTTTTGTTTCTTGAAATATTTTTTAAAATACTGATTGTATAACGCACTAACGACTTATTCTGATTAAAGTGCTTAACAGCAGCACGTGTCATAAGCTATGTACTAAATTTTATGCAAATCCGTCTAGCCGTCTCAGCGAGGAGTAACAAACATATCTTGTGTATGTTTGTTTAAATTGGTTGGTTCATGAAGTTTTCGCAGGACAACATTTGTCGTGTGAGCTAGCAATTTACAAACGGAATTTTATTTATCACTTATTGAGTTTTTCGCCAGCTCTTAACAGCAGAACTTAGCCTTATCATTTAATGAAATAATTTAATTTTAATGAATAAAAAAATATGTATATGTAAAAATTAGCGTTTTAAAACTACTAAGTTTATTTAAATAAAGTAATTTCTAATTTAACTGCCTCGGTGGTAGTGTCGAATTGTCGTCTCGGCGGACTATGAGTGACAGGAAGTGTGCACTTGCTGCACTATAATATCTCCTGCGCAGTTGGTCGGTTAGGTTAACCGCCGTGGCCGAAATCGGTCAGAAGTACAATATTATTAAAATTTATTAGGTATAACTAGCAGAACCTGCGGCTTCACTCGCGTTAGAACTACAAAACAAACTCTAAAAAGGTAGGTTTCATACAAACTTTAATCCACTATTTTACCCCCTTATGGGATGAATTTCGAAAAATGCTGAAACACCTATTTATTTAAGTGTATTGAAGAGCATTATTAATATCAAGTTTCAAAAAAAGTTGTATTAAAACGTGTTTTCCCGAGGGGATTAGATAATCTCTTGCGCTAACAAGAAACCTATGTCAGTCTCCAGCCCTCCAACTATCTCCGCTCAAAAAATCCCGCCAATCCGTCTCTCCTTGAAAGAAAGACAAAGAAACAAAGACACTTTCACATTAATAATATTAAGTATGTATGTATCAAGTGAGTCAGTAGTCAGTACTCACTGTCTGTCGACGGTGCGCTTGAGCCAGTGCGTGAAGTGTCGCAGCTGGCACACGGCGCGCGCGGACTCGTCGCGCAGGCGCGCGTTGTGGCGGCGCAGGCGGCGCAGCTCGTCCTCCAGCGCGCGCCGCGTGCGCTGCGCGCGCGCCGCCTCCGCCTCCAGCGCGGCCACGCGCGCGCCCAGCCCGCACGCGCACGCCGCGCCCGCCCCCCCCGCGCCCGCCGCGCCCGCGGGGCTCTGCGACTCGCTCGTCTGTACAGTGTCATAGTGATTAGTGATCACTTCTTTAACTAAAAGAACCGTGTGTGTGTGTAATTATGTACGCACGCACATGAGCAATATACTTCTTTGGCGACCACAACAAAAATAGCTAAAGATTTCACCCTGTATGTCACAACTCTCTGTCGCTTTCAGCTAACTTCATCATGTCGTTTTATGGCTGCCGGTGTGCGCGCGCATCGTAATAATTTTAGTCTTATAATTTTTCCCAAACGTGCCAAAAGAAATATAACTTCAAAAAACAATACTCAGGATCAGTCTCTCTCGAGACCATTATGACTATAAATATAAAACATTTAAAATTATCGGGATCTAAAAATCTAAATAAAACCGCATAATCCGTAAAGCTAATTTTTTTTAAATAAAAAAAATGACAAAGATGATTAAGATAAAAATAAAGTAAAGATGATTTTTTTTCTTGAAATTTATATTATACACATTTTATTCTGCCCACTTCTGAACACAGGTCTTTCTTTGTTCCACATTTTTCGAAATTTATTTAGGTTCTCTCATTATATTATTTCATTCTTATTCAGTAAATGGAATATAATGCTTTATTCGGTTTGCAAACAAAACTTTTTTTAACCATCTGAAAATAAAATTATGTAACAGTATATCATAACATAAAAAAACTTACAGGGATTTCAGACCAGTTATCAAGACCAACTTCTGTTGTCGAATCAGGTGGGGGGTCCGAGTTGTCCATTGATGGATACTGGTGCTCTTCACAAATCTAAGTGAAATAAATTGTATTTATTTTTGAGTAGTTGACACCACCAATCCTTAGATACTTTTTATGATTAATCTAATTTTACATAGTAATGTAATCTACCTTTTTTATTTGTATTTATATTTTATTTATATTGGACGAGGAATTTACTATGAATCTTTTAGCCTAAAACTACTGTTGTAATGCAATTTCTCCATATGTATTGCGTATGACAATAGCAATCTGTGACGTTTTTATGAAAAATTTTAAAATATTTATTTATTAATTTAAATGGTTACTTAGTAAACGGAGTGAACCATGCAAAGCGCTTTCTCTGTCCCACATTAGCATACAAACTGATAAGGACAGAAAACTCTCTAGCTCCGCCTACTAACGCTTGCAACTTGTTTGAAATTATAGGACTCGTTCATGTTTCTAATGCTTTAGTGAGGAATTATATATTAATAATTTGGAATAAAATAAAATCAATATTAAAGTAAAATTAACTGTATTTTTAAATATTTATATACATTATTTATTAATTTTCACTTTACGACGTATCACTGTCGTCTCCTACATTGATAATAAATCAGATAACTACACGATAGACGTCTGAACGGTATGGAATGGAACGACTTACTAATTATAACTTGCATTGTAATCGCGGCCCAAGCATCTTATCTGCAATAATCACGTGGAAGCGCGAAATTTCAGTGCTTGGTTCATTCGGCGAATACAGTATAAAAGCATTTTATAATACTACTAGCGGACCCGACAGACGTTGTCCTGTCTACACGTCTTTAATTTGAAAATTTCAAACTTTTTTTAATATTTTTTTGATGAAAATTATTATTCAAATTGTGAATCAAAACCATTCCCAGATCCCCTTGAACACACACAAAAAATTTCATCAAAATCGGTCCAGTCGTTTGAGAGAAGTTCGGTGACATACACACTCACAGAAGAATTATATATATAAAGATAAGTCTTTAATAATTCTACAGTTCTGTGAAAACGAATTGAATTTTCAGGGCTGAAATAAAGTACTTTAGAGAAGTTGTGAATTGGATATTTTTCCTTAATAGTCTCAACTACAATTGACGCTTGAACAGAACATAGGCGGCAATCTTAATAATAAAATAAAGAGCTCTCCAGCGGCATTAAAAATAATGTCTGATAATTTTTTGACAGAAAAAATAGTATTAATTTGATATAATATTATGTAATATCATAACTAAAAATAATTTAAATACGTTATTTCTATACCTGTAACATGGCGCGTGTCGCGGTGTGTACGAGCGTCGCCCAGTCCAGTGCAGACGCGTCGGGCAGCGGCAGCGGCGCACCCGCAATGACCGTATTGTTCCCGGTAACGTTCCCCGTGGTGTTACTGGTAACGTTACCGGTGCTGTTTACGGTGGTGTTCCCCGTTGTGTTTCCGCTTTGGTTGCTCCTGTCTCCGAGCTCTGCGTCCATTAGACGCATAAGCTCTTCCTAAAGAGATGATATACTTATTATTAGATAAAACTTTAACAGATATTTGTATTAAATATTATTAGCCATACTGGTTTTGAAATTTTGCTTTTTTGGTCGAATAACTAGTGTTTATGGCTGCAGGTTGAGTACTCTTAGGTTCGGGTCCGGGGCCAAAATAGTTAACGAATTTCTATAACGAACTACTCAGTTGCACCCTGGGGTTGGGAAGTTAATTATGTGCCTCAGAGTGCACCATTGTACTGTTGATCCTACACCTTATTTCTCACCGGTCGTGCCGAGTTGTCTTCCTATTGAATTGTGGTAGCTAAAGCACGTGTGCATTATAATATTTGCCGCGTATTTGGTTAATTTCATTGGGAATGGCCGCCGTAGCCCAAATCAGTTAGTAGGACATTATTATTAGATATGAAACGGATATCCGGAATCCGGCCTATTTGACATTATTTCGTTATTCGGCCTGATCCCGCATAGTAACGCAACATCAGGTCGGATCTAGGATATTTAGTAATTATGATTTTTCTTTAGAAAACTGCAATTGAAAATATCAAAGTGCTGAAGCTGCTCTAGCAAACTTGGACAACTGTGAGTACTGCTCCGAGTTAACCAATTATTCGGGTAGCAAATTGATTGAACAAGTAAACAACTGACTTTCCCTAATCGATGTCTCGATGACAATCAAATACGACGGAATTCTTCCGATAACATAAGCACTTGTCGCAACATGCAACGTGACGATAGGTTGAATATTCCGGCCACCAGATATAAAACCATCTCGCCGGCTGGATCCCTATCACCGGATATGCGGTATCCAGCTAAACATCTATCCGTATCATCCATAGATCTAAAAAGTACTAGATACACAATCAGCGACAAAAAAAAGTCTTGACCGAATTTTTTTTTTGTGAAAACAACTTTAAGCATTGCATTTAAGTTTCAATTTACATTGTTGTATATTTATTCCAACTAAAATATTTATCTAAACTTAATTGGTGAGTTAGGTTAGTTTTAAGAGAACTTATGCATTGGGATTGTGTATCGAGTACTTTTGTGATCGATGGTTTCATCGCTAATTACTATTATACACACAGAAAAAAAATATGATCTGTGAAAATACATTGTTAAAATTATTAAATAAGTAAAAGTAATTGTAATTGAAAATGATAAATAAGCAGGTATGGAATAAAGTTTCATAATAATTATTATATATCAGATACGTACCGTGAGTGAGGAGTGCGCGGCGGAGTGCGGGCGGCGCGAGTGTCGCGGCGACGCGTCCTCGTGCGAGCGCCGTCTCACTTCCACGCCGCTGTTCGCGTTGCCTCCCGATGTGGTGCTGCGGCCTGAACCACCTGTGCAGGGCATATTGCTTTGAGGTTAAATTACACTACACTACTGTACTAAAGCAGTGGTAGCCCAGTGGTAACGCGTTCGCTTGGGAAACCCAGTGACGCGGGTTCAAATCCCGGGTCTTCACACCTCTGATATTTTCGTGTGCGAATCATTTCCAATATGATTATCACTAGTCTTACGGCGAAGGAAAACATTGTGAGGAAACCTGCATGTCTGAGAGAACCTAGTAAGTTTTTGAAAGACATGTGAAGTCCGCCAACCCGCACTTGGCCAGCGTGGTGGACTATAGCTTGATCCCCCTCGTATTGAAGGGAGGCCCGTGCCCGGCAGTGGGACGTTAAAAAGAGCTGAATACATATACTGTTATACATGAGTATCTATGTTTGAATTGTGTGTGTGTGTGAATTGACCAGATTTGGATGAAATTTAGAATAGATAAGAGTAAAACATAAACTACGGCTAGGCATCACACTATTTTATAACATGTAACAGCAACTGTTGAGTTTCTCGTCGGTTCTTCTCAGCAGATCTGCTTACCGAGCCAGTGGTAGATTCCTCACAGACTGACTACACTGACATTTAATTTAAATTTAAAATGTAAAATTGACGATTTAACAGTGCTTGTAAAAGTTTATTTGAATAAAGTATATTTTGTTTTGATTTAGAAAAAAAATACTAAAAATCGAGTCAGGAGGATGTAAGAAGAGAAATAGAATAAATCCAGATTTTTTCATTTGTTTTGTTTCTCTGTTTGTTTGTTTTTCTGTTTGTCTAGCTAATCTTCTAAACTGTTGGAGCAATTTAAATGAAATTTTGTATGGTGGTGCCTTATATCCCTGGTCAACATTTTAGATACTTTTCATGCCGGAAAAATAAAAAGCTCCCGTAGGGTAGTTAAAAAGCTATAGTAACTTATACAGCATACATAGTACACAAAAACTACTGATTGGATTTTATTGAAACTTTAGAATAATATAATTCATACATCAGAATAACAAATAGGCTACTTTTTATCCTGGAAACATGTACGTTTCCGTGGGATAGATTTGTTTTTGTTAGCTAGTCGTAAAGAAGACAGGTGTAGGGAACTCACCAGTTCCGTAGCCCGAGGTGTCGGAGCGCGGCGGCGACAGGCGGCGGCGCGCCGGCTGCTGCGCCCACGCCTCGCCGCACGCGCTCTGGCACTCGCAACGCGCGCTCGCGAATGTCAGCCGCATCTGGTGCGATACACTGTTTTACTTCTCCGTCATATTGGTGATGAAAATTATGATACATACTACAATTCTTTTAATACTTTCTTAGATTTGCGCGAATATTTGACATTTTAAATAAAACTATCTTTTCGGATTTTTTTTCACGGATTTATTTAGATTTTTGGTTCCCGGTGTCTCTCCCGTGACCATAATTGCTGTAAAACATTGGAAGCGTCGGGATTCAATTCTCTTGTGAATGGCTTCAAATCGTGCCAGTTTAGCACAGATTATTTCGCCAATTTCACATAGAAAAGGGACACACTTAAAAACCTTTTGTACAAGATAATTATATTTCAATTAAAAAAAATTACTAGTTCAAAATCACATCAAAAGTAAATATTCCTATCCAATCTTTTAAATTTTTAAAAAATCTCTGAAATCCGTTAAAAAACAAATGTAGAACATAAAAACTTCGCACAATCACCAGTAAATTTCATATGTCTACTTTTAGCGTACTAGAAGAATTTCGTAACATTTTAAAGAGTTTATTTGTATGATATAAAATTTTACCTTTAAGTGATTGTGAGTCAAAATTTGCCAAAAACATACAGAAACATATTTATAAAGTATTTTTTTAATTCAACATATTTTATTTTATTAAATATTTAATTAGAGAGCTTCTTTTTTAAATTTCACTTTAAATGAAGACAAATTGCTCACACAACACACTTCAGAGTCAGTGTCAGCCATCATTAAGTAAAATATTTAAATAAGCAGTTTTTTAATACCATTGTTTATTACATACACATAGCAATGGTTTTACTGGAAAGTTCTTTCCTCTTTACTATCAGGATTGTAGCATTCTTATCGAAAAATTGAATTTATAGAATAACACTTCTTTCTTTTTGCATATATATGTATGTATAAAAATTACATATCAATGTTTTTTTGTGTTTTTTGGAAAGGTTTACCTCTGCTAAAATTGTACCCTTCGCCACTGGTGTACTTACAGTAACAGGATCCGAGGTCTTCAGCAGATCGACGAGGTGGTCGTGTGGGAGCGCCACTACGGCGGCGCGGCACACCTCCAGCAGGCGCGCGCCGCGCCGCACGCCCGCGCGCGCCGCCGCGCCGCCGCCCTCCACCTGTGTCACCAGACCGTCGGGTTGCACGTGGAAACCTATAAAGTATAAATATATTATAATTAGAGAAGTCATAAGCGGCCTTAAATCGACAACGCGTTTAAACGTTTTTTAAACGATTATAAAAGTGTTTTTCGTTGAAACCCTTTTTTTATAAAACTGCTAATCGTTGAAGACCTTTAAACAAAATGAAGACTTAAGTGAAAGTCATCTGTCATAACGACAAGTGTTGAAAAAAGCGTTAAATGGTTGCCGGTTCGTTGTGTTGTAAAGCACTAACAAAATTAATGCGTTTTCATTTTCCAAAAAAAAATTACGTAAAGAAGTAGAATGTAATTTTGCCGCTTAGTATGAAATGAATCTATTTGATATTGAGTGAGTCTTATAAATATAGAATTATGGTTGTTATCTGTTAATATAATATCCATACTAATATTATAAATGTGAAAGTGTGTTTGTTTGTCTTTCTTTCACGCCACAGGTAAAAATGATCGAGACGCACGTACATTTGTAGGATGCCATGTATCTAAAATGTATGGATGACATTCAACCCGACGGCGAAGAGTGCGATGATAAAAGCGCGACGGTGCCACCATAAGAAAAAAAAGTTCATCAGAACACTCTCCATTGTATAGACGATAGAAAACACACAGAGAGCCAACATCTCTCCGAAGGCTTAGAGGTTCTGAGTCGTCTGTGAATATGGTATCATAATATAACAAACCCAGTTGCGAGGCAGCCCCCCGCTCGAGCGCGAGCTCGGCCAGCGCGTGCGCGTGCGGCGGCGCCACGCTGGCCAGGCGGCGCAGCAGCGCGACCGCGCCCGCCACGCGCACGCTCTCGCCGCGGTGGTAGTACATGCGCGTCCACGACCCGTTCGACACCCAGCCTGGAACGTTTGGAAATAAAACTGCATTCAAATATATTTACTTATTAATATTTATCTACTATATCTTCTAATATGTAAATCTCTCGTGTCACAGTGTTTGTAACTAAACTCTGATACGGCTTGACCGATACTTATTATATTTTGTGTGTATATTGATATGAGAATAAGACTAAAACTATTTTTCATACCTCTTAAGTGATAAGGGTGGTCCACGCCAAAAAAAATTTTTTTTTGGACAATTTTTTTATTTAATTTTTTTATGATTCGGTATTAAAAATACATACAAACCTAAATCTTCACCAGTTCTAATGTTCGCTAATAAATTTATATAAATTGAAATCAATGTTTCTTTGTGTATTTATACTCTATGCATTCCTAAAGCATTCATTCTATTGTAATGAAACTTTGGTAAGTTGTTCTACGTAAGTTAGTTCAAGAATAATAATTTTTCTTCATATGTTTGTCCTCTATGCCTTCCTAAGGGATTCATTCCTAGGGACGCACCCAAGCGAAACGAGGGTAAGCCGCTAGTTATATATAAGCGGCATGGTCACGAGGCAATTCGGGAACTGATAGCTTTACTTTTATGAGTTTCCGATATTGTCCCAAGAAGTACATAGTGAATATCCCGCTTTACATCACAAAAATACTATATACTAAGATTTATTGGTCTTCACTGCATAAATCTTATATTAATAACTTACCCTAGCCTAGCTTGACTGTGTCCCTAAGTGGTTAAAAGTAGCCTATGTGTTATTCTTGGTTATAGTCTATGTGTGAACTAAATTTCGTTGAAATCCGATTAGCCGTTTCAGCATGATGAATAACAAATAAACATACGCACATACGCTCTTCGTTTTATCTAATACTTACTCAGAAATATTTAATTATAGATGAAATGATAAAACAAAGTTCGTTGTAATTAACATAAAGGTAGGTTGGGATGGGGAGTCCCCCCCAACGTGCGTTCACTTTGTCGTGGTGGGGGGGCTCAGTAGTGCCCGGCAATCCAACCGGGCGCGAAGCTAAGAAACGCACAGGGAGGTTGCCCACTTCGGTGGGCGGTGGGAGGTGGCTCTCTTCGGGGGGCGGTGTACCATGCGGGTTGCTCCTGGTACTTCTCTGATAGCAGAGTGGACCTTGGAGCAACCCCATGGTTGTGGTGGTCTGCTTCGGCAGACCTGCCGTCGGAGCGTCGTAGTTGAATGCGTAAGCGATCCTGCGACGCCCCATTAAGACGGGGGAAGGTTTTGTTGGGTTTTAGTGGGTAGTACTGGCTGTATTACGCCGGTGAGTCCCACACGTCGTGCGTAAATGCATTTCCCAACGTTAAAAAAGAAAAAAAAAACATACTTAACACAAAACACTTAACATTATAAAATTAATAAAAAAATATACAATATTTCTATAGTAAGATCCTTATAGATAATTAAATATATAAATAAAAAAATATTACCTAGCAAAGTATTTGTTGGAAGCACTAAAACAATTTGTCTAGAGTTTTCCTCCACAATGACCACGGAGTCTGGTGATATACCCATGATACAATCCAGTGTTGCTCCACCAGAGCCCTCATCTTGGACTTGTACCTTGAATTAAATTTAAAACTAATTATATAAGTAATATTTAGAAAATTGTTTCCTTCTATATGGTCTAATGAGCAACACTTGCAATACTGATAGTTGTCAGATTGACATCAAGGGTCCAAGTGCCTAGAAGAATACATTTAGTCTTCTGTTCCTTGTCTTATCTTCACGTGATTGGTCTATTTAATAATATTTTTTTTAAATATGTTGGGACATTAACACACAACACCATCTAGTTCCATGGTCCAGTACCAGCTGCTAAGCTCATGTTATGGATACCAGATAGTTGATACACTACACATATATAACTTTAAATACATATTAAAAATATAAATACCCATGACTAGAGTACAAACATTCATGCTCATCAAATTATTATATTGACCAGCTTCTTAATTTTAGTCTACCTAGTATTACCTTTCATGTGAAACATTTCCTATACAGGAAATAAAAAAATACCATACATAGCAAATTTTTAAAATGCGTATAATTTTCTATATAAAAAGTTATTATTACAATATGAATATAAACTAACTTACATGATAACAAAGAGCACCACCGACCAAGACATCGTTGGTGCAATCTTCTAGACGTGGCACTATATTGTTGTTATTGTTCGAGTTGCTGCCGCTTTTCATTAACAGCGATGAGAATATTGCTAGAAGAGAAACAAACATGAAAATAATTAGAAAATGTGTAATCTGATGATTATATTATATCTATACATATAATAGAATTGTAACTAAGCCGAACCTGTACATTAAATATTTTTTGGAAAATCTTATTGAAATAGACATTATTATTGATACAGAGGCCGAATCTATAGTTTTTAGAATTTGTCTGTCTATCTGTCTGTTACCGCACCACAAGAAAACTACTGGAAGGATTTTGATGAAATTTAGTATTGTGATAGCTGGTTATCCGGGTCAACATATAGGATACATTTTACCGCGGGAAAATATGTCATTTCGGAAAAAAATACAAAAACTGCAATGTAAGAGTATACAAATATGTAAAACCTAAGAATTTAGCTTTTGGTCACCTGAACGCGGGCGGAGCCGCGGGAAATGCTAGTTGATAACTAATATTATATATACAAAAATGTGTTTGTTGGTTTGAATAGTTTGTATAGTCCTAGTATAATTACTACTTATCTCGGTACATAGTGGGTCACAAAAGTTAATTAGCCTCTGCTAAGGCTTGTCTCTAACTTTATGATGAACTTCAGTTAAGTATATGAAAATATTCACTATACTAGATTGTTTTTGTCAGCTTGTTATTGTACATATTAACAAGTTATTGGTAATCGTAGGTTTAATTCTTGTATGGGATGATAGTATCTTAGCCCAGGTACACAGAATATTGGTCCAGATCTTTATACTTAAATCCATTTTGTTCGACAATAGAGTGGGGAGTTATTTGTTGGGAAAAATAAATCAAAACTTACAAAACTTCTGCCCAGTATCTGTAGTTGTAGCAGTAACATAGTTCTTAGCTAAATCCTTCAGGTACTCTTGTCTAGTGCGCGTCGCCATCGTACTAAACTTTGGCGATTGGATGGCAGCATTTTCTCCATTAATAACCTAATAAAATAAACATATTACAATAATATATAATTATTATAATAGTACTAAAGATGATGAAATAATTGAAAAAGTATTTTACCTTACTTAAAAGAAGATCAGTAAACGCTTCTCCTTTCGGATAAACAGCTCCATCTTTGATAGGAGGACCAAATAAAGGCACTTCTTTTGCACGACTTACAGCTATACTATAATGTGTGTTCTCCGTACACGGATCTATCACTCTTACAACTACAAAAACATGTTGGAACTGAGATCTAATATTTCTCGGCGTGAAAGGCGCTGCACCCGGTTCTTGGAAGACAATTGTTACTATATCGTTCCCGATGTGTCGCTTTCTTAGCAACTGCTGACGATTGTTCGGTGTATATGGAAGCATTGTTGAAACGTGGAACATGATTTCGCAGCCTTGGTACGTAGTATACACTGAATATAGACCAGTAGAGTCCGTTCGGTTGTCGAGACCGGCTTTATATTTATCAAAATCTTTTAATCGTACAGTTTGCCCCAACATTTGTAGGAACTCAACAAATGCTGGCCCAGCTTCTTGGTTATTGTACATTTCCTCCTCAGTAGACTGTCCACTTTTACAATACATCACTCCTACTTTATAGTGTCTTGTTACACGTTGTTCATCTAACCGTAAAAGTTGTTCTTCAGCACCTCCATTCGTAACTCCCAATCTGTAGAAAAGTTGTATAAACAATGAATAAATGCAAATGTAACTTATATCTATTACAACTATATTGTTGACAAACAAACATATTTATATCAATTTAATATTATCAGAAAACATGTCAGTTTAAATTAAAATAGACTTACAATTAACTAAATGTAAGTGAGACAGTGAGCATATACTTACTTATTATAAAACTAATAAACTATAGATATACATTACCTTAAACAACTAAGCTGTAATTCAGGTGCGACGTATTCCAATACTTCTTTAGTGTTATAAGTTGCGCTATTGTTACTTGGTTTGACAGTTGGTAAAGCATCTTCTAGTAGAGATCCTCTTAACGTAAGTAGTTCCGAGGTCCGTATAATGAGACGATATTGCCAAGCAAGTTGTGATGCTGGTGCTGAGGCGTCGCCACCTCCACGACGCAATTCTACACGTTCTTTCTTTATCGAAATAGCCACTGGTCCTAAATTTTCGTCCATTCCAAACCAATTTTGATGAGCTATAAATAAAATTACACTTTAAATAACAGTCACATTTTTCTTAAAACTATTAAAACAGTATCTGCTACTACTATTTTAACTCACGTTGTGTGTAAAAATAATTGCGGTAGTACAACGCGCCCAGATCCTGACTTTCGATTGGAAATGGTGAACTTGATCTTATGAAAGGGCATCCATTGCGCCAATGGGTTTGTCCAGGAGGGAATTCCAAGACTGAGAATCCGTAAGCCGCTTTGGGACGATGCCATCCTCCAAACTGACCTGGAATAGCACCTCGCGCCGTACGAGCGCAAAGCGATACACAACGTTCTTCTTCACCTAAAATAATATATCTATGCTTATGTAAAATATTAAATAATAACATATAAATATTTATGAATACAAAAAAATGACATAACACAAGCTTTTAAACTAATCATTATAAAATGCCTAAAACAGGCTTTCCTCGCAAATCCTTAGCAATCCTGTTGCATGAGTCACAAACCAGTTTAAATATGACTGCAGTTTAAAACCTCTTATGCCTATAGTGTACATAAAGTACATATTTTTGAGCTGACCACAAATACTTGTACATTACTGTTTCTTTAGTAATATTATTTCTTAAATGCAATGTTAATTATTATTTTGTACTATTGTTACATTAAGTATTTATTTTAAAGGTATTTAGGTATATTTTAATTGTTTTGAGTGGAACCCTAATTATTATACTGAAATAAAAGTAACCTAAGTTATTCCTTATAACATCAACTACCTACCAGTGAAAGGCCCATCAAAATCGGCCCAGCGGTTTCAGAGATAAGCCGGAAGAAACAGACGGGCAGACACATAAAGATTTACAAAATTGTGTTTTTCTTATAAATAGCATATATAATTCCATATGTATTTAGTAAAAAGCTGTTATTTGGACACTTCAATTTTATTTATTTCTGTATAAATTAAATACCATCTAGTACACATAAACAAATACAAAAATTCTGGGTGTAATAAGAAATAATTATGAATACTAACATAGCTAATGCATGACTGGTTGAATGATGTTATTCATATGAAATAGAAGAGTTGTTGATTCTACTCATGCGTGGTTAATGCAAAATGCCCATGAATTAAAAATGAAAGTAACGTTAGTATGAATATTTATTGAATGTTTCTATTCTTGTACAATAAATAATTAATGAAAGCTAATAAATTCATAATTTTTAATTAAAACTATCTTTTCGGATTTTGTCGCGGATTTATTTGGATTTTTGTTTCCCGACGTTTCGAATGCTTTACAGCATCCATGGTCACGGGAGAGACTCGAGACTCAGTCTCTCCCGTGACCATGGATGCAGTAAAGCATTCGAAACGTCGGGAAACAAAAATCCAAATAAATCCGCGACAAAATCCGAAAAGATAGTTTTATTTAAAATGTCAAATATTCGCGTAAATCTAAGAAAGTATTATATTTCATAATTTTTGTTGTTTAAGATGGTTATCTATACATATAATAAAATTGTAACTAAGGCAAATCTGTACATTATATATTTTTTGGAAAATCTTATTGAAATTATATTATTGATACAGAGGCCGAATCTATAGTTTTTACATTTTTTGTCTGTCTGTTACCACATCACGGAAAAACCACTGGAGGGACTTTGATGAAATTTGGTATGATGGTAGCTGGTTATCCGGGTCAACATACAGGATACTTTTTACTGCGGGAAAATATCTTATGTCTGAGAAACAATACAAAAACTGCAATGTAAGAGTATACTAATATGTAAAACTTAAGAAATTGGATTTTGGTCATCTGATAGCCGGCCGTAGATAGTACTAGTCATATATAATATTTTACCCTTATAATTACAGACAATAATACTACAATAATAGTTATGCATCCACAAGTTAACAATAATTATAATTATTAAACTTTATATAAAGGGTAATGAACTATACGAGTCACCTAATTCTCATAAAATATCACCATTGCAGCACAATAATCATTCTTTAGATTTTCCCATGTTTTTATGGTAAGGTTATACCTATATTGTTCATTCCGGTGCATTTATGCAGTTTATTATTACTATTTATTTAACATGGAGAATGATATATTTTAACATAAAAAGATTTTTATGATGTTTTTACTGAGTACAACTTACTTGATAATGCAACTCTTACAATGCAGGTTTTGTATTTTTCTCAGATATGAGATATTTTCCCATGGTAAAAAGTATGCTATATGTTGACCCGGATATGCAGCTATCATCATACCAAATTTCATCAAAATCTATCCAGTAGTTTTCTCGTGATGCGGTAACAGACAGATAGAAAGATAGACAAAAATTCTAAAAACTATAGACTAGGACTCTGTATCGATAGTAATGTCTATTTCAATTAGATTTTCCAAAAAATATTTAATGTACAGATTCGACTTAGTTACAATTTTATTATATGTATAGAGAAAAACATATCTACTATAATTTTAATGTTGTAACATTTGCTGTTAATTATCATATAAATGTGCAAATTATAATACTGAAATGTAAAAATCTGTACATATTTCATTTTATTAAAATATGTATAAAGTACTAAAATTCACTAGGAACAGTAATCATTTAGTTAATTTTGTATTTTTTTGTAAATTCTGAATGTATCCTAAAAATATATATTTAAATCAATTAAATTCTCTTGTTTAGTGGCTTCTAGAAGTGAATATATATTCGACTGGAATCATTGAAATGTCTTGGTAAAATTTTAATGTATTTAATATGATAAAAGTAAGTCATGTGTGGTTCCTGAGCTTGTATAATTTCATGATTAGTTGTGGCATTGACTTTGAGATATATAAAGATAAAAAGAAAACAAGCTTTCACATTATTAGTTTGGTTTCAAATGTGTTAAAGTATTATGAAGATATTATATTTGATTTCAGTTTTATGATTTGATTCTTATTAAATAAATGTGTTTAAAATTATTTGTTACTTACCACCCAGTTCATTCCTGAAAAATGGACAACTCTCAAGTAATTCATTTGAACGACCATCCCCAGTATCTGGCACGGCATCTTCTCCTGGTGGTAAACCACGGGTAGCAAGCAAGGATGCAGCTGAAGCTCCAGTAGTAGTGTTTCGACGTCTACTGAGTAGTGCACCACGAATTTCAGCAGCATAACTCAAATTAGCCATAAGTGACTGGCAATCATAGTGTGCAAATTGCTTTCTTTTATTTGCTTCATTTAATGACGATATTATTCCATCACCATCAGATCTTGCTATGGCTGGAGTAGCACCACCCCACAATTTGTTCAATTTCAGGCGTGGCTTTGGGCTCACACTGGCTCTTGGTGTAGGTCCATCAGCATGGTCACTTGCTAAGACTTCAGAGAATCTATCACTTACACGGCTCAATCCTGATGGCTTATCAGGCGCGTTTAAAACACTATAATTGTGTACCATTGCGGGGAACCGCTCACTAGTGCCACTAATCACGTCAATTGACCCATGGCTTCCATATTCACGCCGTAAGCCGTTACCTGCAGGGTGTTCAACATATATCAAGTCAAGACTGGAATTGCTGCGATACATAGCATCTCTAGCTTCCTTCCTTCTAAGATGATCCGGAACATACATGGCATTATTTTGACAGTAGCTATAACGTACTTTCGAGTTTATAACGACAACTTTATTAATTTTTAACACAATAAAGTTCTTTCAGACAACAGAGTACAGACAAGTGTCAATCAAATAAAAAATTCAATTTATACTTGTATTCTCGTAATTACAGTTATTTAGAAAGTAACGCGAAACACTAAGTAAATTACATTATTATAATTTAAAATTAATAAAATACGATATATTCGTTAATTATATTACTTAAAAACACTTGTGATTTTATAAAAATATAATAAAATAAGCGCTTTCGATGTATCGGTAGTTCATTTGAGCACACAAAAAATATTGCAAAATCAAATGCAGATTGCACTGCAGGTAGACAAACTGGTACAGATATAAAATAGAGACTATGTTTTATATATCATACGAGTAAAAAATATTTTTTTCTAACTCTACATTTGTTTAAATTTCAATAATAATCAAAAACATTAAATATATTTTTTTTTATATTTATTAAATAATAATTTTATAATGTTATATTTTATTTTAACTGTATAAAATAATGTTGCTACTAAATAAAGAAGAGGTAAGTCTCAAGAGTCAAGAGCTTTCTTTTTACGTAATTAGTCGGAATATGCAATGTTTTGTGAGTAAATCTATTTATAATATATAAATTATATTTTAACAATTTTAAGAACTAAAGAACACATTTAAATTGATATGCCCAAGGCTCAAACTCTAAAATGACTGAAATGGCATTCAAAGTTATTATAGGGGTAACTTTGAATTATAGAACATTAAATTATACACATCATGCTATAGCCTACACGGCTACATTTACACGCTTGGTAAGTGTCGACAAGCGTTTACAACACACAAGCGTGTGAACCAGAGTTGCCAGATACACTGTAATTACAGCAGATCCGCCGTATTTTCACGCCGTATACTGGACACCGAAGTTTTATAAATACAGTGTATGGAAACACAATATTTTTTTTTAATTTTTCGCTAATAAATAATAAATAAAATAAGTCAAGTTAAAAATTAAAATGAACGCTTCTTATGAAAATATCGTAAATTATGAATGCGACGGGCGACCTAACAACACAGGAGTGAGTAGGGTATTCCCATTTCCCCTTATCGGCCGCATCATATAGTCCATAAAGGTAAGTATTATTCGGCTAAATGGTATTGGATATGGAATAATGTGCTCCCGACCGATTCCAGCTACGGCGGCCAATCTCATTGAGACTAGCCAACTGTGCAGGAGATAATATAGTGCACACGTGTACACGCAGACACAACGTGCACTCTCTATTTCTGTCACTCTCATACACTGGTGGGACGACCACTCGACACGACCAGTGAGAGCAACGACCACTCAGCCCAATAGACACCTCACGCAAGGCGAACCCTTTCAGACATCACGTTAGACAAATACGTCTGACTTGAGAAAACGATTGCGCGATTTACTTCAGTAGCGACCACATCCGTGACCCGCGAACACATTGCTTGAGACTCGTGAATTTCCGACACAAAAAATACAACAGACGCGCAACATGGCTCCCTGTACCATAAAATGGTGTGGAAATAGTAGCAAAACATGTAATTTAAAAAAAATGGCATCACTTTTCATAGGTAAGTGAATTTTAATTTCCAAATTCATTAAATGTAATTAAATCAGAGCTCAAGTTATATTGGTCGCAACGCAACTCGCGTTGATGTATTCGGACATTCTCGGACTATGCATCCCTTTCTTTTCAATGCAGTTCATTGTTGCTATACTTTTCTTTAATTACCGGCACGTGTAACTAATGCTGTACCAGTTAAAGTATACATTTTTTAGAAATAAGTTATTTAATTATTATAAAATGCATGATTGTTAATCTTAATTATTGTAATTTTTTTTGTTTATAATGATGATTTTAATTTTACTTCTTAATATTATGTATTATTATCAATTTCTTTTGTATTATGACATATATCTATAATAATAATAATTATTATTTTTGTACTTTTAATTCATGAATATTTATAAATGAATATGTAATTAAATCAGAGCTCAAGTTATATTGGTCGCAACGCAACTCGCGTTGATGTATTCGGACATTCTCCAATCAGCGTGCATTTCAACCCGCCTCCCCCGTAACGCTTACCTCAGACTTTTGACTGACAGGTTTGGATGCAGAAGTACATACATTAGGCGTCTATCGGGCTTAGTGGTCGTTGAGGCGCAGGACCGACGGCTTTACGTGCTCTCCGAGGCACGGGGGTGAAACACCGCCAACTTCCCAACTCCGGGCTGTTACTGAGGCTTATTATACAGAAAGACTCAATAACTAAACTTGGCCCGAACCGGGACTCGAACCCGGGACCTCCGGGTGTGCAGCCGTACATGCTAGCCACTACACCACCGAGGCATTATATGGAATAGTATAGTTTTTATGTTATTGGTAATTCATTTAAATTGTTTAGTATATCGTCAAAGTATTTCGTTGAAAATATTACGATTTAGATTTTCTGCTGTAACTAAGGGGAATATGTTGGCAAAACAGGCCATTTCTCGCCATGGTGGCAACTGAGTGAGTTTTCTGCCAACTGACAAGATGCTAAAATCTTCCCGGAAAAGGAGAGGCAATCGGACTGTATGACAGTGACAGTGTTTTTTTTTTAAATACTAGTAAACTAAATTAAAATTATATATTATTCTCTTTTAACTTTTCGCGTTCCATAATTATATAATAATTACGGGACTTAAACGCAAATTGCGGGAATTAATGGTTATATAATTATTAGTCTTAATTAATTTTAATATTTTAAATTTTTCTATTTTCACATAGAACAAAAAAACATCCTAAAAAGTATCCTATATGTTGACCCGCATAACCAGCTATCATTATATTAAATTTAATCAAAATCCCTCCAGTAGTTTTTCCGTGATACGGCCACAGACAGACAGACAGACAAAACTTCTAAAAAACTAGATTCGGCCTCTGTATCGATAACAATTTCTATTTCAATAAGATTTTCCAAAAACTATTTAATGTACAGATTCAGCTTAGTTACAATTTTATTATATGTATAGGTTTACAACTTCAACGTCCACGTGTGCACAGCTTGCCTGTCTGGAGACTGGAACATACTTGACACTAATGCTTAAAAGCACTCGCAAGCGTGATAATGGCATCCAAGCGTTTGTAAAGGCTTGGAATTTGTAGACGTTTGCCAAGCCTCGGCAAGTGTGTAAATGTAGCATTAATCGCTCCACGACCGCGAACACGCCGGCGTTACAGTTAACAATAGATTTCTTAGTAATTTAATTAATTTCTTAGAAATTTACCTGGAGGTGACATTAGATTAATAATTTATTTGCGTTCAAACATGTTTCTTCAACGGATATCGTGAAAATGTTTAAAACCTTAATCCAAAAAAATCTGTGATTTTAGGGGGTATGTCGGTAAAACTACTAAGTATATTATTAATATTGCTCCTCATTTAGCCTTTATTTTTAATAAAAGTGTAAATAGCGGTACATTCTCCGATTTAAGAAAACATTGTAAAGTAGTACCTTTGTTTAAAAGTGGTGATAGATTTGAACCTGGAAATTAGAGAGCCATTTCAATATAACCTGCATTAAGCAAAATATTAAAAAAAATAGTTTTAAGCCATTTAAGTATTTTCTTTTATTATAGTTAACATTATGGCTATACCAAAGTTAAATCGACAACTGATGCGGTGCTGCGCTTCTTAGGCATATTCACGACGCATGGGAGAAATCGCAGAATGCTATTGGTGTATTTTGCGATTTGTCTAAAGCTTTTCATTGTGTAAATCATCAAATACTTTTGTTTAAACTGAATCACTATGGTATTCAGGGTACTGCGCTTGTTTTTTTTGCTTCCTACCTCAATCAGAGAGCATTCTGCAGTGCTGAGGGTTGATTTAAATTATGTAAAATCTTCTGGATCTTTTTTAAAAATGGGTGTTCCACAAGGATCTATTCTTGGCCCTTTTTTAATCTTAGAATATATATCTATAGATAATCTAATGAAGAGTTTTAACCACCTTGGTTAAAAAGCTTCATTAGATTATCATGATCTTATGAAATCTCTTCAAATTGAGGGGTTGATTAATTCAAATATAGGTTATTTGTACGCCAGTTCTTTAAAAATTAATATTACTATGGCATGTTGAAGTATAACAAATTTTGTTAAATTTATTTGTCACTTTCTTCAGTATCCTCCTTTTTAAGTATGGCTTCTTCGACAATTGACACCTGAAAGCAATTATATTTCTTCTATAGCGAACATGAAATAGTATAGTCACTTGGTATTAGAGAACACATGTAGTATAAAATTTGTAAATGAACTTAAAATAAAAACGCGTCAATTATGTAGTATGTAAATGTAAAGTAATGTTAGTATTACGTGACTATGTTTCAGAGAAGAGGGAGGACAATGGCAGCGATGAGCATGGACCCCTCTCCTCTAACAGTGGGAAGATCGTGTGGTGAATCCGACCGCGGGCAAATGCACCATAGAAGCAATTCGCCCTGTATACCGGATGCCTTTAACTTTCTACCTTGTGCAGATCCTCTCGGGAAGTGGTTGTTTCAGATGCTTATCAATATAAATAAATAAATATAAATAAATAATAATAATATGACTTATGGTGAAGGAATAAACGTCAGGGAGCCTGCAATTCTGAGAAAACCCAACTAATTTTTGAAAAAAATGGCGTGGTCAAATGCAGGTTAAGGAAATCTTCCAACCTGCTATTGGCCAACGTGGTGAACTATATATATAGTCTGTTTCTTCTTGTTTTTCAGCAGTCGGACGTTAAAAAGGGCGTTAATAGAAGATGAATTTAAGCACGTAGTATAGTAGGAATTATGCTTTTTGATTACGTAAATACTAAAAACTTAGGGTAAGTTCGCTTAGCAAGGGCGTCCCTCGGTGCCTATAAGTAGCCGATGTGTTATTCCTGGTCATAGTCTTCATGTGTAATAACCTATGTCAGTCCAGCCGTTTTCAGCATGACGGAATAACAAACAAACAAACACACATACACACACATATATGTATATGAACACATACGACCATTGCATGATATATAATAAATAGTAGTCCGACAAATACTCGAGTCAAATAATCCTCAATATAATATTATTTACCGTGTCAATCTGGAAAGCCTCTTTAACATCCTCCTGCAGTTGCTGTTTCTCTTGCGGCGTGAGGATTTGGGCGCGGAGACAGTCGATTGCAAGTTTTACGACGTTTTCTAGTTCTTCCTGTGGCGCTTTAACTCCACAATCTGTTTAAATATTTGTATATTTATGGTTACCTGTTAGCTACAATATACCCAGGCATAACGTGAATTGATTTTCAAGATCATATGATGGTTAGATAATCTAAAATTATATTTTTTATTTAATAATTATTAATTACCAAAGGAATTGAATCTACATGAGTATTATAGCTCATAGCTGTGGTATGTTACCTACTTTAAAGAAATTCTGTAATTTTATCAAATTAAAACATATATTATTTTCCGTGAAGTCATCCAGAGAAAACGATGCTTTACATTATACACAACTAACAAGTTATAAGAATTAAGTATTAAACATTTCAATGTTCATTAAGATATTCATAATCTAACCTTTAATATCTTCAATAACATTGAACACATCAATTGAGTCGATGGATTCTTTTGTAAGGGGATGTTCCTCGTCCATTAAAGATTGTACGAGGGAGGTCATTGCCATCGTCATAGTTTCATCAGTGTCTGAAATAAAGCGAAAATTTAGTTTCCACTCGTAGACTAAAGCGTATCAATATTTATTATGCACTAACTAGTTTGCGTAGTTTTTTTCTATATAGTCTGCAAGATGTAGGTAAGGTAAACACAAATAATCCTCATCTTTGATGGTTAGTTAGATAGTAGGACTAGTTCAAATGGAACACAGTTGTTTTTAACAGCGAATATACCTGCCCTAGAATTACTAAAAGTCTCTTTGTATCATACATTATTTGCGGCATCAGTATTCAGCATTCATATTTCCAACCCTATTTTTCTGGTGATATTTCTTTTCCGAGCCATGTTTGAATTTGCAGATATACTCTTTTGAAGTGTCCAGTAGGTGGCAAAGACGGTAGTATAACGCAGGTATTTTTAGCAGTTGCTTTCAAAAAAGAGTTATATCTTACTATATTAAGATCTTTAACTTGTAACACCAGCGTTAAAAATGTCATTAGTATCTTTGCATTCATTTTTTAAAAATGTATTTTGCAAGTCCAGCCGACTCTCGAAATTTTTTGCAAATATATTTTTGCCACGTTGGAAAAAAGTTGACGTCGTATCACAGCCAGTGAAAGCATGTAAGAACAGAATATGCTGTTTACACTCTGGTAATACTCTTTTTAAGCTCTTAGAAGAGTACACTTTATGCAGTATTTTGCCTTTGGATGGTGTTTGAGCTTCCGTAATTTAGTTTAAGTTAGTTAGTTATAAGCAATTTTTGTATAAAAAGTTATTGCTATTAAACTTAATCAGGCGCTTCGCCGTATATTATATCTTTTTTTGCACAGTCATGTCAATTGCTATTAAAGCCCCTAACTGACCGGTTGATTTTTATTTTGTCGAAAATAAATTTCTCGGTGTGTTGGTGAGAGCAAAGTCAATGAAACTAAAACATCTACATCCTCGGACACTACAAAAATGTTTTCGGACTACAGATTAATAGCATTTTCAATTATTAATAGCAGTTTCAATTATTAATCTGTGTCGACATCAGCTTCTGCTTGACAAGAAAATATATTATTTTCCACTAGCGACTCAACCTCGCTTCGCTCGGTTTCATCCCTAGGTTGAATCCCCATACAAACTCTCATCCCCATTTTCACCCTTTTAAGGGATGATTTCTAGGACAAAAAGTATCCTATGTCCTTCCCAGGGTCTTAAACTATATTCTTACCAAATTTCATTTAAATCGGCTTAGTAGATCCAGAGATTTCCGCCTACAACGTCACAAACTCACAATTCACGAACTTTACCTCTTTATCATATTACTATAGACAAGTATTTCCCCTAACACATCTATGAGCCTGCTCTTATTTTTGGCATTCCCTAAAAATAAAAACAAAAACAGCTACCTACGTATTCAGCCTATCTAGGGCCTAAGGAAGAATTTGTGATAGTCTTTTCAAAATATAATTTTAAACTAATAGAAGTAAAAGAAATCTCCCAAAAATTGATAATTATTTATTTTAATAACTAACAAATTGAGATCACACAAAATATTTTTTTAAAAATTTTCTATTTACTGGTCAAAACACATATCAAAAGTTTATAAAAAGATTAATTGACTTTCCCTGTATTCCGAGGTATAAATCTTACGGCGCTCCACTATATATAATATATGGTAGTATTATATAATTTTATAATACTACCTTAACGATTTGTTACGATAAAATGATGAGCTCTATCAGTAATCTTGAATGCTACTTAGTTCTTTTGCGCCGTTACACCAAATACCTGTATATATATATGAACACAGTACATACACATACATACATATATTGAGAATTATAATATTGGTGCAGAACAAATATCCATACAGGAGGCGATCGCATATTGATTTAACGGAAATATCTACTGTCTATCTAGTACCTACCGCCTATTAGCTTTTAGTTCTTGTGTTGTGCTATCTCGTAGCAAGTTAACGTTATACCTGTCAGTCCTAAGTCCGTTTCCAAACTATCATATAAAAGTAAGGATGATTCTCATCCCGCACGATCGCCCTAACTAGATGCCTTCATTAGAGTACGTGATATTAGTATGATATTAAAGTGTCTCACCGGCGTGGGCAGTGTGTATGAGCGAGGCGAGCGTTGGGCCGAGGCGAGCTCTTAGCGGCTGCACCCCCGCCACGTCCTTCAGGGCCGTCTCTAGGGACTGCAGCACTTCGTGGGTTTTAGGATCGAAGCCTTCTATCGCTTCCACCTGTATATGTATGAATTGTATAGAGAGATAATTTAAAAGAGTATTTTTTAGCATGCTATGAATGTTATTGCAAAAGTGAATAGGTATTTTGTGGGTTTAAAATGGTGACTTAATGCGGATCACGAGTAAAAGTAAAATAACAGGCACACTAAAAATAAAATAAACTATTTAAGAAAAAACACAATGCTTTTGGATCTTATTAATATTACAAATGTGAAAGTCTAGATGTTTGGACATTTGGATGGATGTTTGTTACTCAATTACGCCAGAACGGCTGAACGGGTCTTAATGAAATTTGGCACAGAGATAGATTATAGTCTGGAATAGAACGCAGACTAATTTTTATCTCGAAAAAATATACGATTTCCGTAGGTTAAATTTGTTTTTGTTTTTGTTGAGGGTGAGCCGCTATCACATAGTATCATATAGTAGATATATAAGTCGCAGTAACCAATCAGCAAACATCGTTATTTAGGTACTGAATAGTTATTAATGAATAGGTTATAGGTTAATATGCTTTAAACAACACAAAAAATGTCCTTTCCTAAGGGTAGCACAGGATGTAGTAAAGGCCTGAGTGAAATACGGCTAGTTATAATAAAATCGACATTATCTTACATGTTCTTTTATAAGGCGATCAGCTAAAGTGGCGACGGCGTCGAAAGCTCGAGTTTGCTTCTTGTATAAACTTGGATCACCGCCATACTTTAGCAGCCATTTCTTAACTAAAGAATCTACAACCTCGAAACGACTTTTAGCACTGGAATTCATAAATACATTGTTTTAAATGTATCTCATAAGTATAATTGAATAATTATTACGCATTAAAAAATATTCAATTGATAAAGCGTTTTGTGTTACAAGTAGGTAGCATAATATTTTCTAATACTAAAATATATGCATGTTGCTAAAACTAGGTTGAGAACTGACCCAAAAGTTTTAAATCACTACATATCAACCTAGTCCATAATAATCGATCTTTATCATTATTTTTCATAATATAAAAAAATAGAATCTTATTTTAAATAGAGTTACCCTGAAACAACTTTGGGTAGCTCAGTGGTGAGCTCCTGTAGCAGTTCCTCAGCATCGTCGCGTGTCACGCGCATCGTGTCCAAGCAATCGTATAGCAATTTCATCAAGTTCACTTCGTACACTAACTTCACTTGAGATCCAAGAGGCGTACTATGTTTTAAAAATATTAATAGTAAAATGTAAAAAATATATCATTTTGTTGAGAATAATTATGTATTATTTGTTTGAGATATTATTATAATATAATCTTTTATTACTCTTGTACATGTTCTATTTAATTGGCAATTGCATTTTGAAGTTATACTTTTTTTGGCGCGTTATGAAAAATGAAAAGTGAATAAAGAGAGTTAATTTTTTACGACGCGATAGATTTAGACTACAGTATGAAGTTATTGGCTAGGTATAGTGTGAAGTTAGTCGTTAAATTATAGTTTGATGTCTATATTCAAGATATATATTCCGGTATTTCTATAGTCACAGCATGTTTGGTTATCGTCGGACTACACGATTACTTTAACGTTGCCATTTTTAATCCAATATGGCCGATGTTACAAAATAGCGATTTATCATTTCCATAGTAACCCTTATGATATGAGCATAAAATGAAAGGGCTTAATCAACAAAATACAATAGCAAAGTGACATCATTGTAAGTCTAATATGGCGGTCTCCTAAAGATGGTAGACTGTTTTTTATGCACCCTATGATATGGATATCAATTGAAAAGGTTTGCTAAGAAGAATACGTAAAAAAAAGTCAAAAATATAAAAAGTTTGAACATTTAAAAAAAACTTTTTTTTGCTTTACGCTCTACGTAAAATTTTACTATAATGTACAAGTTATCTTACCACTTATTTATGTCATGTGATTGAATTGGTTTCCTTCTAGAATATTTTAATTAAACTCACATAGGGAAGTATTTTCTCTTGGACGGCCTCGCGGTAGGCGGCACCATGTTAAGGCTAATTTCAGAATGATCCGACACCGGCGGGGATAGCACTGGTGGCGATATTACGTGGGATAGAGGTTTTAACCGCAACCCATGGATCTCTTCTTCTAGGGCCTGTTTGAAAATTTGTATAATTTCTATGCAAGTATATTGTATAATATATTCATTTTGTATATTCAGTATCATCATCAGTCGTAAATGAGAATATTGATTAAAGCAGTGGTTTTCGTTTACAATTCACATTTTAAAATACTTTGTATTTATATGAAACAATATTATACAGAATGGATATTGCTCTTGTGCATATGAGAATCGGTATAAAAAATTAGAACCAATTTCTACTTTCGAATCAAATTTTTAAAAATCACTATTTTCCAAAGAAGAAGAAGCCAATCAATTTAGACCTTTATTTGTTGCAATTGTTGTGAGCGTATGATGCGAAGACGCACTACATCGCGCTGATACTGCTCCGGCTCGTAGCCTCCCGCCATTATTGATGGATTTTTGGCAGGCTGATAAAATTTGTTATTTGGAGTTGTTAACACTTCATGTTGCTAAATATATAATATTATTTTACAATTATTTTGTATAAGGTCTTGAATATAAAAATAGTGATGAAAAATATGTATAAAATTCTAATTAATTCTAAGCACAGATGAAATAATTATTATAATATACTAGTACAGATGTCCCATCCCATACAAAGAAATTGTAAAGCTCTAATTCGGAATTTTTTTTGCTATTTTTGTTTACTTAAATAGATAATAGATGTTGTTAAAACTGCAATTTTTTTATATATATAATATGATTGTGTAAACTAAAATATGTACGTCAATTCAACGCCAACATTTATCAAAAGTAAAAGCGCCATCTGTGAATATATAATACACACTCATTACCTGAATGTTGACTTTATGAAAATATGTACCGGTAAATTATCGCTTTGATTTACGAGTGCATTATTTCGTTTTCCTTCACTTAGCATATTTTTTTAAAACCATACACAAATTAATAACAAATCGTTATTTTTTGAATGGATTGCATAGGCAAACTCCTATGCAAAACTATTGATATTAATAAATATATAAGAGTTTTTGTGATTAAAACACTTAAACAATAATTATTGTCTTAGGCTAATCTAAGTAAGTCTAAATACCTTTTGTGGATAAACTTCTGCTTGTAGTGCGGCGGCAAGACGAAGACGGTCTGAGTACTTATTCAGCACAGTCAGATATTTTTGTTCTAATTTGCTGTGACGTTTCTAGTTAAAATTTAAAAAGTAAATTGATATAATAATAACAATAGCCAATATTCAAATTCAAAATATTTTATTCAGCATCAAAATTATGTATGTATTACAATTTTTACTGAACATCATGATTTTACTACAAGTATGGAAAGAAGAACGGGCAATAGTATCTCAGCGGGGCTAATATTATTACTAAGTAACGTAACGGCCATTTTTTCCGACTTCAATTAAAGTCATATATATATACTAGCTGACCCGAGAGACGTTGTCCTGTCTACATGTCTTTAATTTGAAAATTTCCAACTTTTTTTAATAAGCTAAAACATTCTGGACCATTTTGATGAAAATTATCATTCAAATTGTGAATCTAAACCATTCTCAGATCCCCTTGAACACACACAAAAAATTTCATCAAAATCGGTCTAGTCGTTTGAGAGAAGTTCAGTGACATACACACTCACAGAAGAATTATATATATAAAGATATATATTACATACACATAGCTTTACCTACCTCTTTATAATATTAGATATAGTGTAGATAAATGTACGTTTTTACTGTTTGTTAATAAAACACATTTTAAGTCATGACACATGAGGAGAGTTCACAAAAATCGCATAACTCACCCGCCATTCAGCAACTTGCTTCAGCAGTATCGGCACCGCTGCGAGCGCGGCACGGAACTTGTGCCGCCTCGCGAGCTGTCGCAGAAGCTCGTCCAGCGTGCGGTCCACGCGGCGCGGGCGGCCTAACTTGCGCGTCAGCACATCGCGCATTTGTGCGGTCAGCTCGCGTGCGCGGGCCTCCATCGCGCGCAGGTCCACGTTCATGCGGAATAGGTGGGTGCGGTTTACTCTGTTTGTTTGTGTGTATCGACCGAGTTTTAAGGATTAGATTAAAAGGATTTTAGGTTATAAAGCTTAAAAAAAGTTTAATAAGCTTTTAACCTGACTAGGGATAGCCAAAATAAATATTATATACATACATAAGCCATAATTTTTTAGTGTTTTTAGATTTTTCGCGGTTTATAAGGTACTGTGTACTACCATTTCTCTTATCATCCAAATCAATGTATAAAATTATGGGTAGACACTCTATGTAATAAATACATAATAATTGCATTTAGTTCTATTGAAGTCTTCTGGCAATTTCACATTACACTCACTTTTGTCTTTGTTTCTGTTGCTTTATCTCATCTTGTAGTTCCAGAACCCTCTTGCGCAATTTACTCAGCATTTTTTCTGGGAAGACTACCGTGTTGGAGAGACCACCGGGGCCGGTGCAGCCGCGCAGCGCTGACGCTCGGATCTGGTCGTACCGGAGTATTATCACTTGGTCCACTTCGTTCATGCAGCTTTGTTTTTCCATCTGGTGTAGATGTTTTATATTATTAGTTTGTTTGTTATCTATATCTGCTCTAAATCTATGATAAATCCATAGCTTAATATTTGGTTTCCTAAGGTTAGGGTAAATGGCTATGAAACATTCGATCAAGTTTTTTGGATTTGGGAATCTATAATTGTTGCTTAGCGCTTCAAAATAAGTAACATGATTTAAAAATTTTGTTGTTTACGTTAAAGGTTTACTGGTGTTTTTTACAAAGATGTACCTATTTTATTTTGTACATACTTATTTACCATGAATTCTCGTAATTCTTGTTTGCGTGATTCCAATTGCACTGTAAACTTCCTTTTAATTTTGTTATGGGCGTCAATGTCCTTGCGTAGAAGTTCGACTAATCTATCTTGTTCCAGCATATCTTGTTCATGTTTATGCCTTAAAGAAGGTAAGAAATTATGTAAGAAAAAATATATATGAGTGGAAGTCAAGTTTTACACTTCTCCGTAAAAAGTATTTTCTAGTTAGCATTATCATTTTTCAACTTATATAGATCATACCTGGTATTCCTAAGCTCATAGGTTTTGTTATAAATGTCTACGTCGCATCCTTCCGGGCAAATATTGGGATCGAGTCGTATCGGTCCAATGTCTCGGCTATCCAAACTGCCTTCATCTTCTTCTTCACTTGACGATGATGATGATTCTGATTCCGATGATTCTGGAGATGTAAATTATTCGTGTTAAATTCGAATATCAAAGGAATACATTTAAATTTAAAAAAAAAGAAATACGAATTATTGTGGACGTGACATATTTTTTTGTTTATTTTCATCCTCTTTGTCTATCGAGATCCACGCACTAGAGTAAAATATATGAACTTTTTCACATTTTTTGTATAATAATATTACTGCAACGTACACAAAGCCAGACAGTAAAAATATACGTTAGTCTTTGATTTTATATTTTTATTACGCAATCACTCACGTCAATCTCTTACTTCCTTGCTGCGTGAAAAACAGGCAAACCAATATTCCATCAAAGTTCAAACATACCATCGCATTTATAAGTACTTAAGTACTACTACTACTCGTAGGTATACAATATAATTAAGAAGTAATTAAATTATTACCATCCTCATTACGGTCGCGTGGAGGTCGATATTTCTTTTTAAATATTCTTCTTAAGAAATCAGCAAATTTGTTATCTTGTACCAACTTTTTAAATTGGCGTTGTAAATCTTGACATGCTAAATCAAGGTCTTCCTTTTCGGCCTTATGTTCCTCTATACGTTGTAAACAGTCCTCTATCTGATCGTTTACACCTCGAACCTGAGGTTTCGCAATAAAAAAAATTGAATCCAAATCTTTTAAAATACATATAAATAGTAATCTCTAAATTAATAATAATAAAAGAAAAACTCTCAACGTAATAACGAATTAAAATATCTTATTATATCATATTTAAAGAAAGTAAAGATATGAATCGTAAGAAATCAGAAGTATCACGAATAATTTTCCGACAACTCTATCAGTCTTGTCAAAAACTTAATGAAGGTAGATATCGAGACAACAACATTAAATGCACTATATGATGGGTAAACAATGTGAAGCTATAGATATTTAAATTCACCTGCATTAATTTAGCATACACTCTTTCAGCCAGTCTGTCCTCCTGGGCTTCGAAGCGGTTGAGCACTGTCATCTCTCTGTGTAACTGGTACAAATGTAGCTCAAGAAGCTGATTTTTCTCCTGTTTATAGTAAAATTACACAAATTATATTACAGAATTTTATTTATTATTTAAAAGAAAAATTAACCAAATGTTGAATTATTTTATTAAATAAAGATAAACAAGATTAAGTATAAAGAGATATTGTTAGAGTAAAAGATTTAGAACAAAGTAAAATACAAATAAAACATAGAACCTGCACTCGAATACGTTCCCGTTGTAGTTCTTGAAGTCTCGAATCAAACTGCTGAACCAACACCTTCGCATCGGCAAGTAACATATCCTGCTCGTATAAATGCCTGTAAAAAATTAAATAAATATCTTTTATTTTTATTACTTACTATATAATAATTTTCGGTACAGTTTAAAATCAATATGAGTAAAATATAGATAGGGATATGTAGTAAAATATAGATATATCTTTATTTTGAATCTACAAATAAATATTATGTATTAATAATAATAGTATATATTTTTAATTAAATTATTCTATAGACTCAATTATACTCGTATGTCGATCATATCTTATTAAATATTTGCTAGTGTTGCAAGTAAGTTGAAATTTACGTTTACGTTTTCTAATATTTTTAACCGGAAGTAAATGCTTAATGTTTTGAAAGATTCAACTCTATAATTTCTTTCCCATGTCTTATTCTCTTTAAAATATAATATACTAGCAGAACCCGCAGCTTCACTCGCGCTAAAACTATAAAAAAATCTAAATAGGTAGGTTTCATACAAACTTTTATCGCGTATTTTATACCCTTATGGGATGAATTTTGAAAAATGCTAAAACACGTATTTATTTAATTGTATTGAAGAGCATTAATAAAAAGTTATAAGGGATTCTTATCAAAAATATTTTTTGGGTTGTATTATAACTCGTTTTCCAGTGGGAATGAGATAATCTCCCTCGGTAAAAAGTAGCCTATGTCACTCTCCAGCCCTGCAATTATCTCCACATAAAATATCACGTCAATCCGCCACTCTGTTTCGACGAAGGGCAAACAAACACACTTTCACATTTTTAATTTTAAGTATGGAAGTATGAATGTTACCTTTCAATACGCCTTTCACGAATTTCTATTTCAATAGAGGAAGATTCTTGATCTGGTTTTGGTTTTAGCAACTCCCACGAGGCGGTAAGGGGTCGAGACTCTACAAAACGTATATTATATTGAATTAAAAGGACTTATTGCATAATACTTTTTTAAATTTACGCGAATATTTGACATTTTTAAAAAAACTAAGTATCATTTCGGATTTTTCTAGGATTTATTTTGATTTTTGTTTCCAGACGTTTCGAATGCTTTACATTTTACAAGCAATGAGTCTCTTCCGTGACCTTTTAGCTAATGCTCACACTGATAGTCCTGAATTCTTAATCTATTGATTTGGAATTTCAAATTCCTATCCTGGTTCTAGCAAGGTTTAGAATATTAAGAAAAATAATTAAGAAAATACGTATTTATTTAGTCAGTGCCTTTGGCTTAGTATTAAAGTAGACCTGTGATTGGAATAAAACGCGTCACTCTCGGTTGTCGGACCCGCTGTTGTGGATAGAGCATTGATTTCCTCCTTTCTTGAGTTTTCCTAGCAGTTGTTGCCCTTTGTCCCGGCGGTATAATTATTTCCGGTTTAATCTACAATCAATAAACATTAAAATGTTCATAAACGTAAGTACACTATTCGACTAAACAAACCTATTTGAAGATAGGAAAATTAAATAAGGATTTTTTTAATTATACATTTATTTTTTAACGAGCATCATGGCATAGAGGGTGGCAAGATCTGACGTTTTTCTTCCTAATATTTGAATATATCATAATATTATGGTCGTTTGTTATATATCTGAATATAATAGCGAAATGAGAAAATTAAATAAATATTAAATTTCTTCTCAAAATTTCCTCTACAAAGTATTACCTCTAAGTTTTTTTCAGGGAATTCCAGGTCTTCATCAATGTGTGGAATAGCGGGGGGCTGCTTCGCCAACTTGTGTGGTATTTCGCTACGTATTTCAGTTAGACGCCGACCAATCTCCTGCATTTTGGTAACCAGCCAAACCTTTTGTTCTCTTAATTTCAATACTTTTTCGTTGAACTCACGCTTATTATCATATATCTGTGCATATTTGTGTTGTATCATTACATATATATTGAAAATAAAAGTAATTGCGTCAAATAAACAAATGACAAGGATTACTTTTCCAAAATTAGTAGGTATAGTTTTGTCCCAAAGATACATCATTAATACATTAAAATTTGTTAAAAATATATTATTATTATTATTCTATTTAAATAAACGTTCAGTTAATCACATGAATGTAATTTATAAAGCTATATTTTTTTATTCAAATACAAACTACAATTGGCAAAGAATAATTCACTGAATATACTAGGTAGGTGCACTAAAGAGATACACTCGAATTGAGTAGGTCCCCCTTTTTTGACGTCGATCAAAAGGAATCATTAAACCTATTTTAATATAATATATAATACAACTTTTTAAATCCTAAAATCAAGTTTGGATTTAATATAGATATTTTTTAAAAGAAATGATGGCTATAATCGTTAGTGCTATTTGCCACGAATTCTTAATTTACTTTGGAGTTATTTAAAAAATTAAAACTTATTATACATGACTAACCTCTTTTCTAGCAAGGCAAATACGCAATTGTGTATTATGCCCCTGAGGCGCGACGTAGTCCGGCTGTGTTTTAAGAACCCGATTGCCAATAGTAGCCTCCGCTTCTTTGAGCGCGTCTGCAGCGCCGGGCGGTAAAGCAAGTGCGTCAGGTTTACGGGACAAGTGTTCTTGCCACTGCATGTAATTTGGTTTTGCCATTTTATTTTAATGTATATATTTATAGATTCTGCTCTAATGTTTAACATTATGATACATAAATATCTTTTATGGGGTAACAATTTAATTTTTTTGCTGAAATTAGACAATTGTGTGTATAACACACAATTGTCTAATTTCAGCAATGTAAGTAAAATATAATATAAGGCAGTAGGCAGTGATAGCCCAGTAGTAACGCGCTCAATTGGGATATCGAGTGAAGTGGGTTCAAATCCGGGTCTCGCTCTCTGATATTATCATGTGCGAATCATTTCCAACATGATTACCTACCACTTTTCTTACAGTGAAGGAGGAAACCTTAATGTTTGAGAGAACCTAGCAAGTTTTCAAAAGGCTTGTGAAGTCCGCCACACGTGGCCAGCATGGTGGATCCGATCCCCCTTGTATTGAAGGGGGAATTCGTGGCACGTGGGACGTTAAAAATTGCTGAATACTAATACATACAAGAGTAAAATATGTTAAAATTTGACCCTTTTTCGATAATGTGCTGTATATTCTCTACGTAAATTCACTTAAGGGGTTTTAAGCTTTAATAACTTTGTTTAGGTTTAAAAGCAAAACAGACGCAAACATATTTTTGGTAATTTTATTTTTAAATTGAATACTGAAACTTCTATATACCTCGATGAATTGTATGTGATGACGATTCATTCTTTGATAATAATTACGAAGAGCCTTTTTTAACGGATGCGAGGGATTGGGCGGCAGTCCGAGTAAAAATGATGCCACTTTAGGTGGACCGAATGATGCTTTCTTAATAGCCACTTTCTGTATTGTTGATTCAGTACGTCTATAAATATAAATTTATCGTTATTTCTAATTTATAAATTATCTAGTTATAGATCTTTTTTTCAACATATTTGAGTGAAAAAAATTTAAACTTACCTATTTTCTACGTCAATTAATTTAAATAAATTTAAATCCCTAAAGTCAGCATGTAAAAATAAAAGAAAATGTTTAGAGTAATTAATAGTAATAATTTCTCAGTTATCTTAAATCGAACGATCCACATTAGATTTTTACCTTCCACGTAATGATGCTTCAGCCATTTTCTGGTGAACTTCTTCAAGTTGGCTATAAAAAGCCTTGGATAGATTCTTTTGTCGCAAAGGTCTTATCATAATTTCGGGATCTCTTTAACAACGATGTAAAATTATGTTAGCAAAACCTTTTTAGTACTTAAAATTTATTAGGTATCGGCAAAGAATAAACAAGAAGAACAAGAATTTGTAAAAAATAATATATCATAATAATTAAATTATATGTATAAAAATAACTAGCAGAACCCGCGGCTTCGCCCATGTTCAAACTACAAAAAAAAAACACTTTGGCTTTATTATTTATAATATAATTGCAATACATTTATAATATTTCTCAGCGCCTTAAATTTTCGATTTCTGGAGGTTTATCTCCGTAACTAGCTAATAAAACGGTCTGAAATATTTTTTTAATGCACCTTAGACTACTATCTAACTTGGACTAATTCCGTTTGTAAAATAATAGCATTCTAAATATATAAAAAAATCGTTTGAAACTCGTTCTTCTGATTCATATGACATGTCCGTTCCCCATTTTTCTGAACAAAATTATAAATAACGCGTTATCTTATTGAAAAAACAATATAAATTATAATCACATCGAAAGAAGATTAGTTATCTTGTAACAAAAAAAATTTTTAGTTATATCTACGTTAGTTTACTTATTATAAATAAAGAAATAAAAAATGTCCGGCATAAAATTCTGATTAATATGGCGCGCACTTCACTCGATTGTACTCGGCGAAATACAAAAAGTGAGATCATCACTACCCGCATGGGCGGTAGTCTGTTGTGAGACGGATGGTCCCGAAGGTTGACGTTCGGCCAGGTCAGCGTCGATCAGGAGATACAAGAGTAAGTATTTGATTCATATTTTCTTCATTCAGGTGGGTTTCTGATTAATATGTCTAGTTTACAAATTATGTTACAGCGTTTTAAAACTTGAATCTATGCCCCAAAAAATACGTTTGAGTTATAGATTTTTGTGGTTATATGCGAATACCGATGCATATATATGTTACGGGTAATCGAAGATTTTAGGTTAAATTCTGATTTATCTGGGTCCCATAGAATCACAAAGTGGTACATTTTGGTTAAGTTATTTATCATACATTCATCATTAAGATCAGGTTCCGAGCATCACGACACCGCGACTGCGACACAGCGAAAGAAAAATGATATAATATATAGTATAGGATGTCACATAGACGGATGCAGTGCAAAAATAAGGTGCTGCTCATTCCATCAATTAAATGTTATGGACTCTTCATGTATTATTACTCAACATTCATTTGTTATAAACTTAATGATTTGCATCTTAAGTTTCATCTGAACGGGTGCGCAACTTAGACCAGCTTGACAACTGGCTTCCCTCAAGGCGGCGGATCCCAAATATTGGTAGAGGCTCCTTTCTATTTGTGAAAAATATATTAAAAGTCATGGTTTAGTTTACAATAGTAAAAAATCAGTTACTATGGTATTTAAATATAAAAATGGATCATGATATGTACCTGACGTTGTTCTAAATAATGTTAAGCTTGATTGAGTTCTAAAATTTAAATACCTTGGACATGTAGTAAATGAAATGTTAACAGATGAGGAAGATATAGAGAGGGAACGTAGAGCATTGCCGATAGAAATCTATGTATGCTGCGTGTACAGGGCAGGTTAAAATTACACTCTTTAAGGTCTATTGTCACGTACACGTTTTCAATGTTTCTTCTGTTCTTTTCAAATGATTAGACTTCCTAGTATATTGTTGTGCGTTGTGGATGTTCTACGAGGCACACACTGATGGTTGTGTTGCTGTCATAAGAAAGAGGATCGCATGTCTGAGATAGAGGATAAATGACAGCACAAATTCTATCATGAAAAGTGTAGAAGATTTTGGGCGAAATTTCTCCAGACATAGATTAAAGGATTTTTCATATTATGTTTTAGTTTAAATATTTAATTTTATTTATTGTTCTTAATGCAGGAAACCATTGTATTTATTTTATTTAGTTTATAATTTAAGTTTGATTTACCTACTTTTCAAATTGTATGGAAAAGTGTTCCGAAGTAAAGATTTATTATTTATTCGTGATTTATTAAAGGTATATTATAAAATTAATAAATAATAAAAATAGTTATAATTAATAAAAAACAGTAATATTATATTATACAGACTTGGTTTTTTTGTTTTTATTCCTGTTTCTGATTCATCTGTCACGAATTTTAATTCATATGGGCCCTAAAAAATTCAAGTTAAATATCTCAGAAATTATTTGATTAAAATGAGTGCGTAATTCAAATATATGTTATTTGGCATGTCTTTGATCATAAGAGTATGTTGAATAGAGCCAAAAGTGAAAATAATTTTTGGCCAGATAAATCAGATGAAGAACGCAATCTCGGAGAAATACCCACATACTTTATTATTTGCAAAATTAAGTTCGTGTTTCATATTATTTCTTAAAGATATTGTGGAAAACAAATTTAATTTAAGCGATTGTAACTCAAATTATCCACTATCGTATCCACTATCATATCCACTAACGTACATACGTAAAAATATTCTGTAAATTAATTTTCTATCAAAGTATTTAGCAAGCTCCACTACTGCCTTTTTTGTAAATTTTTTACTCAATCTTTGCAAAGTTAGGAAGACAGTACAATGATAGAACTCGCGTACAATGTTTACGACTTTAAATTACTTAAAATGATGTAACTCATCTAATATGGGTTTTATATAGACATTATAACCCCCTTTCACTTCTTTAAGGGATGAATTTCAAAAAATCTATTAAATTGAATATATATATATATATATATATATATATATATATATATATATATATATATATATGTATTTTTTATTTTAAAGCTAAATAATAATAACACTTTCCAATTCAGAATTTTATACAAATGAAATACAAATTTTCATCCCCTATTTTACCCCCATAGTGAATGAATTCATTAAAAAGTTTCAACCAATTCTGATCATAAACAACTTTTTACCCATAAAAACTTTATTACTCTTTAAGGAAGAAATTTCAAACAAAAACTTAATATACATATTTTCTTATTTTTTTATTTTAAAACTTATATTATTTTTTCGTTCATTTCACATTAAAAATGACAGACTTTTATACAAACTTACATTCCTTATTTTACTCCTTTAGGAGTGCAATTTCCAAAAATCTTTCATTAGTGGATGTTTACATAATAAAATGCATCAACTGCCAAAATTTCAAGATTATAACCCCTGTGGCTTAGGCTCTGCGTTGGTGAATCAGTCAGGACAAGTAATTTTATATAATATATAGACAGACATATTTATAAAGAAAGTTTTTTTTATAAAAAACATATTCGTATAGAGGCAAAAAACTTATAAAAATGAGGTATTAACTATGACTAATAACGTATTGATGCAGTAAAAACTATTTCTGTTGTTAAACTTAAGGTAACTTACCTTATCGCCTTCAAAGTGAAAGGAAACACATCCAATTGTATGATGTTTCTTGAATACATTTTGTGTAGCGCCAAATCAGAAGCCTCCAATTGATGCGCTAACTTGCGGCGAGTGAGGGCTTTAGCTTGATCTAGTTCTTGTTCTTGGACAACGAGAGGACGGGGGTCCAACGTCACATCGATTTGTTGTGAATATGGTAACGCTCGATTCCTAAGTAGATTTTTTGAATGAAACATAATTCATATAGGTTTAAATAAGTAGATAATATTAATAAAATAATAATTCCCCATATAAACTTTCATCCTCATTTTCACCCCCTTAAGGGATGATTTCCGAGATAAAAACTATCCTATGTCCTTTCCAGGCTCTCAAAATATCTTCTTACCAAATTCCATCTAAATCGATTGAGTAGTTTCAGAGCCTACTCGGTACAAACAAACAAACAATAAATAAGTCTTTCCTCTTTATAATATTAGCATAGATCAGGCTAATAGTAATATTAAATTTAATTCACCAAGTTATTTGTAATAGGACATAGAATAACAATAATTTTACAAAGTAATAATATTAAATTATTTTGTTTTATTTAAAATAGGTAAAAAGGAAAAAATGTCAATTACAAAATGAGCTTAAAATACGAAATTGCTAATTAAAATAATTTAATAAATATAAAGAAACATTTACTAACGCTTTAATCAATTTACTATATTCTGCGGTAAGCTCGGCCAGTTGGTCGCGAACGCGCTTTTTATGAGCATTGGCTATAGATATCATTTTGTCATATTCTTCTTTTTGTTTGAGTTCTTCGTGAGACATAAGTTCTCCATCTACAGTGCTTGGTTCTTTCATTCTTTCTATTTTCTGTAAAATATTTTATAATATTCAAATTATTTTATATATATAATAAACTATAGGTAGGTATTAAGATTATTATGTTATTCTCGTTTTACCAAGATTTGATACTTACCGGAACTTCTACAGTAGGTGGTAACAAAGGTGAAGGTAGTAATGGCTGTGTAAAATTTATTATATACGAGAAAATATTACCATCTGCTCCGCTCGTAAATAAAAACCTAAAAGTAATTTAATATTTAAATATGATGTCATCGAAATAACAGTATGATATTTTAATATGAAATTAAAAAAATATACATACTTTCCATCCGAACTAAATTCCATACATGTAATAGCGCCGGTGTAATGGTCATGCATTGCCAAGTAGTAGTTGTCAACGAAATCTATGCGGGGCGTTGGTTGGGTCTACGAATTATAAAATCGCCATTCATAAGAGTCAAATTTAATCATCTAAATTTTGTTTATTATGTTATTTGGTGTTTGATTAGAACTTACTTTTTCTCTAAAAATGGTTTTACATTTTTTGTAGATTTAGTACTATAAATAATTTATTTTTTAATCGTTACAGGTAAACAAATTCTTGTAACTAATACTTGAATTAAAAAAAAAAACATTTTAATTTATTTCTAGTTTAACCTCCTCTTTAGCCAATCGTCGCCCTTTTAATTTTTTCAGTAGCTTTTGTTGCGCTAATTTCCAAGTCATATAATGATACTCAGGTGTGTCTTCATCCCCAGTGGGCATGCGGACTACGCGAATACATCCACAGTTAGTACCAACAATGAGGTAACGATTCTCGCATCTAAAAATAGGCAAATAAAAAATAATTTGATATTTGTATAATATATTAATTATATTTGATGTAAGCTTAGTCATATTTCATTTCATTACATAATGATTATATACAAATAAACATACTATACAACAAAAACTTGATAATCAAAACCGAAAAATGTTCTTTAAAAAGTCAAATATTCGCGTAAATCTAAGAAAGTATTAAGAATTGTCACTTTGGATAAGAGGGCCCGGTACGTACATAAATCTTAAAGCAGTTATGTCATCACACCAGGCCCCTGGAAAGGGTCCGTATTTTAATATCTTGTTATGGCCAGGTTTGACAAGTAAGAGAGCGGCCGTGCCTTGTTGTACCACCCATATACCTTCGTCGCAGTATTGAGCCCATGTTATCGTACTTCCTGGCGTATTTTCGCTTTCAACTGTAATAATATGTACATATTAAGTTTATAACATATTCCCAAGGATTTTTTTCAAACAAGTTGATGTCAGGCAGACGCCGACCTCAAGTGTTTGGGAAGTGGGCAGGAAGATGATGATATTAAGTTTATAACACTAGTAAAATTTTGTTTAATGACGTTGTTTATGTTTTACTTAATTTTTTTATATCATATTTAATATGTTATCAATAAATATTTTATATAATATAAGAAAAAGCAACTAACAAACAGTACAAACTTGAGAGTATATTGAATTTATTATATAAGTATATTTTATGATTTTATATTGGCTAGACTTTTTATGAAGAAATATAAAAATCTCTTACGAATTCAAATAGCAATTTCCATACGACGTTAATATCGTATTCAAATACATACGTAATAAATCATAATAAATAAAAAAGATAGAAACGTATTTTATGATTAATAATAAGAAGTAAAATTTATATGAATAATTAATTTAAAATTAATTAATTATCCTTTTACAAGAAACCGGTACCAAGTTGAATTTCTCCAATCCAATCCTCTTCTTCTTCATCGTTGTCTTTCTCACATTCCTCTTGAGCTTTAAGAGCTTCTTCGTCTATACTAGCTAAATCCTCTTCCATGGGAAATGGTCTATTTTGCATGCTAAATAAAATAATTTTTTTGCTTATTAAATAACTATTCTCATTTTCAACATTAATTATTGTAGATTATTAACAGTAGTAAAATATTTTGAGTGAAGTAAATATAAAAAAAAATAGCTTTCGTCATAAACGAAAGTGTCGTGTGACAGTCACAAAAATGAATAATAGAAGATTATTTTAAACAAATTAACTTACAAATATTTTTTCACCAGTATTTCTTGGTAGGAAATGAACTCCTGTTTGAAGGTAGTGATATCAGTATATTTTTTAACTGGAATGTCTGGTAGCACTGCCTCAATTATAACACCTAATTGTCCACATAGAAGAAGAACTCGCTCCTTCAAAAGAATTTTAATTAAATTCTAGGTGAATATCTCATTAGAGGTTTTATTTGAGTACATATACGCATATTCATACGAGTATATCATAAGATTTGACAAACTGTCCTAGATTTACCTCAAAAAATATTTTATTGAGCAAAGCGTATTTCTCTGATCAAGATTTTCTTGTTAATGGAAATATGTGGAATTAAGAAATATTGACTCATATGCAGGCTATCTATATTGTTATGTTAGTAAAATAAATAAATGTAACTTCGATATTTAAAAGAGCAACAAAGTTTCTCACCGGCATAGAATAAGCGTTATTATTCTAAGCTCACTGTCTCTTCTCAGCAGAACTGCTTTCCAAGCCGGTGGTAGCTTCCTTACGGATTGACTACACTGATGCTCTTTAAATTGTATTGATGATTCAAAAGTGCTCATAACAAGTCTAATCGAATAAAGTTTATTTCATTTTCAGTTACACACAAGGTGAATTCACGTATGTATTGATCATATAGATGATCGTCCAATAAGAAAGTAAGAAAGTGTTAAATGAATGAATGAATGAATGAATGTTTATTTTCATTGCCGTATATTTTAACAGTATAAACTAAAATTACGAAATTACTTTCACAAAGACCGTGTAAGTAAATGTCTTGTAACAAATCAGTATTTTTTTTGTTTAACTAAAAGAATTTGTGTAACCTTCTTTTACATTGTAGATAAAAACAAAAGTGTGCAACGTAGGACGTACATAGTTTCGCCATAAAGTAACTACTTACTTCGTCAGGTTTCCAAGTCATAAAAGCCACATTGTTGGGGGTTTGTATAAAGCCCAGAGTATGTAGTTTGAAAGGCGTTCCAAGTTCTAAGTGGTACATAAAAATGGTACAGTCTTCTCCACACGTGACTAGTAACGTACGATGCTCGTTTATTGTTATTTGTGTTAAGGATTTCGAGTGAGGTTTTTGTAACTGCAAGTTTACAATTATGTTTTAAAATTAAAACAGGACAAAGATGAAAAGGATAATAATTCAATAAACCAAATTTAAATTGAAGCGCAGGTAAAGCAAACAGAAGTAAAAAGATAATTTTAAAGTAAGCCAAACTCAGTAAAAAGATTTAGAAATTAAGTATTAGAAACTTTTTCTAAAAAAATGTCAACAAATGAGTTATTCACCGATATTAAGTCAAGGACATCGGCGTTGACAGAGTCGTCGCTATGGATAGTGAGAGCTGAATGTACGCGTACTTCAACCAATGAGGCCTGCCTTTGAAGTCTCTCCGGATGTACAAACAAAGTTCTCATAATACCGTCGGAGAACCCAACTAATATTATGCACGACGTTTCATTAACCTGATGTTAAATAAAATTGGCATTTAAAGACTCATTTAATTAGTTGAATCAAGTCGATTAATTATGGATATATTCTAAAATTAAACAATAAGAAGTTCAATATTTTAGTTATTTTAATGCCTTTGTAATATGTTCAGCCCTTTTTAACGTCCCACTGCTGGGCAAGGGCCTCCCTTCAATACGAGGGGGATCAGGCTATAGTCCACCACGCTGGCCAAGCACGGGTCGGTGGACTTCACATGTCTTTTGAAAATTTGCTAGATTCTCTCAGACATGCAGATTTCCTCACGACGTTTTCCTTCACCGTAAGGCAAGTGGTAATCATGTTAGAAATGATTCGCACATGAAAATATCAGAGGTGCGAGACCCAAGATTTGCTTCACTCGGTTTCCCAAGCGAGCGCATTACCACTGGGCTACCACTGCTTTTATAAACGATAACATTTATATTTAAAAACAAAGCTATGTTTGTGTAAGGCATAGTGGTTGTAAATTTAGCCATTACAAATTGTTACCCGCACAAGTGCAAAAAACCATAAATAATTGCAAAAATGGTTAGATTAAATATAGGTACCTATTTGATGTTATTTGCACAATTACAGGTTAACATTTACTGTTTTAATACTTAAATTAATGTAACTTACGTCTATAGGAGGATACATCATACAAGTGACAGCAGCCGGAAACTGATATCTTGCTAATAACTTATGCGTTTCAGTGTTATACGCATGTAAAGCCCCGTCCTCGCCAGCAGTTATTAGAACAGGATGTGTGCGCAGTACTGCCATAGAGACTACCCCACTGGCGTGACAAGTCATAACTTTACGATGATTGCATTCTAACTTGTCAATTTCTAATTCCACTGTCCAAATGCCACCGTTTCCATCCTAAAATAGAAGTAGCCATAATGTCTTGTAAATAAGATCTAGTTAGTAATAATTATTAAGACTGAAGAGAATGCATGGTTAATATAGTATTGTAATTTTCTTACTTGTGCATACCAGTACATGTCTTTTTGATGTTTCAAGCACATTATTTGGCAACCCGGTACCTGCAATAAAAATGTTTATAATCTATACATATATTAAAATTGTAACTAAGCCGAATCTGTACATTAAATATTTTTTGGAAAATCTTATTTAAATAAACATTATTATCGATACAGAGGCCGAATCTATAGATTTTAGATTTTTTGTCTGTCTGTCTGTCTGTTACCGCATCACAGAAAAACCACTGAAGGGATTTTGATGAAATTTGCTATGCTGATTATCTGGTTCAACATATAGGATACTTTTTACCGCGGGAAAATGTCTCATTTCTGAGAAAACATATAAAAACTGCATTGTAAGAGTATAATAATATGTAAAACCTAAGAATTTGCATTTTGGTCACCTGAAAGCGGGCGAAACCGCGGGCCATACTAGTATAGTATATATGTATTTTTTTTATTTTTAAGCAATGTCTTGGCTAACGGTAATTATATTATGAATAATAAACATACAAAAGTTTCCGCAACAGGATTTAATTCCACAAAGGGATCGTCTTCGGGCGGATCAGCCTGTTCTACAGTATCCCAGTACCAAGCGCGTATGTAACCGTCCCGACCAATAGTGGTCACTTCGTCACCAGCAGGACTTAACATGAATTGTATCTAAAACGTAGACATATTTAAAAAGAGCAGAGAGATGAGCAAGCAACAAATAAAAAAATGCTAAAGATGTTTTACAAATTTTGATGAGGCTTTTCATAGAGATAAGATTTAACAGGTCAGGGGCTCACCTGGTGCTGTAGAGTTATTACTTATGAGGATGATCAATGCTAATATAATTTTAGGTTACGATAGCATTTTATAATTAAGTACAGTTATCTACAAAATGTAAGTAATTTTCGTTGGTAAATCAGCTATACAAGATACATACAATTGGTGCCTTATGACAGGTTTTTCTTCCACGTTGTGTTACCTCTAATTTCACTAGACCTGCCTCCCAAACAAGAACGTTACCCCATTCGCATCCAGAAAGAACCTAAAAGTCATAATTATTGAAAGACTGAAAATTACTACAACTATCTAATATTGTTTAAGTCAAGTATTTGTTAGTGTTAGGTGATATATAAAAGTTTTAATAATTGATCTTTTCTTAACGTTTTTTAAATAACTTAACTGATATGAAAATATAAATGCCTAAGCATAGATTATTGAAAAACAAACCGGTCAAGTGCGAGTCGAAATTGCACAAAAAGTGTTCCGTTCCATCGTACATGTACTTTTTATTAATATAACTTTTACTCTATGTATGTAGTATATTAACTTCGAGGATCGATTACGAACGTTAAAAAAATGTTTTTTGTATTTTTATTTTTATTATTTGTTGTTATAGCGGTAATAGAAATACATACTCTGTGAAAATTTCAACTACCTATTACGGTTCATGAGATACAGCGCCCTGACAGACGGACGGACGGATAGTGGAGGCACCCTTCGGGTACGGAACCCTAAGAAACCAATTCCATAACATATTTACTTTTTCATCAGGCATAGGATAAACACCGAGTACATCACAAATCTCTGTTTTCCCAAATCTCCCTAATTCTCCTTTTAGTTTCAATCCTGTGAATGTGTGCGCCATTTTCCAACACTTGATATGTGCAGCTCCTATGAGTAAAAATAAGTAATAAGTTTAAGCCTTTAACAAAAATAGTTACATATAAAACAAGGAAATTCGAAAGAAGAAGCAGATACGTGAAGGTAAAAAAAAAAATTTGCGATTTCTTAATATTTTGTTAAACATACATACTTTATTAATTATCCCACGGGAACCATACGTTCACCGGGATAAAAATTAAGCTATGTGCTATTCTAGACTATAATCTACGTGTATCTCTGTGCCAAATTTCATTCAGATCCGTTCAGCCATTCTGGCGTTCTTGAGTACCTAACAACTAACAAACATCCATCTATAAACATCCAAATATATAAACTTTCATATTTATTATATTAGTAAGATTCAAATCTTACCGGCTGTAGTAAGTTGACCTGGACAATAGGGCGAAAACATGACTGTGTTAACATCAAATGAAAATGCACTTGTGCGTAACAGAATTTTGTGTCGTTTCCAGTTCCATATGGTCAAGTTGTAATCGGGTTCCTTTCCTACTGACGCCAAGAGCTCTCCATCTGGACTATAAAAGTTTTATTAATTAGTAGCTTAGAAGCTGCATTTTCAATAATCATTATAGTTTTCTATGGTTCACGTATAATATTTATTTTTTTAAATATATATTTAATGTATACATACCTATAATAAAGTTCAGTAAATTAGCGAAATTTGTACATGAGATATTTAAAAAAAAAGTCTGTAATGTATTGTGTAAAGAATATAGATCCCGAAACAATAGTTAAATTTTTTGTCTGTTTGTCTCTATGTGTGTATATAAATTTAAGTTTTATTTATGTTTTTATTAGTTTACAATTTTTCTCTACACTTTCTCTTTCTGTCCCGCTACTTAACACTATTTCCCACATACATGGGTTGACTGGAAGAGATCTCTTATAGAGATAAGTCCACCTTTGTCCACGTCTCTTTCAATGTATTTTTTTTATGACTACTTTTTTGTGCAATAAAGAATATAATATATGTCTGTTTGTCCGTTTGTGTGTTTTAATTTTTCCGATTTCGCTAAGTTATTGTTTTATTATATATATATAGTTTAAAGGCAATGACGCAACTCACTGACTGACTTACCAATGTTTAGTGATTAATCAATCTGGTGATGTTAGACCAGCACCAAAAAAAACAGCTTTATATATCCATACTAATATTAAATGCGAAAGTAACTCTGCCTGTCTGTCTGTTACCTTTTCACGTTTAATCCGCTGAACCGATTTAGATAAAATTTGGTATGGAGATAGTTTGAGACTTTGGAAAAGACATAGGATAGTTTTTATCTCGGAAAACATCTCTTAAGATGGTGAAAAGGGGGGTGGAAGTTTGAATGGGGAATCAATCATTTCTCAAGTACCTAAGGGATATATATTTTTTATTTTTTTTAAATATTTACCTACCTTTCTATACCTGTGTATTTACATTTACATAATTTACATAGTCTATTCTTTACTAACCGTTAAAACGTACTTAGGGACGAACCCGAGCGAAGCGAGTTTGAGTCCCTGGTATACAATATTTTGTATTTATATTAAATGATTACTTAAAAATTCTCTAGGTATATTATTATCAGTATCGATAAATTAATTATTGACAAACATGATTTAAGACAGATACCTAAAATCTAAGACTGAATATGCATTAGTTGTCCCGTCACGTAAGACAGCATCTATTTCCATTTGAGGCCAGGTGTAAAGTAATATTACAGGATCACGGAACCCTTCTCTACCTTCCGCTATAACGATACGGTAATTGGGATCTTTCCTATGTGACTGCAATAAAAAAGTAAAGAGGTATCAGTTGATATGTATTTACATAAATTTTGTGTTACACGCTGTAAACGTTTGTACGAAGTACGTAAGTAAGTTAAGGTCAATTTTTTTAAATTAGAACAAAAAGCATTCATAGTAAGGGACTATTTTTATGTTATATTGGTCCATAATCTTAGTAATTACCGTCACCGCTCCTACGGATCCTCCAGTAGTGCTTCTACGAAACCACAACTGCTTAGTATTCACATCCATAAATGTGATTATACTTCCAGCTGCCCAGCACACGACAGAATCATCGCATGCACATAGATTGAAGTACTTTTGACAGTTGTAACCATAAGAATATCTTTAGGTATAGGATAAAATATAGGTATAGTAAATCTATTATGATACGAGACGTCTTCTTAGATATACTACGGGATAATACATTTTACGCGAATAGCAAGCCTCAAAGTCAATAAAAAGGAATTGTATTGATTTTAAACGCTCATATTAAAATTGAAATATGCATTATAAATACTTTTATAAATCATATATATGACAAAAAATGGCCTTGCTTGCAAATAGTTCCTACTTTGTTTTGTTTTTAACCGACTTCCAAAAAGGAGGAGGTTCTCAATTCGTCGGATTTTTTTTATGTACGTTCACCGATTACTCGAAAACGCTTGATCCGATTTGGATTTTTTTTATTTTGTTTCAAAGGGTATACTTCCCAGGTGGTCCCATATAAATTTATCGAAATCGGTTTAGCGGTTTTTTAAACAAAATCTACAATAAATGTTTTTTTTAGAATAAATTGTTTAATCGAAAATGTTATTAAAAAACTTCATCGTTTAGTTATTTTTACATTTTAGTGTCTGGAAGTCGGATTTTTTAAAGTTTTTATTACTTATTTCGGTTTCATAGAGTGCAGTAGGTACGTAGACAAGAAAATTGAAGTCAGTCATAAAAGGATACTCAAATTCAAATAAGTTATGAGGTATTGTAGAGTCCGACGAATTGACAGCACCGGATAAAAAATCATCCGGATCGTATTCTGTGAGAATCGACTCTACTTCGGCTTCTTCTTCCACTTCTTCAGGAATAGGTTCTTCAATATGGATTTCTATATGTATATTTTAAAAAGAAAAAAAATATTTAAAAACCAGGTTTTAAAATCTTTTGTTTCCTTGTCCTTACACAACTTCACTTCACAACATATTACTATACACTAGCACACCTGTTACATGCATATTCTTTTCTACCCTTCATACCTTTCTCGGTGTACGTCTACTATTCATACCTAATATTCTTTTGCTTACACGGCTTTCACCCCTCCTCATGGCATACTCAGTTCATGCTAACCTGTAACTTCTCTGTCTCTAGCGATAATTTCAACTTTTCTCCAATATATGTATTCCTATTCATAACCTTTGTCCCATTTCAGTAATTCCATCTAAATAACGTATAATATAAAAGATTTCAACATTTGCTTAGCCACGTGTATCTCTTTTTCATCTGTTCCGTTTGATTTAACCAACATTCTGATCGTTTAACTTAATTTTACACGCCATTTTAACTTGGATCCATTCTACATTAATTATGTAGTTCTTGGCTAAGCGTTTTTAAACCGGACGTCCGCTGTAGCCTGTAAGATCTACTTGAGAAAATAAGCTTTAAAGATGAAATTGAAGATTTCTCCGAATAAATATTATAAATTTCTTTTTATCTTTCAAAGAGAACGAATTCATATTCAATTTTAAAGACTAACTGACTGTTATTCTAAACCAATAACAACTGTACAAATAATATATAATTACTAATTATCCGCCCGCGTTCAGATGACCAAAAACCAAAATCCTAGGTTTTACACATTAGTATACTCTTACATAGCAGTTTTTCTTTTTTTTCTCAAAAATGAGATATTTTCCTGCGCTATAGCAGGCAGACAAAAATTCTGAAAACTATAGGTTCAGCGTCTGTATCGATAGTAATGTTTATTTCAATAAGATTTTCCAAAAAATATTAAATGTTCAGATTGGGCTTAGTCATAATTTTATTATATGTATAGATTTGTCCAGCAACTTTATTTAGTTTTTTTTATATTAAATTTAGAGCATCTGGATAAAAGATTATTTATTTGTAAGTTTTAATTTTCGATTATGTGACAGGACCGACTTGGATAACGTAGAGTGGGAGCGCCGCGCCGGGAGCGTAGCGTAGTGCCTGCCTTAGCCGTCTGGTTAGGTTACTTTTTTATTTTAAATAAAGAACCCCCAATATTTATATTCATAATTGCTTTATGTTATTGAAGATTTCGTCACAGTTTCGAATCGAAAATTATAGGTCGGACAATATCAGAAGAATTGGAAGTGTCAAATGTATTTTTTTGATGACACGCTACAATTTTTGAAAGAATGAGAACAAGATAAATATTTTGTATCTCTGTCGAAAGCTCTAAATTAAAGATGGCGGTCCTAGATTTGTAAATACCTATTCTTTTTCTCAAGAGAGAACAGAACAAGATACTTACATATATTTGAGAATGATCACAAGTTAAATAGGTAGATGAGAGGAAAGTGAGCAATAGGGCTCTTTGCTATTTATGAAGGCAAGGCATATCTGTTAGGGTTATCGCGGAGACGCGTAGAAAGCACGTTTGGTTTAGATAAACGTTTGTATGGACCGTACATGTGGTTAGGCAATAAATATGTTATATATTTTGGATCATACCTTCGACATTTTCTTCGCCTACTTCCTCGTCAGCCATTTTTATCGATTGTTATTCCATTATTATTTCATTAAATAAAAAGTGGTTGTTACCAAAGAAAACTTAAACACGGTTGCTACGATACGTTAAATTAAGATGAGTTTACATGTACCTACACTTTACATTTTATTTTGAAGTATCACAATGATAGAAAAAAATAGTAATATGTTACCTTATTTTAAATTGTATCCTTATTACCAAACTGCAGCCAAGCCCAAGGGAGGGTCATTTTTAAATTATATTTAGACGAATTATTTTATGATTAGATTTATTTATTTTTATTACCCAATTGCGGTGAAGCTTGAATAAGGGTTAAGTGTTTGACCTAAATGTATGTATGTATGTGTATATGTATGTACATATGTACATATATCCAATCTTATGTTCCCTCGTATTTACTAAACGATTTAACCGATTGTGATGATTCATACGGTCATTAGAATCGTCCTATATAAATATTATTAAAAACTAAAAAGGCGCATTTCACGCGCCTATTTCTGGAGGGTTGTTAATTAGTGTCCGACAATCCAGACGGATGTGAAGCCAAGAAACGCTCTGGGAGTGGACTCATTTCGGTGAGTTTTTAGTACTTTATTTTAAAAGCAGAGTGGACCGTTTGAGCAAAGATTAAGTGAGTAGGACTGGCTTTTCTAGCCGGCGAGTCCCATATAACCATCTGTATGTATGTAGGTGGTGGCATCAATGCATTTTCCTAAGTTAAAAGTTTATAGTCTATCTGTGTACTAAATTCATCTAAATCAGTTCTGCCGTTTTGACGTGAAGGAGTAACAAACATTCATACATACATTTATGTATATAAACTTAGAATGTGATGTCATCATTTTTTAATAAGCTATTTATATGTTTTCGAAACCAACATAATATCAGAACGTTTAACATCCATCAATGTATAAGTGTGCTTTTAGCATAACTTTTCATTACGTTTGTTTATTTATATAGATACCAATTTTGATCTTTTTGTTTTTCTGTTAATAGGCAAGATTTCTTGAAAGGAGGGCGCCACACGTATTGCCTATTCACATGCCTATATATATATTCAGTCTGAGGTTAAGCAATTTATTGTGATATCTTTTTTATACCTAGTTTTTTGTTTCTATTGTGTTGGCATCTTACCTGTGTAATGTATTGTACCTGGAAGTTAGACCAGCTGAAGGTAGAATTGAGAAGGAGAGGTGCACCCAAGTTTCAAGTAATTCTGATCATAAATAATTATTTGCCTATATAAACTTTATTACCTCCTTTTAACCCTTTCAGGGATAAATTTCGAGAAAATCTAATAATTATATTCCTTATTTTTTATCTTAAAGATGAACACCACTTTCTATGTATTACACATTAAGAATGACGGAGTTTTATACAATCTTAATCCCCTGCTCTACCCATTTAGAGGATGAATTTCGAAAAATCCTTTCTTATCGGATGCCTAAATCATATAAGGAAAACGTTCTCCAAATTCCATATTTCTACGACCAGCGACTTAGGCTGTGTATTGATCCATTAGCCAGTCAGTCAGGACCACCGCAGGATGTACCTTTCCATTTCAATTCTTTCTTCACCTGATCTAATTTCCAGATACAAACGTAAGATGTGATCATAATAGAAGCAAACAAGCAGGTATAAAAGAGATATCACGATAAATTGCATAACCTCAGACTGAATGTAAATAGGCTATACGTGTGGCGCCCTCCTTTCGAGCAATCTTCTCCATTGGAAAACAGGGAGTCTCTATGAGATATGACTACAACTTGTCACTACCTTGTCAGAAAAGAACTGTCAGACACATCACGAAATACGAATGTATGTTCAGATTTTTTAAGCTGTGCTAAAGCTAATAGTGATAAGCGTTATCGCTTGAAAAGTTTGATGTCGTATGTCAAATAAATAAATAGAACTATCAAGATTTGCCAAATAATATTATTACCACTGTATCAAACTTTAGACATTGATTGATCTTAGAAAAACATGTCTCAGCCACATAGGAAAGCTGTACTTAATTTGTATAAAACGGTATTTATTGTTTTACTGTTTATTTTAGTAATATACTTATGTCCTCGAAGAAAACTTACAAAATTTATTTCTTTGCATTGTAGCTATTATTTTTGGGAAGAGATTGGCCACAAGGTTATGATCTATTTAGAAAACGTTTATACAAAGTGTTTACCAGGAACAGTGAGGAAACTGATCCAACTAAGATTCAGTCAATGATAAAACATGGTCAGTTTGTTGTTAAAGAAATTGAAGCACTTTATAAATTGAAAAAATACAGAGCTATGAAACGAAGATATTATGATGATAATAATTAATGTCCAAATACTTGGTACGTAAGGTACTTATTTGTTAATTATTAAATTGAACCAAATTGTATATTTGTCCATATATGAATAAAAATATTGTTATTCTGTAGTTAAAAAAGTATGTTAATGTTAAATAACTATAGGGTTGTACCTAACAAATATCTATTTAAAATGTAACATTAAATCAATTTAGCTAATAGTATATTCATGTTACCTTTCAAGTTCAGCTAGATTAAGGTTTTTGACACAACAATATTATTTAGCAACTTAACAGTTAACAGATTTTGAAAGATTTATATGTTAACTGGTTTATTACTATAAAAACAGTAAGCAATAAAGTTATTTTAATCTAATAAATACAAATTTCTGCCGAAATAATTACACAAAAATGATGACTCAAAAATAAATTTTATATAATTTGCTTCAAAAAGCTTATTTAAAAGTTTTAAATTGCCTACTGTTTATAACATGAAATGAAACTATAGAGATCTATGTAGTCTTGTATTATAGATACTTTTATGGTTCACGTAATACATTATTGTTTTAAACTAAGTTAAATAATAGCAGTTTATTAAAAGACATCTATTTTTAAAATAAATTATAACAATGTTAAAAGAAATTAGTTTCATTTAACTGCCAAGTGATATGATTTCTTAAATTTTCGATGAAGATTATGATTTATAATTATGTACACATGAAGGTGTTTGTATGAATTCATTTCATATTTCCCTGCTTCAAAATACCATTTTTTTTTAAATTAATCCAAATTAACTTTTGCTTAAAATATAATGTTTTCTTTAAGTTATGACATGTTCAGTAATTTTTTCAAATTTTATCTATTATGTTATAAGAATAATATATTATGTCAGTTTTGTAAATTACTTAACTTACTCTATTTATTATCTCCCACTAAACCATTTTTAGTAGAACGAAAATGTTGAAAATCTTTTTATAATTTCAGTAATATTAGTTAGTATTGCTGAATTTATTAATTATATAAATAGCATCTGGATTATATTCTATATTGTCAATATTTTTGATGTTTCATTAAATATAAGTTGCTTAGCAAAAACCCAAGTAACTTGCACAAAAAGGTTTTAAGAGGTCCCAATCGACAACATGCTGCAATCAGCATGTTTATCCATTACATATAATGTCCATCTCTTTTAAATTGATAAATTAAGAGTTTGTACAGAGATGTGTTTGTTTTCTATGAATCTGTCTCTACATGCTATAAGTACAAACTATAGGTACATTGACATAACTATATTTATTTGTAAATACAGTAATCGAACCACAAGTCTACATGTTTCGTGTTGGTGCAGTTTATATACTTGAAGCCCATTTTTGTTACATACTACTCCTATAGTATGCAAATGTGAAATTTAACATGTGATTACATTATATACATAATAACATACACTTGAGATCAACAACATTCAAGCAATAGCTAATTAGGTATAGAAGAATATGATTCTCACACCAAAATTAGAGGGCTTTTTATATCCTAATGACTAATATTGTTTTACATGTAAATTAAATTTATCAAGAATTAACATTTACATATATTAGCTAACAAGCTATTATATGTTCAAGGGTTAACTCCAGATTTTATAATTTTATTAGTTAAAGGAAATATATAAATTTAACAGTTACAATGAATACTATAGTTTTTATTTTCTATCATAAATTGGACAATAAATTCCGATGATAAAGATTCTGTTTAAAACGATGGAGCAGTTATAAGTAGCAACAAGATATACAAACTCTACGAATATCGTGTTATATAGTTTATTATTTCTATCGTGTATATTACAATAATTATTTTTCATTATACATAAAGTATTTGCCTACTCTAAGATAAACATTTAAACAGACAAAACGAGTCTTTGATAGCTAAATATTAATTGTTTTTAAAGAAAAAATATAATTTCATTTTAACTTAACTTTCTCAATCTTATAATGTGTTGGAAATATAGTATAGGATGTAAAAAGAAAGCCGACTTGGGACTATGTTTACAATTCTTACAGATTAAACATAGCTAGTATTGAGATTGATGTCATGAAGTAAAGCAATGTAGTAAACAGTAAGGTACCTCAATAGGCCAATTGTTCCTCTAAAGAAGGTTAAAAAAATATGAAATAAAAAAATAACAATAAGCTGTATCTACATCGAACTATGAAACGCCTGTCCTCCTTCAGAGGAACTTTAATTAGATTACTTAAAATGTATCGATTCTATAACACTTAATTGGTAATAAAATAGAATGTAATAAATTTATAACAGGATTCAACTTATTTACATAGCGTCAATATAAATATAATAGACATTGAAATTTATAGTAAGTGTAGGAAATTACCTACATATTTCAAGATTAAATGAATTTTTACAAAAATAACCTTAAATCATATTAGGTTGAAAGAATTTTAGTTAAATGAAACATACAAACGGATATGTTATATACTTAAATATGTTATATTAGTTAAAATAATATATTCTCCTATGATTTCTATTTTAGGGGATTTTTCAATGTTTAATCAAAAGCAATTAATTACACTTATGTCGTTTATGACGCTTTCGAAAATAACTGTGATAAACGAATTTTATTTTCCCAATGAGATGTTGAGTAAGGCGTTTCTTCTTTATCCTGGAGTTCTCCATGGCTTGATGTTTCTGCAAAGAATGTAATATTTTAAAATATTTATCAAAGACCAATTTGATAATGTACTTTTGTCCGCAGCTTTACGTTCGAATACCAATAATTCGAACCCATGACTCCACAATCTGTAATTTAGTTGATAGTTCGCTATTAGGTCAATGCATCTGTCATAAAACTAGGAGGTTCCCCCATGGTCGAACAAGGCCGAGGCTTGTATGTTACCTTTGTGTACGTAATTGAAGTAAACCATTTTTTAACGAAATAAACGTTTCACATGATATTGAAAAATAAATAACACTTCACTATATTAACCATAGCATTAAGTATGCTTAATTGTTTACATGAAACATATGAAGATTAAACATATTTATACATTGATAGGTTTAGGTACTACCGCAATCGTATCGAATAGTAGGTACTAATAGAGACTGCTACCCTGAAAAATTAGCTGAAAGTGCGTGATTTGTGATATACCATTACATTTTTTTAATTCCGAAAATTTATGTGTTTGTTAGTTTTTCACGCTGAAAAGGCCAAATGAATTTGAGTCAAATCCAGATACCTACATACCTACCACGCGGGCGAAGTAAGGGGAAAGACCTAGTTCCTTTATACACCCTTTTTAATGACGACAATTTAAATGAGTAGGGCAGGAATCTAACGCTAAATAGCACTGCTTATTACTGTTGCAGTTTAAGTTAGATTTCAAGAAGCACCTACTAGCCCTGGTTGAGTCCAAATTATACAGACTCAAATCATACAGACTACATATATTTATTGTATGTATATTTACATATACCTATGCCTTAATTACTTACCTTACTTACATTAGTTATATCTGTTGTTCAGACTGAAAAGTCGCAAATAAACCGAAACGAAACACGCCACCTATCTTTGCTGATTCATACAACGCGGGCGTACGCATGTACATATGTATGTATATGTACATCTACGCAGCAAAAATGCATCGCAATCAGATAAATGCAGAAGTTACAAACGAACAAAATGTTATTTGCATTATTATATAATATGTAGAGTATTGTTTCATTAATACAAAGTTCAGCGATGGGTTCGCAACCCAACACTCGGCGTCAATTAGGTACGGACAGATGTATGTATAGGTATATGGACAAAAGTATCATTTATATATTATATAGATGTTACCTATGATTAATACGTACCTATTGTTCATTTAATCTTTCTTTTCTCCATCTTCTGGATCTTTAAGAGTGTGCCATTGCGCGATAGGGCGCCGCGGGCTAGCCAACATGTCCGACCAGTGACGAAGTTCGGTACCTGACGCGTTGTATCCAAGTACCACTTTACCAATTGGCTCCGATGTACCGATGCGGTCGTAGTCCACGACGGTTACCACTAGATTCACCTTCTGTTGTGCGTTTGTTATTAAATAAGGTTAAATTTGTAATTATTCCATTCATTCAATCTACGACATGAAGCGATATGTACCCACTACACTACAATGGTTTATGCATTACCTTGGTCAAGAATGTTACATAATAAATATTTATGTAGGCTGTATAGTTGCAACACCTTTGAAGCATATTTAACATTTCATCTAGTGAGATATAAAGTGAGATAAGTTATCAAGAGTTGTTTCTTAGACGCTGTATATGATGCACAACATCTATCTCGTTTATATTGCAGGTGTTGCAATTATATAAATAAACTTACCTTTCGCTCAATAAAAATGATATTTGAGTAAGGAGAGTGGCATTTATAAGGTTAAAGATAGGAGTGAGCTATGTGATTTATGAATAATAGAAATAAAAGATCCACAAGAAGAACAAGAGACTGGATTCCTGAAAACCATATGTTAGGGTAATTACAATTTGAAGTCACCAAATTGTAATGCAGTTACGAGGGGAGATTTTTTTATCACACCACTGTAAATTAGGAGCAGGTATGGGCAGTTATATTATCAGAGCAACGTATTTAGATATGTATCGCAAATGAAAACCTCCAGTCAAAATATTTTATCTCGAGTAAAGGTCAACTAATACGATAAATCATAACTAAACTTATTTGCTTTGAAAAATATAACGAAGGATGATATATAGGAAGCGGAATAGAAAAGTAAAAGAAGAAGGGGTGGAGAAAAAGAGTAGAAGATAATGTTAAAGTAATAATATGTAGTGTTTTTAGGGATATTGATAAGGTAGGTACGGGCGTAAGTGGTGTATGTTTACAACAATTAGAACACAACATCGATTGTACATTGCTAGGTCACATTTGACTGAAGAAAACCAATTCTGCCAATACGTCAATTTTATTATTACAAAATGTTTGATATAAATTTCTTTTGATTTTCTCCACTCGACAAGTGTCCACACAATGTGCCACAACATTGAATTTTGACGCAATCTCGGCTCGCACCTGTATTTGTTCGAATGGTACTTCAAAAGTAAATGACTCGTTGTAATATGGATTCAGTGTGCATTTCTTGATGCTCGTTTTCTTCTTCTTGAGACGTTTGCCATTTTGCATGAGTGCAATCTTTACGTACGGATCTGTGGCCACGCAGCGAAGGATCAGGATATGAAAAAATGAGAAGTACTATATTAATTAGTGTTAAATAGCTTGAACGTAGGTACCTACATTCTAAACGGTAGGTTAAATAGTAAAAAATATCGTATGTCATAAGCCTTCCATGTTATGGCGATATAATGGATATTTAACTTTAATAATATGCTAGCTATGCCTTTTTGTGAATTGAAAGTCATGGAGCCGTGCGATAAGATGTATTTGCAAGCATTAATTACCTAATATCTATACAGTTTACGCAATATTAGCTTAGTTTTGATAGCATTATACAACTAGGTGCAATAATATTTATGATCGCTTAAATAAAACGTTACTTATAAAATAGGTAGTAATGTAGAGTTATGTCCTAGAGGTGTATGATAAAACTAAATATCTGTATGACTATCGTCTAAAAAAATTATATAGATATTGAATATGAATATGGACATGTATCAGTAATACATATTGATATTATAAACAAAAACTAGTTGATCATGCAAGTATTATTGCGTATGGCGAGCATTGTAGCATATAACACAGAAATTGTACAATATATAATTTTACCCTAAAATACCTGAAAGTAGATAACAGTGTTAGAATATTTTTATATAATAAATTCAGCAGTTACCGATACGAAATATTGAAAACACTTACCTGACAGTCCACCAACATCCATTTTCTTTAAGTTCTTAGCCTCCAAAATAACCACAGTCAGCTTTCCAGCGGTCGGTACGTAACGCAAAGAGAAACATATGTCTCCCAACTTGTTGTCCTGTAAATTTTAAGTGATAATATCTCATAATACTATAATTTTCATTTTTAATGTATACAAATTTTTTTTTCTATCCGCTTCGTTGAAGGGAGTATCTATGATGTGATATTGTTATCACTTTTTGTTATAATGCGTAAATGTTCCAAGTCGTAATAAGGCAACTGTTTAAGATGTAAATTCGTGTCCATACGTAAGGTTGGGTTAGTGATCAATATGGAAGATAATATAGGAAAAGTTGTGTAGGGAAAACAGTATCTGAGACAGGTCTGATAAGCTATTTATAAATTATATAAATAATATACGGGCTTATAAATAACGCGGCTTAGGGCGGACAAGGGTAACAACTTGTTAAACAAAAAAAAAAACAATAGCTCCGTGTAGTACCTATAAGCATTTAGGTATATATATATTTGGTCAGCCGATAAAGTTGATCAGTTAAAAATGGTACACTAACAAACATTCTACAATGCGAGTTAGATTTAATTAAAAACTTTAGTAAACAAATTTACCGCCACACCACACTGATCAACTCTACCATTATGTGCTAAGGATGCCATAGCACAGACAGACTCGGGGTATAAGTAGCTTCAAACAAAATAGTTTGCAACTAGTCAGGTCAGTTTAAAACCACTTCCATTGCGTTACATATAACGTTTTAGCACATAGATGTCATTTCATCTAAAACATTAAACACGGTACAAACATTGTAAACAATTCTATAGGACAGGGGAAACATAAACAAATAATAATATTCACATCAAACCTACTTAAAAAAAGCAATTACCCGCAGAAACATGTGTATAAATATAAGAATCGAAATAAATCATTACGATCTGTTGCCGAAATGATGCCAATTTTTTATTTTGTAACACCCAGCTCAGATCATCAAAACGCTCTCCTCACCTTGCGTACGACCTATCAAGTTGTTGGACAACAAATGACGTTCCTGCTGTCGTCAAAATCGGTATTCACCTGGCCTCGTAACGCCTAAGTTAGACTAACCATTTTAGAAACAGATCGCAATTATCTAAAGTTTGACACTTAGATAATTCACACATACATACTAATAACATACAAAGACTAGGATAACGAGAATCCACAAAGAAATGCTTGCTTGCCCACTAGGCACTAAGGTTTAAACTTGCAATTTAATTTTTGTTATTTCTTAGAAACTAAACTCATTTCTTTATTGGATTGTGAATAGATGCATTAGAATACATACATTCCGAGGATTACAATTCACTTATAGGATGTAACATCGCACTATGATATGGGGCACACTATTGGTGAAATTTCACTATGTATGATATGCTAAGCTATTTAAAGGAAAAATACAGTTAAAGCAAACTATGTTCCTTTGTGTGTATTCTTGTAAAAATAATAATTAAGTAGGTCATTTATTTCATTTATTTCATTGATTATATATATTTTCATTATTCTATAATTTTTAAATTCATTAAAATATTGTCACACTTTTAACGTTCCAACTAATAGCACGTAAGTTTTATTCAAGCTCCACTTTAGTTTTAGTTTTGTGCGGGGAACATAATTTACTTTTAGATATAAAGAGAAGCAAAAATGAAATTTTATTTCTTAAAATTGAGGTCCATTGAGGCTTGCAGAAAAAATTATAAGTATAATTATAAGTAAAAGCTATAAACTCATGTATTCAGAAGTTATTATAATATTCTGAGACAGTCACGTTTCTTCTTTCGTCGGTCAGAAGGTGATCTGTAACATATTTGGGTAACATCGAGTTAATTTTAATTAATCATTCTTATTTTATAGTAGATAAGTGCTATAATGGAATACAATCATTATTTAAATATGATTGTCAATGTGATATGATTTTGATTTTGTGTAACCATGATTAATATTTTCCTTTATTTAAAATCATTTGTATTTTCCTTTACGAAACAGATGTTTATTATCGTTTCCATTGATGAGGATATGCACAAGCTACATACACAATATGTGATGTTCGATTGTATTTATAACTATCTACAATACAGCGTGTATACATTAGTGCTTAAACATATATTAGCCTGAACATTTATTTTGTAGATATATATCATCAAATAGTATTTATTATATGTTATGTTCTACAAAATATCAATACAGGAAAGTCTCAAGCGTAAATTCAGGACATGCAAACATTCCCCAGCCGCTATACAAATTAAATATTAAGTGTCGGATGGATTAACATAATTCGAAATTAAAAAAAAATGTGGTATGATAGGTGACATTAGGTAACGGGTGATAATATTTAGATCATTTGGGTACTTTTCATCTTCTTTAGGTTTTTAAATTGTCCTACCTATTCAATATATATTTTTTTATATTGAGGACCCAGTTTTTACTTTATTTTTCAACAACAGTCCGGAATATACTTTTATGTTGATTGCAGATTATGGTGTATTTATAACTGTAATGGAACGTGTTTATATAACAATTTAAAATATACATCTCGATGTGTCTCAAAATAATACTTACGTGAATGATCATTTCGTTTTTGAAGCGGCATGCAAGATTGTTCAGGACACAATCAAACACAGCCAAGCAGAGCAGAGAAAATATGTAGAAAAAGAGAAAAAACCAAGTAAATACATTTTTGCTCTTCAAATCAATTTATCGGAAAAATAAATGACGACTCAATCCACTTTGAGGTACCTTGACTATGTTCCACAGTCGGATAATATATTTATTGTTTATGTTATTAGTAGATTATTAAAGGTACTTACTTATTGTTCTTATGTGTGTAATATTAGGATTGTCAAGGATCCTCTGATTAAAAAAGTGCAGTAAATTTAAAAATTAAATCCACCCTCTCAATAAAATTAATATATAATTTACATTCACAAAATAATTTGAAAAATCTGATATTTCAATAATTTTATAACAATTTCCATAATTTAACTTAGATATAATGAAAATTTCTGCAATTTTATTAAAAGGATAGAAAAATAAATAATGCTGTGCTAGTAAACCACACCCATATATAAAAAATTGTCTATCAACATATCAAAACAAAAAGGAAATAAAATGAATTATGAGGGTGTGTTTTACCAGAGTAGCCTAAGCTAATAAAAAAAGATAAAATAGTCTCCTCGGTTGATTTGCGTTACCTATATATTATGTATATTGTATACCTTCTTGCTTTACCAATAATATGCTTTTTATGTGCATTTATGAGAGTAATGTCAGAATACCATACATGTACCTACATGGTAGATATGTGTTAACCAAAATGAATTGTTGATGTGACCTGGGTGTAACTGTTAACTTCCATGTTCGTAACTTCACAAATTATGATTTTCGCAACATATTTAAGCCCTTTACGAGCTTTATTTGACGTCAATATATCCTAAATAATAATATCGATCGTATAAAAACTATCAATTTATATAAATAACACCATAACAGGACATGAAAAAGTTTCCTGAAACTTGAACATTTTGAAGATAGCTGAAAATTAAACTTTATTGATTATTAAAACCAACAAAAATCGACTTTTTACTTTATATAGCTGTTTCTGAATAGGTAAATAGTTAAAAAAGCGGCGTAAAGTAAACTATGTACCTATATAGGTTTATTGCGATACTTCTGCTCAAATTCGTAACTTTATAGAATAAAGAAGCATAATTTAATAAATATTTTGATGATCGCACCTGGCCTCCTTCGCCTTCAACACTCTGCAGTTCACGCCACTCCTCGATGGTCTGCGCGAGGTCGACCTGACACAATGGTACCTTCACCTCGCCGATTTGGTCGTGCTTGGAGAAACGATCGAAGTCGAAGATCGCAAAAACTAATGTTTTGTTCATAGCATCCGCATACGGCACGTTCTGTGTATAAGCATTGATGAATAATTTTGTTTAACTAGAACAATATATAACATAGAGACTTCTATTCATCAGACACAAATACTTGCCTTAAAAACGAAGGTTTCGTTGAACACGGGATTTAAAGTTTTCCGATGGACTTTGGTTTCGAACTTCTTCTTCTTGTCAGGCAACAGATACACTTTTACGTAGGGATCTGATGTCCCGCCCATATCTAGAGCGGGCAGTTCTTCCGCTTGAATTACAGTAACTGAGAGGCTGTTACTATTAAAGTCATATTCCAGCTGTAAAGTGACAAGTTTGTTGAAATGAAAAATCAAACTCTGTGACATTTTTTATGATGAAAAATTATTTCACAATGTTTATATGTATTTATGGAGAACTACAAAATATTAATAGTCATTTTAAATAAAAAGACGTGAAACTAATGATAAAAGTATTTTAAAATAAAAATGTCGCTATGGTTGGACCAAACAAATCTTTATAAGAAAAGTATTCAAACAATTGCTGTAACCTGATCCCGTGTCCTCGTATAGTCTGGCAAGTCACGCAGCATACCTTTTACTTTAAGCATACCTTGTACTGTAGTTTTCCTAGTTTCTGTTCTTCTTTTTTAGAATCGCCGTCGTCAGGTTCCTCAGCGTTCTCTGTGAGCTCCTCCATGTCCGGCTGAACCTACATGCACGTCCCGCGGCAAATTTCACATGAATATTATATTTCTTATGAATAAGACATTCTTTTTGACTCACAAATTACCGCTATTCCATTTTTAGCTTTCATTTGGGTTAGGATTTATAAAGTAATATTTAAAAATCTGTACAAAGCTATGCACTTTTACTAAATCTTTATTTTAAAATAATTAACTAATTACTATTCGTTATACCTTGTTTTTATTTTCGTTTGTATAGATTTATACATTACCTTTTCTTTGTATGCTGAGCCTAAAAGCTGGACGGACTTGAAGTCGACTCCTTTCATACCCTTCTTGCCATCCTTAGAGCGTCGTTTGCGGAAACATCGTCGGATACAACAGAAGCAAATTCCCAACACCACCACTCCAACTCCTATGTAAAAAGTGCGTACAGTCAAGATATAATTTTCTAATTTTTATATTGTAATTTTTATATTGTAAACTTTATATGTAATAAGTACTATTGTAGATTGATAAATTTACGAACCTACGAGAATAGCGACCAATTGCCATGTCTCCATGTTCAGCTTATGAGCAATTTCAGCCGTCTTCTCTCCAATGGACTCTTGAGTGGTCGTAACTGTTGGTGGCCCTTCCGATAATCCGGTAGGCAGAGGCGAAGACGCCCCTGTAAAGAATATTATCGACTTGTAATACTTTCATCTATGTTCATAAGTCTTTTGATAATTCTTATATATTATTGAAGGTCAAAGTTGAAATTGAGAAACGTGTATTGGAAAAGAGTAATAAGTATTATGTCATACCTATGCTTAGAATCTAAATTATATGTACATATGAAAATGTATAATTTTAAGTTCAAGTTGCAGCAGCTCATAAAATATCTATAGAAGTGTGTATTTTTACCCGAACCTGGGGCCATCGTGGTCATGTTGGTTGCAGCAGTGCTGTTAGCTGCTGGGGTTTTCTCGCTAGGAGACTCTGCCTCGCGGCGCCATCTCAAATGGATTGGTAAAGGCGGCGACATCTTGGCTGCAGGATGAATAACCTTTGCTGAATAATTGGATTACATACTATATAATTTGGATGTGTGTGTTTGTAATGCTTGTTACTCCTTGACACTGAAACTGCTGGATGGGTTTCCATGAAATTCAGCAAATAGATACACATTATCCACAAGTAATCTAAAGTAACATATAGGCTACGGGAATCTAGAAAAAGGAAAGCCGCTAGTTTATTACATAATTTTCTAAATAATCTAATATATAAATATCTGATATATAAATATCTTCACGGTGTTTGTGGTCGCACTTCTCCGACACGGCTCTACCGATTTTAATGATTTTTTTTGTATATTTGTTAGGTATGAGAATAGGTCGTTAAGTATTTTTCACACTTCTACTTTAACTTCCCCATTTTTTAATCATGATTTTAGTATCTTTGTATGAACAATATCCAAATAATGTAATAATTAGGTATATAAATAAATACATAGGAACGAGTTGTTGTTCTATAAAAATAAATAATTTAGACATTTATTCTTTAAAATTTTATTTAAAGAATGTTTTAAAATTTGTATGAGTTATATAGGACAAGCATTTACTTTACTGACATAATTACTATATTTTGTAAATGGGTTGATGTTATGCAATTTGGTGTTGCGTTTACTATGTGGGTAGAGATCTGACGTGACCTGCACAACTAAGTTAGTAGCAAATAGCAGCACTGTATTGACCTACTCGCATAGTATTACAAGTAAATAATAATATAATTGTAATTTCTTACACTTTAGTCGTATAAATGAATAATTAGAGATAATTTGTATTCAATAATTAATTAAATTAAAACGTGTGAGATATTTTTAAACCTTCAATTAATTATTTTGAATTCTTTTCGTTTAGAGACAAATATTTTATTTAAATATTATTTAAACTTAAAAAATAACAATTATAGTCACGCAAAAATAAAATTATATATTTAATGTTCAATTGTATGTTATTTATTTATTTTTTATTATTTTATTTAATCTTGCTTGTTATAATATTTCATATAGGTATGTATAATATTAAAAAAATATATAAATACAAGTATGTAACTACATTATAACATCATATGCATATTCATCAGTCCAAGTAAAGTCGAATTTTAACTGTAATTTGTAGTAAATGTTTATTTTATAAGCGCCTGGTTTTTGTACTTTATTTTAAATGCTATGAAAATTTTCGGTAAAAATAAGTCAAAGACACGCCCTTATATTTAGTATTTTATAAATATAACTAATAATTACGGAATATAATATACTAAATATATTATCGATCGCCACTATCATCCATATTACAGCTAATATTTCTTTATATTAAAAGATATCTTTTATCTATTTTCTTTGAAGTAGATGCATTCAAGTAGATTCACATATAGAACTAACATCAAAGACAATAAAGAATGATTATGTGATTTACTGTAAAATACTGTATTATAAGGATTTCTCTGGAATGTAGAAGAATTTAAGTTGGTATATAGATTGTAATTTTAAGGATGGCACTATGCCCATACACTAACAACCCACGCGACGATACCTTGATTAAAATAAGGGCTTTATATATAATGAAAAAATTGACATATTAACATTTCATTCAAGCTCCTCAACCCTGTAGACACCTTCAACTTTTAGAAGAGGCTTTTCAAGTACATACTTACCTACATACGGCCTAGATCCCCTTTCATCAAGACGATCTCACACAAGGAAATGAACGAATGTTAGATCGTAAGCCTAAGCACTAGCAAAAGGAAAATCTATACTCCGTAACTTCACCACTGACCTTATTTACTCCCTAGCGGTTCGCTCACGACGTACAATTACCAATTCCTAATCGCCAGTCACTTAGCACAAGTTTGCTTCATTTCTGTCGAATTTAATATTCGAATGGAGGCTCGGGTCTGTATGAGAGCTAGGATGACGAAGTTGCGCGCGCAAGCGATCGATTGCCGCTGCGCGCTACGATGCCTTGCTCTTTCAGTTCCTGAACAAGTCATGACGTTTACGTCACATATTGCGTACATTGACGATTTAGTTGCCAATGCTTTTACATTGCATAGGCGACTAGAGGTAGTCGATTGCGATCATACAAAATTAAACAAAATAATATTTATTACGTAAGTGATTTGATCCTTGTCGAAATTCTTATAGATTCGCGACATACCCGAAAATTTAAATGGTTTACTGGATGTACAATATCAGGGATACATATTATTATATCTATTTATAAGTACAATCAAGTGAATATTATGGCCAATAGGGATGAAGACATTAAATTATACGGTAGAATCCAAAGATCTACCTATGTAGGAAATATATCTAATCAATAATAAAAAAAATTGGTTCCCGTGGGATAGATTTATTTTTGTCTTGGGACGAACCCGAAGCGAAGCGAGGGTGAATCGATAGTGTAAAATATAATTATTAATAGTACATTTTTGACACAAAAGCAAAACCTTATCTAAACACAAAATTTCATCTAAATTTTTAGAGCCGTTTTCGAGATACCTACATGAAATTTTATATATTATATATATAAATTGCTCATTTAATATTTTAAGATATAATTTCAATTGGTTTGTTGGTCGACTCCATTTTATGCAATAGGTACATCAAATGCCTACAATAGTTAGGGCCTGAGCGAGGTGAGAGCGGGTGACTAGTATTTTTACAAATTAGCTACAGTTGCAAGTTCATTAAAAAATATAACATTTTTGTAATAAGCAGGTTATAAATATAAATAGTTTTTAATGAATAGTTTTTATTAAAATAACATAAAGAGGGTGTTGTAGTTGATAATAATATGACAAGATTTTCTATAGTGCGTTTAAGTTGACCTTGCTGTAGAAGCGTCGCCACCGTTTAGTGTGTCGAGCTTATCACTCGGCGTTAATGGTTTTAGACTTTAGCAGATGCGTCTCTTGTTAAAGCCTGCATGGAATGCAAGGCAGATTGGCGCAAGAAAAACCGTTAATATATGAAGAGAAAAGGAAATTTCGATTTTTACGTGATTGACTTACTGTTATCTTTCACACTTCTGCTTGTATAATATATTATTATAATCACTACTATATAATACTTTATACTACATATTATAAAACAAAGTCCTCCGCCGCGTCTGTCTGTCTGTTCGCGATAAACTCAAAAACTACTGCACTGATTTGCATGCTATTTTCACCAATGGATAGAGTGGTTCTCGAGGAAAGTTTTAATATAAAATTTGTTAAGTTGTTGGAGGTGTCGGAAAGAATTAAGCCGTCTGGGAACTTTCAACGAAAAATCTGCCTAAACCCTTTGAGATATAACAAAATAATTTATAGTGGAATTGTGTATCTTATATAGATCTACAGAAAAGTCCCCGATGGCATATGTCTATCTCTTAAGGATAACATACTATATCCATTTTAATTAAAAACGTACCCAGGGACGAACCCGAGCGAAGCGAGGGTGAGTCGCTAGTACAACTATAAAGCCAAGAATTTCAGTTTTATGAGGAGAAAAGTTGGCTTAGATCCAAATATTGTCAAGAGTGTGGGATTTATGTTATGTCGCTCAAAAGACCAGTCAACGGGTTCGAGAATACATGCATAAAACTGTAGCCATGTTGCAAGCAAAGCTTTTGTGCATAGAAGAGGTGTAATAATTTCCTTTATAACCCACATAATAACTATATGGAGCATATCGATTCATTTCTAAAAATACATACTCTACATTATTACATACCTAAAAATAAGTAAGTGCATGGAAGTTAATACAGCTTTGACATAAAATTTCAAATTAAGTTCCAATTAATGATATTATGATATTTAATGAATATTAAGTGAAATTTTTATAGAGACATACCTGCGTAATCTGTCTTTTTATTATTTTTGATGCGTGGGCGTTAAAGTATATTTATTGATTATTCGCTTAAGAACAGGTAATCTAAATATAAGATTGACTTTACTTATAAAATTACCTGTTAAATGAATAGAAACAAAAATATCATTTTTATGAAATATGTCACCTGAATATATGTATGTATATTAGAGATATACTCGTAACTGCTATATGTTCTAAACCCTTTCTTTAAAGAAGTTGTCTCTAACCTCAAAATTAAAGGTTACCTAATACTACAGTACTACTTTGTAAGGTCGCAGGTTTGATTTTAAAATACTGTAAAGTATTAACAGTTAGAACCTGGGCGACCGAGCTTTGATCGGCGTTTTATCGGAAAAGACATGAAAATTGCGTTTTTTTCAGAAAATACACCCATGTAGGTATATAAATAAACTTAAAAAGCAAAAACTTATCTAAATACAAGACTTGATTTGGTTAGAGCCGTTTCCGAGATACATGAAATATATTTAAATTTACAAGAAATATAAATTGTATATTATTTATACAAGAATTGCTCATTTAATAGAAGTTACTATACTAGTATACTCTTTTTAAATTGCGAAGACATTAAATTATTTATAATGCAAATCGTTATTTGTTTATTGAAACCGGTTCTTAGAAAGTAGGTAGTTGACACCAAGCTCATTCATCAAAACCTAACACTAAGACCTACTTTTTCGAATAACTTGCAGTGTTTTCATTTTAACGCATAGGCCATTCATTCTTGCGCGCGCAGGTCGCTCTTCTGTCAAAGACATTTGAAAAAATGGATATGGAATTCTATAAATCTAAGACAAACAACATGCCCTAACATCTATGCTGGCGTTTGTAGTTTAAATAGATTATTTAAGTATATCTCTGTGACAGGGAATGGAAAATTTGGTGAAAATATGCATATATTTTTTTAATAATTTTTATATATATTTTTCAGGTATACTAACACTATAAGTACCTTTGATATTTTAACGGCAGGTTTTAAAATATTTTTCTTTAAATATTTGCAATGTAGCTAATTTTAGTTTATACATATTTTTAAAAATGTCGAGCATCAAATATTTTCTAATTAGCTTTTTACATCGATTAATGAGAGTTAAGTTTTCTTTCTCTCACCT